AACAGTGTGTATTTTATCAGACGTTGTGTATATATGGACCAGATCATAGTGCGTTTTTTCCTTTTTTCTCGTAATACTGAATAAGGAGATTAAAATTAGGGGTTATATTTAGAAATATATATGAAAATAGGTGATTGACATTCTTATTTTTAGTGGTTTGTAGTCTTATAGAAAGGCTCAATATATTGGTGATGATTATTGTGACGGAGGTGAAAAATAACGTCAGTTGGGGAATGCACTTGTTGAAATACTACTTAAGTGTGGTGTTATTATAAGCACAAAAAATCTGAGGTGGAGTACTTGCTTTGAGCAAGGAGATCCATATTTAGAGTACTCAAAGTGATATGTTTCTTTTTGTGATAGAGGATGGATAGATTGAAGCACATTCATAGGTTGTTAATAGTGAGGTGGCATGTAATTTTTTAGTTATATATAGTGATGATTGAGGATTGCTTTGACGCATTGTCAAAAAGCACAAATATAGTCATTAATACTAACTTTGTGTGCTCTTTAGCAGTTTTTATTTGTCACCCTACATGATTCGATTAGAATTAGTGGGGTATATCTTGAATCAGGACTATACTAGTGTTCTTTGCATGCGTTAGTTGGTGTTTTTAGATAAGTAAGAGTTCACATATAGTGAACTAAGAAACGATGTACGTATCTGTTGATATTTCATTTGTTCAATTATTTTGATCAATTTTGTGTATATAGTTCTTGATAATCCATATACTAGATCAAATTATTATGTGTTTTCTATATTACCATTGTTATTGCCTTCCTATAACTGTATCTGTTTTCATATTCGGATAATATTTGATGGATCTAGAGGAGGTAGTGAATATGAAGGCATTGAATTTACTCAAGGTGTTTTAGTAGTAACTTATCTTAGTGAGACTTTAGATCTCAAGTGATTTTATATATCATTGTTTAGGGGACGTGAAAATTTCAAGAGTGGTGACATAATTTAAGTGTGGAACAAAGATAGGTTAGATATATATATATATATATATATATATGGAGATGCTTTGACCAACATAAAAGCACAAAAATCATAATTAACCCTTGTTTCTAGCATTTTATGTCCCAAGTGAAATAGGGGATCTTCAACAACATTTTTGCACTTATTGGCTGTTTTTAGATAATAAATCAATGAAGAATTAAGTTAACGATTACTATTTTTATTTCATAATATTTGTCACATTTATAGTTTTAAAAAATAACAAATTTTTTTTTCATATTTACCATTGTATGCCACCAGTAATTATTTGTTATTTGGATATATTAAATTAAGGATAATATAATCAATTTACTCAATAACTTATTATAACTTAGACAAATTTAATATTTTTTTAGGGGACGTGAAATTTCAAATGTGACAAGTAATGTGGAACAAAGATAGTAGATACTACTCCCTCTGTCCTATATATATAAGTCTAATTTGACTTTTACATAGATTAAGAAAAATTAATTAATATAACTAAACTATATTTTTTTTGTTTAGTTTTTCCAAACATATCCTTTATAATATTAAATGATCTATATCAATTAGAAAATTGGATAATAAATAATCTTTTAAAAAAGAAATATGACTACATTTTGAGACAGAAGAAAAAAGAAAGTGAGCATATATATACGGAACTGAGTGAGTACTATAATAAGAGAGTAAAGGACCCTACTATTACTATGTAATTAATACATAATTGTGCAAAAATTATTGCTTAATAATTATAGCCTAACATTAAGGAACCCTACCATTAAAAGAAAAAGTTGCCTAGACTATCCTTTGTAGAAATGTTTTCAATTATAGACCCCTACCCAAAAAATTAAAAATGACAACACTTTTAAGGGATGAGCTTTGCTTGAAATGTTGAAACTGAATGCTATTAGTGAAGCTTCTTTGACTTTTAGTCTTTTATGCTATTTGTATAGTAAAACCTAAAAAAAAATTTGAAATAAAAATCTACATGTACATATAGAAGTAATGATTATTCCAATTTGATAGCTAGATGCTATAAATCATCAAATCAATTGAGACCGATTGCATGCAAGTTTATCATACTATGAAGAGTTCTGTCCACGACCGGTCGGAATTTGGAGTTGTCATCTCTGAATGCAAACTACTTTTAGTCCAACTGCCTAATGTCACGATGGCTTGGATTAGACGACAAACAAATGATATAGCTAATGTGTTAGCTAAATCTGTTCCTAATGAAGCTTGTTTTGAAACTTGGAAAAATGTTCCCGCTTGTATTGCTCATTTCTTTTATTAATAATATGAATCATAATTCTAAGGTAAAAAAAAATCATCAAATCAATTTTATTTGGAAGTTTACATCAAATTGGGGCCCAAAAGGCTTTCTTTAACTCCACATTTTCCATTAAAGATTACATTTTGGTGCAAGTTTTTCTTCCTAAGATATAGAATTCTGGGCCAAGAATCATCTTTTGGCTGTATTGAAAGAGAAAGAAAGGTGTCGCTAACATATCTTCTTTTTTAACTTTTAAATTTTTGCAAGAAAAAAAAAAATATTATCGATACTGAAATTGATGGTGGAGCTCCACCATTACTTGTGTCCATAAGAATGTGATAATAATAGAGAGTACCCTTAGCTGGATCTCATAATTGTCAATTTGTCTGTATTTTGATATGTCTCATCTATTACATTATTAATTTCCTAACCTAGTTATTTAATTTTAGAAAATAATTGTTGTGTTTGAGAGCTTCTTTTTGGTATATTATACACTCAATTTCCCTTTTCAAGCTGTAGGAGTAGCCTTTTCTTCTCTGTTGGCATCATATCATGAGACCAGGAACTTAATTTTTCAACTTTAATTGAAAAATGAGTCTTGTAAAACGTTTTTATTTATTTATTTTTAATTTCTTTATACCGAAGAGTCGGATGAAAGATTAATTTATTTTAAGATATTAAAAACTCTGACTCAATTATCTGATCTTACAATTATTAATCTTGTGAATTAATAAATAAATTTTTTTATTAAATTTGGTTTGTTTTAGCTCAAATCAAGCTCGAGTAAATATTTTTATTGAATTCAGATTATTTATATATTATATCTTGATTGAATATGATTATTATATCTAAATATATTGACGTATATTGTTAATTTCACGGACCTTTTCTCCCTTTCTTGGATCTTGATCCATCTCTATATATATATATGAAAAGAACAATGAAGCTTTGGAGGAAAGCGTTGTTTTCATGTGATAATCAAACGACTTGGTGGAAAATAACCACTGGCCATCAAACGACCAACGTTTAAAGTTAGTATAAGTTTAATCTATATTCTTGCTTTCTATTCTTTGAAAGTTCAATTTTTCAAAGTAATATGCTAAATAGACTACTTTATTTCGCAAAAAAAAAAAAAAAAAAAAAAAAAAACTACTTTATTTTTTCGCCAAAAAAAAAAAAAAAAAAAAAAAAAATAATAATAAAAAAAAAAAAATAATAATAATAATAAAAGCTGTCGGTAGAAACATACACTTAGCTTTTTGTGACTTTATAAAGCCAACTTGACCAGTCTATCGAAGAATTCAAAATGGAACTTGCAAATCTTCTTTTAGTTTCTCTTTTGTTCCCATCATATGATGAAATCTATAAATAATAATAATAATAATAATAATAATAATAAATTTTATGAAATATAAATCATGCTAAAAATTACATGAATTCTGTTATTGGTAATTGTAGAGATTTCTTTTTTTTTTTTTTTTTTCTAATTTCAACAATTATTAACTCCAGCGATAAATTAAAAATCTCATTTGTTTTCCTCAAATAATTTGATTGATCAAACGTTTATTTTGCTTAATCGCATTATATGACAGGATTATGAATTGGAAGATTCTTATGCTAAGTAGTTTAATAAATATTTATATTCTTGAAAATCAATTTTTGGTTGATCCGCACCTGCATGGTATATATTCTGCAAAGATGATATTTATATCATCTGATAAAGCAATAATACAGTGTAAACTGCAGTTTACGAGACTCTTAGACTTTGTATAGAAAGGAGAGGAAAGAAAATGTTGGAGGAAAAAAAATAATGGAGAAAGGAAAATAATAAAATGAATTTCACATTGAACAATGCAATTTTCTCAATTCATTCATCACTTTTTCTCATATTTGGAGAGATTCTAATCCTATAGGCGCTGAAGGAAAATACTACATTTGTTTTTTTTCATTATATATTTTCTTACCCTTTGGAAACAAGAGAAAATCTTTTCTCTTGATATCTTCCTCACATATTTTATTTCCTTCAAAAAAATCCTCGTTTCCAAACAAATGGTTAGTAATAAATTAATGGCAAACAAAACAATGAAGTGTGTGTATATATATATATATATATATAATTTAATGGCAAACAAAACAATGAAGTGTGTGATATATATATATAGTATTATATATATGTATATATGTCAATGTATATATATATATATATATATATATGTCAATGTACACAAGTTTTTGTCGTGTTTGAAACAGAGCAGTGAAAGAAATAAGACAGCAGCCCCTTTTGCTAGGGAGTCCAAAAGAAAACAGCTGTCAGGACTTAATTAGGATATACCTAACTATCAAGATAATACAATATAATTGTTATCATGAACATGTAACCTAATTTTAAGACCGTTCATGATGTTGGAAAAAAAGAAATAATAATTAAATTAAAGTCGTTAAAAACTTATACTATGTTCAACTCAAAAATAATATTATATATTCTGGATGTTTACATGCAAATGTGGTTATAGATTCATTCTACATAACCCCAGCCTATGTGTGAAACCAAGATTAGGGCTAGTGTAGAAAGTGGACTCCTTTATCATGTGACTCATACAAGAATTTTATGTATCCTTTTCACTAATTCTTACGTATAAAAAGGAAAATATAATTAAATATATTATATAATGCATGGCCATATCAAAGAACTCCTCCGTCTTTCTTTCTTTCTTTCTCTCTCCTATTCAGATGTATTTAACAGTTGAGGGGAATGTTGTCTGGTTCGATGTCATTCATGTAAAACTGATCAAATATTAATCAACCGTTGGATGAATGATTTCGGACCAGGCTTCATTCCCCCCAACTAGGTTTGATCAATCTTTTAACTCTCAGTATCTCTGTATATATAGCTTCCATGATTACTTCTTCATCAAACCATAATATACAGCTTGCAAGAAACATAAGGTTAGTTGATTTCTTATCTATTACTATATTTCGAAAGCTTAATCAAATTTTGATATTGACAGGGTTTATCGATATCTGATAAAGACCAAAAAGAGCAAGAATTCGGTCACCGGAACGAGCCCGCGAGCCCGGAAGCAGGTCCGGATAAATATATATATATATACACACAATTTTCTAGAGAACGGTGTGTCGTTGCCTGCCGATACCAATCTCTCAGGTTATCCATGGAACATTTGCCTATACGTAATTACACTGTCAGCAAATTCAAAATTAGCACTTTCAATAATTTTTTCTTTTTTCCTTCTTTTACCCTCTTTGGGAAGAGCAGATTCTCTCTCCAAATTTCCTTGCTAACCAAAGAAAAGCTGCAGAAAGTTTCAGTAGATTGATAGACCTCTTACTAAAGAAAAAAGGAAAATCTAACATTTAAAACAGAATAAGAAAGCAAAAATTAAGGTTGAGATGAATATCTTCAATTTCGATCCACTTCACCTGCAACACCATGATCAGAGCTTTCACTGTAAAATGAACCCACAGCTATTGCTTTCCTCTTCACCTAATAATTTTAATGTCTCTATTGTACTCTCTTTCTTCTAATAATGCTTCCTTGGCTTATTAGAAAAAAAAAAAAAATCCTTTTGAAAACTTGTAGTGACAATGATATATTTTTGGTTTTCGCTTGCCATGCCCTAGCAATCAGATTGCGTTAAGAGTCGTATATATAATGTATGATTTGGTTATAGATTTGAACTTACAATTAATCTCGTAGTAGTTGAGATGACTTCAATAATTTACTTATATTTTAAATTTCAATCTAGAATTATATTACGTGTTAATTTCTGTTTGTTTGAGAAAAATAATTAACAAAAAATTATATATATGCATATAATTAGGGAAATATTATTAATTAATTAAAGGGAGCTTTTAACTGTTTTTTTTTTTTTTTTTTTTTTTTGTTTAATTAAAGGGAGCTTTTAACTTGTTTTTTTTTTTTTTTTTTCTTTTTTTTTGTCTTATTATTTCTGTCCTCTACAAAATTTTTTTTTTTTTTTCTTTTTTTTGTCTTATTAATTTCTTGTCCTCTACAAAAACTATACGTAAGCTGTAGCAATTGAATATTTGTGGCTCAGATAAACTGTTTTAGGTCAATTATCAAATGAATAATATATAAACCAAAAAACTATCATATGTAAGATCAGATTTTACATGTGAAATTTTCTGGTGGATAGAATCTTATCATCACGGGATTGTTCTGGATTTTCTAACAAAGTATCTCCATATCTTTGGACACGAAACTAACTTTATTTTGAAATTTGTGGTTGTGTCGCTTTTTTTATATATATTTTTTCTAAGAATAGAACATTAATCTTATAAAGATCTTTAAATTCAAACGTATTTTACTACTTAACTAAATACCTATAGATAAGACTGTCATTTGCATATGAACACACTATGGCTAAGCTCTTTATACGTGGCTGCCAAATATAAAGTACTGAAGTCTCTCTTCTTACATTCAATAGAAACCTAATTATTAAAAAAAATTAATAATTGAAGAACAGTAGTAGTCATAAAATCGATAAGAGAACTCCAAAAGATGAGTTAAAATGGTAACTCTTCTCTTTTAATCAGAGGTTTAGAGTTCTAATGAATCCCTTTGATCCCTCGGGAGAAGCGTACCCCTTTTATAGATCTATCCGCGACAAGTGAAGTTATAGTTTTCAAATGTGATATGCTATTGTGACTCTAGTGGGAAACTATGATTGAAATTTTAGAAGCAAATTTTTTTTTTTTTTTTTGTTTTTTTTTTTTTTGGGATTTGACAGAACTTATTGTGAAATGGAAAAACTGCAAATAGATCAAAGAGTAGAAAAAGGATTAATAAAAAAATTTAAAAAAAATATATATTGCCAAACCTTATGAGGTCTGATAATTATAATTATTAACTTATCATTGCATCAATGAAATTAGTTATGCTATTTTGTAGGAATGGGGGGCTCACCAATAGGAGAATGCTTTTTGTGATCTTATTTCCTGTTCGAAGTTTCTTAGATTTATATCAAGCAGGTCTTCTTTTAGCCAAGCCTTCTCACCATTTTACAAAACAAGCTTAAAATTCAAGAGTTTGTTAAATCCATTGCCAAGTCAACTAATTATCCTCTATTTCTTGATAATTAAAGTTTTGGATTTTTAAATTAATTAAAATAAATAATGTTAGACTAAATCGATAATCTGCGAATTTAGATTAGGTGAAAGATTAGTGCTATAGAGTCACCTTGAAATGGCTTTGCCATTACATTTTTAATTTTTTTTTTTTTTTTTTTGGGATTTGACAGGACTTATTTGTGAAATGAAAAACTGAATAGATCAAAGGAGTAGAAAAAGGATAATAAAAAAATTAAAAAAAATATATATTGCCAAACCTTATGAGGTCTGATAATTATTAATTATTAACTTATCCATGCATCAATGAAATTAGTTGCTTATTTTGTAGGAATGGGGCTACCAATAAGAGAATGCTTTTGTGATCTATTTCCTGTTCGAAGTTTCTTAGATTTATATCAAGAGGTCTTCTTTTAGCCAAGCCTCTCACCATTTACAAAACAAGCTAAATTCAAGAGTTTGTTGAATCCATTGCCAAGTCAACTAATTTATCTCTATTTTCTTGATAATTAAAGTTTGATTTTTAAATTAATAAATAAATAATGTTAGACTAATCGATAATGCGAATTAGATTAGGTGAAGATTAGTGCTATAGAGTCACCTGAAATGGGTTGCCATTACATTTTTGACTTGGCTCCAATGGTGCTTAAGAAAGAAGCAGTTAGTTAGACTCTAGTTAATAATAATAATCTCCTCACTACCATTTAACATATCTGCTTTTCTTTTTTTTTTTTTTTTTGAAGGTAAAAGGAAATTACTGGTATTCCATTAACAATGACTGCAAACAAATTCAGAGGGATGGTTTAACCATTCACCCACGCCTGTCAAAGAATGGGTTGCTCTAGCTAATTGATGAACTACCTCATTCGCAGGGCGTTTAACAAAGTAAAAACGAACATTAACATTAATCTCTTGCAATATAGATTCACAAGCAGCAATAACAAAGTTAATAACAACATCAAAATATCAGCTTTAAGTTGCCTTTTGAACAGGAAATTGTGGAAACAATTTAAAATATTTGTTGTAATTATCATCCTTGGAGAGCCAGTATATTACTATTGAGAATGTGCCTGCATCCGGCAGCAAATTTCTGGCCGCCATTTTATGAAGAAAATCAATCACGTTTGTGGTCTCATTATTTTGACATGAAGCATGCAATAAAGTATTAAATATCACCACATCTGGGACGCAGCCTTTCTCCATTTCCAAAAATAGATCCTTTGCCTTATCCAGTTTCCCTTCTTTACAAAGTCCATGGATCATGACATTATATGTCACTACAGTTGGCTTCAGACCATCAGAAGACAATCTATTATAGAAAAGGTACCACGCAATGTCAAGCTTCCCTGTTTTACACAAGCCATCAATGAGGCAGGTAATGATTTCAACACTTAATTCGAACTTGCTGTTCTCCAGACTATGAAACACATCCATCGCCTCTGAGACAATCATTACAGAGCCTGTCAAGGTAAATTGTATACGTAACTGAATTTGGTGAGATCTCACGATTGTCACAAACTTGCATCTCCTGAAAAAGCTTCCGTGCATCCCCAACATTATCTGCCTGGAAAAGACCATTCAACAAGGTGATATATGTAATGACATTTGGTTGAATCCCTTCGGCCATCATATTCCGGTAAAATCTCATAGCTTCGTGTACCTTCAAATTCTTCAAATAACCATTGATCAATACATTATAGCTTACAACACTATGTTGAATCCCCCAAGTTGCCATAGAAAAAAAAAGTTCTGTAGCCTTTTCAATCATACCAGCCAAACAATATAACTCGATCAAGTGGCTGTAAGTATAGGCATTAGGTTCTACACCGCTTTGTACCATCAGTTCCAACAATTCATTGGCCTGCTTTATCTTTCCCTCTCGACAAAGTGCACTAATCAGCACATTAAATGTAATGTCATTATATTGCACACCCCGATCCACCATCTCGACAAATGAGCGTCTTCCCACTCACCATGAGAACATACACCTTGTAACAGCGAGGTATACACAACCACATCCGGAAAAATTCCCATATCCTTCATTTGCTTAAAAAGCTCCTTTGCCTTTTCTATCAAACCATCCTTACAAAGACCATCAATAATACCAGCATAAGAAATTCTATCTGGCTTACAAATCATGCCAGATTCACCATTACCATTAACCATTTCCCCAAGCAACTTAAGAGCAGCACTTATATTTTCCGTTCGACACAAATCCATGAAGGTAAGTATTTTAAGTAGTTGAATCTGGTGATATCTCATGGTTGTCATGAAGCTGCATCTCCCGAAATAGATTTCGCGCGTTCTCAACTTTACTGATCTGAAAAGACCGTTCAACAAGATGTTGTGTATAATGACGTTTGGTTGAATCCCTTTGGCCATCATATCCCGGTAAAATCTCATAGCTTCGTGTACCTTCCAATTCTTGCAATAACCATTGGTCAATACACTACAAGTATAGATATCAGTTTCTACACCACTCTGAACCATCAGTTCGAACAATCCATTTGCCTCTTTTATCTTTCCTTCTCGACAAAGTGCATTAATCAGCACGCTTAACGTAACTACATTAGGTTGCACATCACGATCTCCCATCTCGATAAATAGTCATTTAACATCTTCCCACTCACCCACAGAACATAGACCTTGTATCAGCGAGCTATACACAATCACATTTGGAAAAATCCCTAAGTCCTTCATTTGTACAAAAAGCTCTTTCGCCTTTTCTACCAAACCACCCTTATAAAGACGAAGTATAATACAGGAATAATAAATTTTATTAGGCTCACGATTCATGCCAAATTCACCATGCCCATCAACCATTTTTTCAAGCAATTTCAGAGCGACCCCTGTATTCCCAGTTCGACACAACCCATTGATCAAAGTGCCGCAAGTGTGCGCATTAGGCTGACAGCCAAATGCGCTCATATCCTTGAAAAGTCTCACTGCCTCACTAATCTTATCCTCCATACACAACCCCCTTATCAAAGAAGTGAAAGTCACAGTATCTGGCCTATAACCTCTTCTCATTATCACCCCTAAGACCACAAGACCATCACAGACCCTCCTCACATTACAATACGAATTAAGCAAAATATTCAATTCAATGAAACCTGTCAACAACCCTATTGAATCCATTCTTTTGCAAACAGAAATAACAGTAGGATAATGCTTATTTTTAGCAAGAGCACCCAGCAAAAGATTGAATGATGAATTGGCAGGGGTGGGTTGCATCTGAATCATTTCATCAAAGAAGTGAATTGCTTCTTGAAGGGTGATATTACCTGATTTACAATTTATGTACAGGAATTTCTCAAGTGGGTTTTTATTTTCAGGATTGAGGATTGAGCTTTTTTGGATAGTTTTTAAATTGCGGGTGACTTCGTTTGAGTTTCTGGGATTTCGAGTGGTGAGTGTTTGTCTATCAGTGAACAAGGAAGAAAGCTTTCCATTTGAAGCAATACTTGAAGAAAGCGATGATGCACGAGCGATAGGACGTAGAGACGATCGCGGGGTTCTGGAGACCGTTTGAAGCTGAGATAAAGGCGTTTCCTTTACTTCAATCTGCAAAAACTGGGTTCTTTTGCAGCCCGAAAATGGTGCTAAAGCAAGATTTCAAGACGTCGCCTCTATCTCAATTTTTGTTAGTAAGACTGTGGAGGGAAAGGAAGTGAAGATGCACAAAATATGATTTTGTCGACTAGGCCATGGAAGAAGGAAATGACTGGAGCAGTGTACTCGAGGTTTTCCAGGCCGGAAATGAGTCAAGAAAACGACGTCGCTGATGAAGACATCGTGTATACTAAAATCCTTGAAATTGAAAGTAAACTTTTAATATAGTTGGATTTGGAATAAATAAAAATAACAACAAAGGATTACATTTTTTTTAAGATAAATCAAATGGATTAACTAAGTTCAGAAACAACAATATCAAAAATGAAATCATGTCCCCGGACGAGGAATTTGTACCCAAGCCCAACATGTACTAACAGCAAAGTATATCTACATGGCCATACAAAATAATTGAATGATATCTCTAAATACAAAATAAAACATTTATACTCTGCATGATGATGTCAAAGTCGAGTTTTGGAGTTGTATGCTTACTTATAAAAATTAAGCTTATAAATATATGTCCAATACATAAATTGCATTTATGCTTATACATATATTTACTTCTATCCACACCCCTATACTTTCATGAAAAAAAAAAAATTATAGAACACTCAATTTTTATTTTAATTTATTAAACTCTTCAACTAATGAAATTGCACACATTACACGTATATTTTAAATTGATTCATTGCACACTTTAACTTATAAAATTATATCAATTAAATAATAATTAAATAGTTGAAAATTGTAAAATTATCGATCAAAAAGTCATACTATAATCACATATACAAAAGCTAAAAAATCTAAAAATTATTTTTGGGTCAAGATACAAGATTATTACAAAAGTGAAATTTGGAGTATTACAAGATTGATTTTTAAGTTAGGGAGCAACAAGGTTTTCTTGTCAAAATTTGAGGGTTAAATCATGGGGTATGTATACATTGTTGTTTCCAAACAGTAGTCATGTCTACTTAAAAAAAAAAAAAAAAAGGAAAAGAAAAAAGAGAAAACAAGTGTCACCATTTGATTTGGTTATATTGAGAAATGCATGGAGCTTCCTGCCAGTTTTATGGATGTCTCCAAGCAAATATAAGGGATACCATGCGACAAGGAACGAAATGCAAATGGCATTTTTGTTTCCTTTCTTCACAGCAACAACAAACCAAACAGAAAATCCTTAATCCTGCAAATCTCAGAAATGCAGATCAGAGGTTATCAGTATTTCTTTTTCCCTCTTTTTTTTTAGTTTTTGATTCATTTTTCTGCATTCATCTCATTTTAAATTAATAATAATAATAATAATAATAATAATTAATTTTGTCTATTCAGATTATAACAACAAACCAACATTCGATCAGATCATTGTAGCCTCTTCCATTGGGTTCATAATAGCAGCAGCAGTGCATTTTCGTCTCAAGCTGGTAAGAGATCGGAAGATAATTCCTCGTTTAAAACCCAAGGGAGCTGGCAGAGCAGAGAAGCTTGAAAGGTTCTCCCATTATGTAGGTAAATACATTTATTTTTATATATGATCCATTTTGAAACATCTTTTTTACCATTATTAATCAATTGTGTGTTAGTTTCATATAATGATGGATGGATGGTGTGTGCAGCTAGACAAATGGGATTTGCAGATAGGAGAGAATGTCCACAGCTCTGTAAGTTAGCTGCAGAATATATTCAAAAGAGCGAAGGGTTTGAAGAAGATGTTTATGCATATTTTGCAGATGAAGTTGAAGCTGATTCGCTTTTTGTAAAACTTCTTGAGGAGTTCGAGAGATGCATTCTTAGCTATTTTGCATTCCATTGGAGCCATGCTGATCTCATCATGCATCAGGTCATATAATTAATTATAAGTGGATGGTGATCATGTGATATGTTTTCTCTTAATTCATCAACAACCGTTGATTTTATTTCATTTTGATCCTTTTCATTTTGATACTTTTAGGATAGTTTGTTTATTATACTAATGTAGGATATTTAACAGAGATAATGTCAAATCGTTTTATGTATATTCAGGATTAATTAAATTAAAAGCATGGCATTAGGATCAAATCTCAGATAACAAAATTCCCTTTCTCGTCTTTCTATTTGTTATTTTTATGAATGAATAAGAATTTTAATGTTATTTGCATAAATAAATAGTTATTTAGCTATTTTGCATTCCTGTATTGAGTTTTTGCAGCTTGCTTACCATATAATTTCAGGTGTTGAGTGCTGATGAACCCAAAAAGAAGTTCAAAAACATTGTGATGGCAGCAACAAGGTGCGTAATAGTCGTGTTATTGTCGGAATAAATGCTATCAACCTGGATCAATAAGAGAATCAAATGATATTATCATCAAAATAGATTAAATTGAAAGAACTCAAGATCATTAATAACCAACAAGAAAAACCAAAATCTGCAGAAGAAAAAATAAATTGCGTGCTTCCCTTTCTTTTTTCTTTTTTCTTTTTTTCTTTTGGGGGTCTAGGGAACAGCGATTCGAGAGAGTGACAAAAAATCTCAAGGTAGCTAGGGTGTTCAATACCTTGGTGGAGGAAATGAAAGCAATGGGACTAGCATCACTTGATGACTCACAATGTACAGAGGTTATGGCTCCAGTGGCACACTCTGATAGAAGTCCAGTCCTCCTCTTCATGGGTGGTGGGATGGGTGCTGGGAAGAGCACTGTTCTTAAGGAGATTCTGAAAGAGTAAGAGCACTTCTGTAGTTAAATAATTCTGCATATCATATTCAATATCACATTACAATTAAATTGCATGCAATTAACAATTTTTTAATATTATGAAAAGTAGCTCCGTAAAAGATAAATAATTAGAATAATGTGGATTTTAATAAAACAAGCTACGCTGCACTAACATTTATTGTCTTAATGAATCATGAGCAGAACATTCTGGGCAGGAGCAGCAGCAAATGCAGTGATTATTGAGGCAGATGCCTTCAAAGAATCAGATGTCATATACAGAGCCCTTAGCTCCAGAGGACATGTTGACATGATCCAAACAGCTGAATTGGTTAGATAATACATCCCTTTCCCTAAACACCCCCATCACAATATAAAATCTTGGGAAGAATATTTAAAATTACATAACTGACTGATATAGAAAGCTAATTTAAAGATCACCTTCCCCTCAGTATTGATAGTCTGAGGAAGAGATTTCGCCAGAAAATTTCAAATAAGGACACATACCAACATACAGCACGGCAACAGCTGCGGCTAATGTGGTCACAGCAGTGAACTTTAATATTTTATTATATTTTTTTTTTTGTTTTTTGTTCCTTATTGTTGCTATGGTCTTTTGCTAGGAGTCTCAAGTAGCAGCAAAAGCATTTTTAAGTCTTAAATCTTTCTAACTAGCCGCTGCCAACATAGTCTTCAGGAGAGTTCTTAAAAATCATTTTGTATTTGACAGTCAATAAACTCCAAAAGCAATTTCTTAAATTGCCTCTGTTGTTTTACCTTATCTTGGGAAAGAAGCACAAGCTGTTGGCATCACTCAATTCCACATCCGATAAGAAAGTACTATATGCATCAATGATCTGACACTGGTCTAGATGCTCTTCCCTGGTAGTATAAATTTTTCTTTTTCTATTTTCTCAAATAGGTACACCAATCTTCCACGGACGCTGCATCTTCTCTCCTGGTGACAGCACTGAATGAAGGGCGGGATGTCATCATGGATGGCACACTCTCCTGGGTACCATTTGTTGTGCAGACAATAACAATGGCCAGAAATGTCCACCGCCGACGTTATCGCATGGGAGCTGGTTACAAGGTAGGCAGTGATGGAACTGTAACTGAGAACTACTGGGAGCAAATGGATGAAGAAGAACCACTGCAAGCTGGCAGCAAAAGGAGAAAACCATATAGGATAGAGCTGGTTGGTGTTGTTTGTGATGCTTATTTAGCTGTAGTCAGAGGCATAAGGTAACTGCCTATGGTTTTATTCTATGTTTTTATTTTAGCTACATAAATAAAGAGGAAGAACTAGAGTTTCTTTCTAAGATGCTGATTCAAACAACGGTCTGTTGTGGATGCATACAGGAGAGCTATAATGTGCAGAAGAGCAGTAAGGGTTAGGTCACAACTGAAATCCCACAAGAGATTTGCAAATGCATTTCTAACATACTGCCAATTGGTTGACAATGCCAGGCTATATGGCACCAATGCTTTGGATGGCCCACCAAAGGTACACGATCACAAACTATCCCTCTCCCCCTTCATTATGTTTCTCTTGCTTCTTTAATACCATAACTCGTGTTATCAGCAGCTGCATAAAATAAAGAATGTTACACATGTAACTGAAGATTCAAACGATTATCACACTTAAATTGCACAAGCTTATTTAAGTGAAGCTAAGTTAAGGTAGGGTGCATCTGACTTGAGCTCAGATAAGTTGCATTTGGATGTAAAAATCTGCTTACCTTCAATTCATTAAGGTTCAAAGCCTGGAAGCTCACAGGTTTATAACCCGAATTAGAACAAAGATAACAATTGGATGAAGGCAATCTTGCAGCTCAAAGCTGTCTTGATCATGACTCTCTCTAAATATAAGCCCTAGTTCACCCACATTTAGTCCTAGATATACATGAGTAATAAGCTAGAAAAAGTCAGTAGAAGAAATATCCATAGCTGTTGTTACCAAAATGCTTTTTCACAGAGTATATCATCAAAAGACTAACATAATTAATGACTGAAGTTGATAGGATGGAAAGAACGAGACAAGACTCTGCTGGTTGATCCTGATGAAATAGACTGTCTGAAATGGGTGAGCAGATTGAACGAGGAAGCAGATTCAATATATGAGCTTTACAAGTCCCCTAACCCAGCTAAGGCAGCTGGTTCGATTTGGAAAGACATAGTTTTGTCACCATCAAGGATAAATATTCAGAAGGAGTTGAAGTATTGCATCCAAAAAGTTGAACGATCAAAGTTATAAACGAATTTTCAGGACAACTTAAGTTCTAAGCTTTCCAAGATTCATAAAACAAACGATCAAGGCAGAAGCAGGCATCTGATTTTTTACCACATCTGACAAAAGGAATATCACAACAGGGTTTGTACTGAATATGATTGGTCTTATATATGTAATATTCATCCCTAATTCCACCTAGAATTATATTTACTAGCAAATTTATTGAAATGCAAAAACTCAACCGAGGCTATCTCACACAATCACTTTAGAGATCTTCAATATTGAAATTCTGGTGTGGTTTCACAGAATAACTTTCACTCACAGGACCAAAAATTTACCCCTTTATTAGAACCAGTGAATTCAAAGAAGAAAAACACCTTCCTTGTGGTCAAGTCCCAACATCCAAACTTTAGTCGATAAGATGGGAAGCAGTCCTAGATGCCTAATTGAGCTGACCCTCAATGTAAAACTTAAAAGGGAACCTGAATTTTATGACACTCAAAGAGGATCCAACCACATTAGCAATAACCATTAAAACAAAAAAGAGTGTTGTGTTTGACATTCATCAACTAAACATGAGCAACACAATAAGAATGTTCACATGCAAGTATTTCCCTTCATGTGATTGATTCTATGTTTTGCAGTCATTTTCGACAATTACAGACTCATAATTGTTCAACAACTCAACATAAATACTTATCTTGAATAGAGGCCCACTACATTGAGTTATAGTTACTGAAATCAAGGGAACAGAAGAAAGAAACAGCATAATAAACATGAAGCAATTGCAAAACTAAGAAGCATCCAAGAATTTTTAGAGAACTATAAGTACAAGCATTTAGGTATTTGTTTTATAACTGGTTTAGAGGTGATACATTTTATCATGTTAAGCCAGACCAATAACAGCTCCAGGCAAACATTCTTACCTCAGATTCTCTAGCCGCTACCATTTTCTCTTCCTCTTGCCCCTACCGTTTCACCTGTATCATCAGTTATACTTCTAAACTCTTTTTCTTTGCAAGTGGTCTGCCCATCTTCTCTCAAAAACTTTTACCTTGAGCATGATTAGTTTGAGAATTCCATGATCACACAACAGTTTTGAATCATTACTCCGCTAAATTAAGCTTCTATAGTTCTATGGAATCAGTGTGACCATCAATTCCCTACAAACAAAATGAAAGAAAGCTAAATGTAAATCTGTCCTTAATTGCCACCTCCTGTGTGATGGTAGGGACATAAAAAAATCATTATGTGGATGGCTCAGAGATCTTCTAGTAAGCCAAACAAAGTAAAGAAAATTATTCTACCATAAATAGGAAGAAAATGGAAGAATATTTTGTAGCATGGGAGGGGGGACGAAAACGAATATTGTTACGCATGAGTTTCAAAGCACAGGCCTATTAAGTTCCAAGAAAAACAATCCCATAAGATTGCCCTGATTACTGAAACTGAAACTTACATGATATTCTAGGTAGCACATAAAGAGAGGTGCACAAAAGTTTGATAAATTCTCCTCAAAGAATATATACTTCCAACATTCCAGTTGACACGAGATACAACTCATCATTGAGGGCACCTCACTATAAGTTTCATCTCCTCTTGCTGCAAACAGGACAGCAGGCCATGATAATTGAACTAATATGCATATGGATGTATAATCTATGTCAGCTCCTGATGGAACTCATGCATGATTCTACTTATGTTGTTTGCTTAATTTATCTCTGTTTATTATGGCATGACATGGAAGAAATGCATCACATTAAGCAAGTCCCTAAATATAAATAAGACAGAAAAAACTTTTGTTGGTAACTGCCCCTTGAACATGAAAAAAGAAAATAACAAGTATAGAATAGGTGCGCACCCGTTACTAAGAAGAAATGCTTAACCGTGGACTGTTAAAATGTATGTAAATATTTAATTATGATGACAAGCTCATACAGAAATATGCACATAGATTGGCACTCCAAATCTCTAAGATCCTAAGGAAATTCCTGCTTCTAGTTGCATTAGATCAGATCCTAAGTGCTTCTGCAAATAGGAGTCTGCTAAAGAATCTTATTTGATCTCTTAGCTAGATCTTGGGGTTTCTTATTTTTCAAAGCAATGACTAACTATTAGGTCTGTAATCAACACTTCCATTCATGTTTTCTTGGGTTCCACTTTTACATGTTTCCACGCTCAGAATAGACAATACTGAGTAAAGTGCAACATTTATCTGCCTTCTTAAATAATATGCACAGAAAATAAATAGTAAAATGTAAAAATATAAAAATATTAAAAAAAAAAAAAGAAAGAATAAGAAGAGCAAATCTACCCAAGACAAATCATTAAGGATATCTAATCACATTGATTTGAATTTATAAGACAGGAAATATAAATCACAGTTTAATAATGCATCATTAAATGAGCATTCAAATTTAAGAATCTGCTGACCATCCAACAGTGTCCATAATGGAAAAAGCGGCATCGTTAATGCAGTCTGTTATTCCCTTTATGGAAGGAGTTTATAGTTAAGTGTCCGACAATGTACCAGACAAAATGCAAAATGTTAATTATCATGATGAAGAAACGGTAGCAATGCAGTTGTTCAACAGGTTACCAAAGATATCCAACAGTGTCCGTACGGAAAAAGCAGCATCATTAATGCAGTCTGCTATTCCCTTTATGGAAGGAGTTTATAGTTAATTGTCCGACAATGTGCCAGACAAAATGCAAAATGTTAATTATCATGATGAAGAAACGGTAGCAATGCAGTTGTTCAACGGGTTACCAAAGATATCCAACAGTGTCCGTAACGGAAAAAGCGGCATCATTAATGTGGTCTGCTAATCCCTCTATGGAAAGAGTTTATAGTTAATTGTCCGACAATGTGCCAGACAAAATGCAAAATGTTAATTATCATGATGAAGAAACGGTAGCAATGCAGTTGTCCAACGGGTTACCAAAGATATCAATATAATGATCAAAGATTGTATATTAAAAAAACTACCGTCTCTTATGCCATTAATTGATTGTTCTTATACTTATATTAAAAACAATTAAATCAAGTGACAGTTTCCAAATAAATGAAGCCACAAAACCTATTTGGTGTGTTTGGTATAGTATGGTATCTAGACCGTTACTCCCAACCCTTACAGGGAAGAAATGACTAAAAATAAACATAAGTGATACCACGTCTATCTAAGAAGAGCAGAAAATTGTCATCAGTATACACCAGAAATTCTCAAGCTTTAAAAGTAAAAGAATTGTGTTCTATGTTTGCTTAAAGGCACCGGTCTTGGACGCCTGCTACATCCAATGAAGGACATTCAGTTTTTCATACTTATCCTAATATTTCGGAGATCATACCCAAACAATCACGTCCATTCTAGGTGTCCGACAAAGGTAATTAGAGTAAGTCAAGTGCTGGAGTAAGAGAACACACTTCACATGTGGTTAAAACTTCAATGCTTTATAAACGTTTATAGAACGTTTCAAGAACCAAAATCTTCCCACAAATATTCCTGAACAATGTCTGATCTAGTTACATAGAATATCCATTATTTTTCAGTACATTTAAGAGGTCATACTCAAGTAACCATGTTTGTTCAAGACATGTTAGACAAAGATACATTAGGGTAATGCAAACTGCTGCATAAGAGAGTGCAGCTCATAAAAACTAATTAATTAAAATTAAAGCTTTAATGAAAAAGTTTTATTTAAAAAAAAAAAAAAAAAGTATATCCAAGCATCTGATTAACTGCCTGAGATGATCACATTATACGAGATATGTTATTTGCAACTCAAACTCCGGATGTTACTGCCATTAAAATTAGGAAAATACTAATGCTCATTATTCAGAGCAATATGAAGGTTAGTATGGTAGAATTACTGGGAATCTTGCTACCATCAGTTACAAGCAAAATTATTATTGTCAAACCCCAAAAGTTAATTGTGATATCCTAATGAAATCATGGAGCAAAGACATCACAAACTGGTAGAGACTCAATTAAACATGCTAGTGTTTCCAATATCCCAAAATGCAAAAGCAAAAATAAATGCTTTAGTCCAACTACATTTCAGCGTACTGCTTGAAGCAATAACAAGACCTCACAATGTTTTAACCCTGAGTTCCATTAACAGAACCCTCTTTGACCATTCAAGCTCTGCCTAGCACCAGAATCGTCAACTATGGTATCTCTATCGATTGTTCCAACGCAACAAATTGCATCCTTATTCTCCTAACTGTTCCAAAGCGGCAAATTCCATCCTTATTCTCCTCACGGGACCTTCCACATGAATAATTATCCAGTTCCAAAGGTGCAAATTGTAGTAAACTTCATTTTATGAAAAACATAGGTAAGAGTAAAATAAGCATGTTCAAAATAAGAGTTAACAAACTTTCCTGGAAATTAATCCAAGCAAGGTTCCAAAGCAGACAATGTCATATCTAATCCAAGAACAACTCAACATAAATTGATTCATACTCAACGATTGTTGATTTTAACCAATACAAGCACTGAGCAAAAATTATACATTTGAGACTATCGCAATGTAAAGTTAAAAGAACGAGATCAGCGTGTACCTATGTTTAAAGTTATATTGCATCTGCTAGGTTATACGGGAAATAATTGCAACCACCTCTATATGAAATTTGAGTGAATAAAAAAAGGAATCAAACCTGAGCTCCCGTCAAACTTCAATTACGCAACAATGGCGTGAAAGAGCCGACTTCCAGCACTAGTTCGGTGAAATAATAGCCCTACCCACTTCTACTCTGCCAATCTTCAAGCATGCACCCACCAGACCAGACATGACCTTACTTCAATTAACAAACCTAATTCTGCGGCGACATTCCAGCGGTCATGTGCGAGAAGACGAAACCGCAAACTTAGGGAAATTCGCCATTTCGACCCATGCGATATTTAAGCATATTTATGATAATAATATACATAACTGCTAAAACTGCCGGTGTGTAACGTCAGTTGCTTTTGAACCATGTTGACTAGAAAAAGCTAAAGAAACACTTTAATGGAGGGATGCGTTTTTTTATCTCTTCAATGGAGGGAGAGGTGTTTGCAAGGAAAATTACTCTCTTAAATTCATCCAACTGATGCTTACATCTGATGCTGTTTTAAATCCTAAACAAGGTAAAAAAAAAAAAAAACTAAAGAAATTAAAAAATTAAGATCCGATGTCTTTTTTTCTGTTTTTCTTTAAGCTATGGGCTTACATGATACATGGACCCAAATACATCCCAAAGCCACCTAATTTACAAAATTACCCCTACGAACACATTCTCCTATGCCTCTATCGCGATCACTTCCTTCCTCTTCTAGTTGTGGCCTTCTTCGCCGGTGACTTCACGCTCTTCGGCTTCGCACTTTTAGCCGGGACCTTCTTTGCAGCAGGAGCCTTTTTCGGCGCCGCTTTGGGAGCTGCCGCCACTTTCTTTCCCGGAGTTGTCCTAGTCGAAGTCCTGGATGCCTTGGCAGGTCGCTCTTTAGGCTTAGGTCTAGTCGGAGTTGCCTTAGGTTTTGCAGCAGGCTTAGACTTAGCAGGCGCAGCTTTTGGCTTAGCAGCAGCTTTAGGTTTAGCAGCTGCCTTAGGCTTTGCCTTAGTCTTAGTAGCAGCAACAGCTGCAGCTGCCTTCTTCTTCGCAGGAGCACTGGCAGCTGCCTTAGTTGACTTGGCTTCCTTTGGTTTAGCTGCCGCAGCCTTAGGCTTGGCCTTGGCCTTGGTTTTGGTGGATGCTTTGGCAGCAGGTTTCTTCTTAGATTTTGACGGAGGTGGAGCAGCTGGCTTAGGTGCCGATGATTTCACTGGAGGAAGCTTGAAAGATCCTTTCACCTTCACAATCTTGCCGGCAGCTACAAGCTTCTTCAAGTGAAATAGAAGCAATTTCTTGAAATTTGGCGGCAGCTGCTTATGCTTCTCTTCAATGAACTTAGTAATTGCATACTGACTAGAACCAGTCTTCTCCTTCAAAGTCACAATAGCATCCTTGATCATCTATGAAACCACAAAAACAGAAACGAAATCAGATCTACAAACAAAAAAATCTTAACATTGGACACAAAAATACTGAATTCAAATCTGAAAATGATATATAACATAAAACCCACCTCTTCATATGGAGGATGGGTACTACGGGCTCGGGATTTCTTAGGAGCAGCGGGTTTTTTTGCTTTGGATTCCTTTGTCTTCTTGGTCTTACCAGTCTTGGTCGCCGGAGCTTCTTCGGTTGGTTCAGTAATGGCCGGTTCAGGATTGGCCTCGACGTCTACAGTTGGATCTTCACTGGCCATTTGAGAAACAGAGGATTGGGAATTCGGATTTTGGGGTTAGGGTTCAATACCAGGGCAGACAATTCAGAGGAAATAGGATAGAATTGGATCTAAGACGAATTGTGTCCTAGTAATATCGATTATGTGAGAAGATGACGAAAAGGGATGGATTTAAATAGTCAAGTGAGCATGAGAGAGTATCCAAAAGCTGAACTCTGATTGGTTCGGACTTGAAGGACTCCTTGAAGTTTGAATAATAGCCGTTAGATGTTAGCCGTATCTACGGTTAAGAATGCTTGACAGAAGGATTTGGGTTGGATTGTGGATTGGGAGGCATGGATGAAATTGTTAGCATAGGTGTGCTTTTAAGCTCAATTCATTTGAGTATATCTTGAGCTACACTAAATGGATTTTAGTTAGATTTCTTGCATTTTGTAGATTATTATGTGAGCTTTCTAATGAGTATTGGCACATGTTGTGGAGCTTTGTAATTTGGGAGAAATTGAGGTTTGAAGCCACAATGGTCAAAATTAGGGTTTGCTTTGATGTTATTGTGGTTTTGAGAGATTTTAGAAGCATTTCTTGATACATTTCTATTATTTCTTGACCTTATAAGATAGTAGCCTAATAAAGGAACCTATTGATCCAAGGATAATTAAAATGCAATGAATTTTAATTAGTGAACTATTGATTTGAATATCATGAAAGTTGAACACATATGTAATGATAATGATGCTACTTAGTTATGTATAATATGTACACTTATAAAAAATTACAATGAGCTTTTTTTTTTTTCTAATATATAGTTCTAGCTATTGATATGTAGAAATGTGAATAAACATTTAAGAAAAACATAAATTATCTAATGTTTATATATTGCACAATACAGTTAGAGATTCTAACAGTTACTATTATATGAAAACCTATGATAGTATGTAATATAACCTTCTAGATTGCTCTCTCCATGTGCAAAATTTTATGCTTAAATGTTATGCATTCTTAAACCGTATGATATATAAATTTACTTCTTGAATTTTGTTACTTCGACGTTGTGGCATTCCCTCAAGTTTACTTTAACACATCATGTACTTCAATTTGTAAAATTACATATATTAAACATTTTAACTTATAAAATTATTTTATGAAATACTTCAATTTGTAACATTAGATCAATTAAACACCATGAGATGATTGAAAATATGTACCTTATTATTTCAAAACTTGTATTAATTACACATATAATCAATATTTTGTATATAAAAGTCAAAAACCTTAAACACCGTATTATTAGTGTGGAAAGATATATGATGTTATCAAAATTTTTAGCATTAAAAATACAATAAATCTCTCTCAAAATTGAGAGTGTCACGAGATTAAAGTAACAAAGTTTATGAGTGGATTTATATGTTTATCCATTCTAAACTTATTGCATATTTCCCGCCATTTTCAATAATCTCCTTTATTATGTATATGTAAGATGGAGGCCAAAAGAAGTATAGATATGGGTTGAAAAATGATAGATATGCATATACATCTTTTTTTTAAGTTAACAATACATCATAAAGAAACATCAATACCACATATTACAATCACAAACATGTAAAATAAATAGTAAATATTCGATGTAAATGTTGAAATTACATTACAAGTTCAATGGAAAAAAATTTTAATTGGTTTTTAAACGATTGGCTTGTAACTAGATCAAATAATTTGTATTTGCCAAATTAAACAAAATTTTTATCTAACGATCAAACTAATCGGGTTAAAAATATTGGTACATCTTTTTTTTTAATATAGCTTTAAAATTAAAAAAAAATTATGATGATAAATTTAGCAAATTTAACAAGTTACTAAATTGGTCTTCATCTAAAGACCAAAAATGGTTAGAGTCTAAGGTGAAACTAGGTTAACCTTCCTTTCCTTATAAGTTTCATTCCCTTATATAAAAAAAATTATGTTTGCAATTATGTTGTTACTAAGTTTGCCTTGCAAGTTGCAAGTCTTTAGGATTAGGATCAATTCTTTTTGTGTGCGGTTTATTTTGTAATGAGTTTATGTTCTCAAGCAGTAATGAAACTAATATCTAAAAGGAGACAGCGCAAAATAATATAAAATTTAATTAAAGTTGTGTACGACAATAACTTTTTAAGTAATTTCTAGTGTTTTAAATGTTGTTTTCTAACAATTTTTTAAGTAGTTTTTAGCGTTTTAAATGTTATTTTCTATATGTTCAGTAACATAATATTTGAACTAACTTTATAAAAAGTTAACTTATATAATATTTATCTTTTAGGGTTTTATAAAAAGCTACTCAAACAACTCCAATAGCTCAGCATTAAACGATGTTAAAACAGCTAATAACTATTAAAACATTTAATTTTGCGAAATAAACTTTAAATAAATATCGTACAAAGGAAAAGGGGACCAAGATGTTTGAATGTTGGTTAAAATCTCTCATTAGTCAAAACTCAACATTGTTAAAGAAAATTTTTTGGCTATTGTCCACCTTCTCTATAAGATAACATCCTCCCTATTCACAAGAGTCTATTTTTTTCAATTCCATATACTTGAGAAACTAATTTCATATATCATGAATATAGAATTAAATTTCAATAAGAAATAGATATAGCAAAAATTGAAATATCATTAATACTCTTAATTATAAAATATTTAATTAAATGTTATATTTTATATACTATTATTTCCAATAGTTAAAACTATTATTTTATTTTCGAAGACTTTTTTTTTTTTTCATTTGTCAATCAGATTTATTAGATAGATGATATTTATATTTCGACGTTAATTAGCTATTTTAAAAAATGCATTTTGGTGAGTGTTAATGTAGTCTATATTATTCTATATGTATTTTTTGTGCTTATCCATAATAATTAACTACATACAGTTATCTTTTATGCAAAATTTTTATTGTAATCCAAATATAATGATTCAACATTCTTAGAATTATTTTTCTGAAAAAATTTATTAAATTATGAATTTTAATAAGAATGTTGAAGTTTAGTTACCAAATATTCCATCTAGGAAAGCTGCAAATGAAATTAGTAAAACTAGTTGTTGTAGTTGGAAATAGGATTTGTGTAATAATAATCAAAAAAATAAATTGAATAGAACTGGTTCAATTCAAATTTTTATAAACTTGATATGATTCAATTTGATTAGCTTGAAAAGAAACAACTCAATTGGTCATTATATGAATTGAATCCGAACCAAAAAATTTTCAATTCGTGTAGGCAAGATTTGTTTATCATATTGGTTTTGGGGTAAAGATAGAGTAAATTTATGAGTTGCGGATAAGGGTGTATAACCTACACCTGACTTCTTGTTGTTATTCTTAAGCGTTCTTAGGTTAAATATGTATGAAATATGAAATATCATATTCTCATTTATTATGGTTGGATAACAATCATAACTCAGTGTAAAATGTAAAATATGAATCAAATGTGTATGTCAATTCCATAATTTTGGCAATTTGTTTTTCTCTCTTGGAATTACTTTTTTTGAATTTAAAAAATTTTATTTATATATATATATTTGGTAATATTTTTTAAAACAGATTCTGTATTTATATAGCTGATATTGGTTTGTAATTCCATATAAACATCCTACATGGTATCATGATTTCACCATATAATAATTCGTTGGTCAGATGGAGATAATGATCGAGGATTAGACTTGAAAAGCTATATACGTGTGAGTTCTTACATAACTATATAAATATTTTCTCTCTCCTAGGGTAAAAAATTCATCTGCTTAGTTGAAATTAAATCAATTTAAAACATATTAAACAAATCGAGATTTTTGAAATGAAAATCAAATTAATTTGGTCAATTCAATTGATTTTATTAATTTTAAAGCTTCATAAAAACTACACAGTTTTATTTGATTCAATCAGTTTTACGGAAGTATTGTCAGCACTATTTCCTTCTGTTTATTTCAAAATATGGTTATATTGAATCTTGTGATTGAAATTTGTTGATTCTATTGTATTAATTTTCTATGAAACGAGTTATTAGTAATTACATGTATTAATTACTTTAATATGGGCCTGGGGCCTCGCAAGTTCATTAGGCTGACTGGATGGATTGCATGTCTTATTATTTAAAACTTCGTTCGGCCCATGTTTATTTTAAAACTCTATAGTATATCATTGCATTCAAAATATACAATTATCTTAATATTCATTTTCATGCAATATCAATTGAATTTTATTTCTAAATTAAATGAAGTTATCAATTTGATGACATTGTAAATACTTAATAAAATTGCTCACACACATCTATTTTTGTATATATGATAATGCAACAAAAATTACTATTCTCTTTTTAAATCAATCTCATTAATTATCCAACATGAAATATTTTTTATTACATAAAAAAGAGTCGATTAGCGGAGCGAGCGGGTTCAATCAATCGGGTAGACCCGAATAATAAAAACCCGCAATCCACGAACTAATCGGGTATCTTATAAATATACTATTACCGTCTCCAAAACCCTAGCCATTGCAGAACACACAACTACCGTTTGGCGGGTGTTGTTTCTCCATCTCTAAACATGGTAAGGATTCAAAGCCTCTGCCATTCAAAATTTTCCGATTGAGTTTCAAAATCAAAAGAAATTATTAAAAATTTTCTTTCCTTCTTCATCATTTTCCCAAAACCACTTTTATATTTGATATTGGGAATTCTTGTTGCTTTGTTTGATAATCAGGCGGATGTTGAGACCGAAGTCGCTGCTGCAGGCCAGCCAAAGAAGAGGACGTTTAAGAAGTTCAGTTTTAGAGGAGTTGATTTGGATGCTCTATTGGACATGACTACTGATGATCTCGTCAAGCTCTTTCCTGCTCGCGCTCGCAGAAGGTGATCTTGTTGTAATCAATCGCGTCTCTGTTTTTTTATTTGCTATCTCATGTATTAAATATATTTATATTAAATTCATTTCATTTCAGGTTTCAGCGAGGTTTGAAGAGGAAGCCAATGGCACTTATTAAGAAGCTTCGCAAGGCGGTATGATTTCCTGCACCAATATCATGCATAATGCTTGTTTGGCTTGACTTGATTTTGTTATAAAACTTATGTTGAGATATGCCTTGCTGATTTCTGAATTTTTATTCATATGTTGACGGCTTGTGATTGATGAGATTAGAATTTTAATGGTTGTTACTGATTACATTGTATGAGATGAAAATTTCTCTGTTACGCATTGCGAGGAAGTCTGTTCTTTTGTTTAATTGCAATTTTATTAGGAATTAAATGAGCTATTGAGTTGACCTTCCACTGATTGTGTAAGTACTGCATGAATTGAAGTTAATGCTTATAACTTGGTGGAAGATTACGGGAAAATGGTAAATGCAATGTAGTAAACTACAAGGGTTAGATGGGTTAAGGTTCAAAACTGTGGCAGAGTGCTTCAATGTAGATATGCAATAAAAGTGCTTTTTCTTGCAACACTGAGCTACAATTATGTTTGTTTTGATGAATATGCAACTGTTTCAACCAAAAAGTGCAAAAAGATCAGAAGTATTATCTTCTTTAATTTTTGCCTTTTGGATTTTTTGTGGAAATGCCAGAATTATTTGTCTATATTATTGGCAGAAGTGGCCATGAGCATTTTATTTTTCCTGTATTGGAAATTGGTTTGTGATTAGTTTGGGACTAAGATTTAGTTGTTGAACTGGAAATTGGTTTTTGTATGTGTTGTGTGATGGAGAAGTTTGTTTTTATAAGATTTGTTATATTATCATAACGCCTATTTGAGTAGTGAAAGCCTGTGATGTTCTTATAACATCAAGTTGACAGAGGATCTTTGTTATGCTTTAAGAGGTGTTATAGGAACTCACTATTATGGTGGTGAATTGTACTTGAAGGAGCAATTTTGTTACCATAATTCAACATTTCTATGGAAAATACTTTCATAGAATAGTAGTTTTCCAGGTAAATATATATAGGAATGCTGAATTATATTTTTTTGGGTGATAACAATAACTTTCTAAGAAAATTAAGATAATTGTGTTTGATTAATTATGAAAAAGTTAAAATAAAATAGTAGACTACTTTATTACTCCTAATTTAATTATCTTTATTTAATTAATTTACAAAGGACCAATGAAAAATAATACCTTTTACTTAATTTATAATATCTTTTATTTATTATACGTAAGGATTAATGAAATAAAATTTTTGTAACAACCAATTTATATTTAAAATATAAATATTATTCAGAAATTAGTTAATATAATTATAGTTGAAACTCTCATTGAAGTAATCAACAGATATACTTGATACTATAGTTAGGGTTTTTTTTCTTGCAAAGAATTATATAGTTTTGAGTATCGTGAATGATAATATGTAAAAGGTTTAAATTTGCCTAAGTATTTTCTCAAGTAAAGATATTAATATAATTATGTTTTTTAAATATCTTATTATCTACAAGAATTTAACTTTCCTACACTTTGAGAGGGAAAATAGTTTCCCATGTATATGGAAAAGTAATTATAGGGTCCACATTTTGATTTTCCTTGGAAAGTAGAATTTTTATACCAACTGAACATTTGAAAGTTATTTTTCATGATCCTGTGAAATTCTGGCAACCAAATGACCGCGAAGTCTTAATTGGGGCAAAATGCAATTCTTAAAAATCTTGTATATTTTTGGCAGTCCATGTGTGATGTTATATTTTTAAATATTTTTATCAGTGGATATCCGACCTTAATATTTGCTTTGTTTCTGGTAGATGTTCTAAACACACTAAAAAGCCCTTAAAATTTGTTGCAGAAAAGGGAGGCCCCAGCTGGTGAGAAACCTGAGCCTGTTAGGACTCACCTGCGCAACATGATTATAGTACCTGAGATGATTGGTAGCATAATTGGAGTTTACAATGGCAAGACCTTTAATCAAGTTGAAATCAAGCCTGAAATGATAGGGCATTATTTAGCCGAGTTCTCAATCTCCTACAAGCCTGTTAAGCATGGAAGACCTGGTATTGGTGCTACTCACTCATCCAGGTTTATCCCTCTCAAATGAAGATTTTGCAGATGTCTTAACTTCAATGGGAAGTGCTTTCTTATGTTTGTCGTTAAATGACCTTTCTGTTAACTGCTTTTCATCTCTTAACAGTTTTACCTCATGTTGAATTTGAAAATTAATTAGTTTTATTTGAATCTTTATTTAATGAACTAAAAACTGCCACTCATACCTTGAGGAAAGAAATGCTCAACTCGCCTTGTCCATGAAAAGGTATTTGTAATTTTATTGAATTTAATGTGTTCAAACTGCGTGGATGATACACATTTCTTGAAATTTTTTTAAAGTCGAGGAATGTGAATAAAGTTTACAATTCAAAATAGTTGAACCCAAGTTCGACTATTTTTGGCAGAGTTGAATCAACTTGAGCATATCTTAAATGAGTTGAAATCGAGTTAAATAAAATTTAGCTTAACTCAGCACAGTATAAAATAAAATTTTTCGACGGACAAGAATTTTTTCGCTTTGAAATAGAAAATTTTCTGTCCCCTCCTGCTGAAAGTGGATAGCTAAAGCTATTTCTTTGACCAACTCATTGTTTAATGCTGTGGGTTTTTTTTTTTTTTTTTTTTTTTTTTCGAGTTAAATAAAAATTAGCGTTTAACTCACACAGTATAAATAAAATTTTTTCGACGGACAAGCAATTTTTTCCGCTTTGGAATAGTTAAAATTTTCTGTCCCTCCCTGCTGAAAGTGGATAAGCTAAAGCTAATTTCTTTGACGCAACTCATTGTTTAATGCTGTGGGTTTTTTTTTTTTTTTTTTTTTTTTTTTTTTTTTTTTTTTTTTTTTTTTTGGTTTTTGGTCAGTAACACTTGCATAATATGGGTCGACGAGTTTGTTTGCCTGAGCAGTCACCGGCACCCCTAATTTTTTTTTTTCAGATTCTTAATCTCTAAATAGGTTTTTTGCTGAATTGAAAAACAGTAAAAACTGCAATGTTGTTAGAGGCAAGATATTTATGCCTACAAGGTGTTGGTGAAATTATCTGTTTGTGGGATGAATTTGTCTTTTGCCATTGCTGCATGTTGACCAGTTGAAATCAAGTAGCTTTTGCTTTGCAGAGTTTTCTTTTGTTCTTTAGAGTTGCAGCAAAGTTCAGACAAAAGATGGGATTTTAAAATTATCTACTGAGGACTGGGACCATTCCTTATGTTACAAATCCCGGATATGAATGTGTACCTGAGCTTATAAGCGTACACACTACGCCTCTTTTTGGAATAGGATAACGGTACTTTAATAACTTGGTATCAAAATCAATCTGAATCCACCGCTACCGTCACAGAATTGACCATTGCACACTCTAATAGGCTTGATGTTTTGTAGGATTTTCACCAGTTTGATGATAGTTTTGCAAATAAAGGCTAATTTGTTTTTTTATTTTTTTTCCTCTCTTTATAAAAAGAAAAAATAAATATATTAGTGAAAATGAGCTTTTTTATTTATTTATTAGAAAACCCAATGCTCTCAGCTTGACTCACCTATTGATTTATTGTTTATATCTTTTTTATTTTTAAGTGGTCAAACAAATATTATGAATGAATTACACAACGGAAATAACTTTGTTTATTAGATATTTCTATGGTCTATATTAAAAATCATAAAATTCAAATAAAAGAACAGAAAAAGGTTTAACATCGCTTCTTTGCATATATCAAAATAAAAACAAAAAAAGAAAAGATATGGTCAACAGTCAAAACTAAATAAGTACAGCAGAAGCAAATTCATACAAAATTGAAAATGCAGTTTATGTCAGGGAAAGAATTTCCATACTCTAAAACGATTAAGAAAGCCCACTTGTTAAATAAAAATATAAATAATTAGATGGGAAAATTAATTTTAAGCTATAATTTAATCCCTTCCATTGTTATTTAATTAAGGTACCAGTCTCCCACTTATGTAGATTTGTTTAATTGAAAATTATATTTACTTTTCATATTGTTTGTCAACATTAGACTAAAAAAATATTTTTTTTCTAATTTATAAATTTCAAATTGATTTGGTGTTAACGAAATTAAAAAAAATTAATATGATATATAAAAATATTAATGTGTAATACTATACTACCCAAAAAGCATTACCCTTAACGGGCTTATGATATTGTTGCTGCTCGTAATTGGCTTTGATATTATTCTAACCGTTACGAATAGTGTAAATTGTATAATATTCTACATACCATCTGATGAAAAAAAAAAAAAAAAAAAAAAAAAAAAAAAAAAAAAAAAAAAAAAAAAAAAAAAAAAAAAAAAAAGAATTGTGAGTGTTCATGGTCCAAATTACTTTTGATCCAAGCTTCAAAAGTTATGCTACACAAACAACAACCACCACCATAATACACTATTTGAAAAGAAGAGTCTTAACCTCATTCAACTTGGGTTATTATCATCATAACTAGCATGACTGTAATTGACTGACTAATTTGTCATTTTGGTAAAAAAAATACAAAGAAGAAGCAAGTGAAGGTTCTGAAGCTGACGCTATAGCTGTCCCACTACATCACAACTCAATCATGGAAATCTTGACCAGCCCAATTCTTTTTCCTTCCTGCATTAAATGGCTACACAGTTTAAACTCCTAAAAATGTTTGAAGAAAGAGTTGGATGCTCATATAAATGGGACCTTTTCTTGATGGGTTCTTATGACTGCATGCATACCAAATTAGGGCATAGAGAATGTCTTTGCTTTGATAATTTTCAAGATTTGGAATTTTAGCCCAAGACAATATAAATGCCAAGGGAGATCCAATCATACATCCATAGATCAAAGCATGATAGCCCATATTGGTCCCCTTTCTAGGTCACATGCATTGCTGCTAGACATTTTTTTAGGGTTTGCAAAGATATTTTGGAAGAATAGATGCTTAAGCTATTAAAGCTATTCAACTATCTTGGATTCTGATTCCCAGAATTACAAGCAACCCAAGTCAAATTCTTGAAGACTTTCAATCTTTTAAACCACATTGGATAGCTACATGTTTTTGTTAAAGAGAGATTTGGTTTCAAAAATTTTATAAAATGTCAATTTATTAGAGTTCTTTGATAGCTAAATTTGGACTTTCTATAGAAAAAAACTTGTCAAAGAAATTGATTTCACAACTAAAGTTTACACAAATGGGAATTAGATTGAGTTACACTCATTTCTAGTTTTCTATATCTAATGTATTGTGCAAGAGACATTGCAACTAACAACTTTCTTTCTTTCTTTTTAATACAGTCAAAGTGTTACTTTCACATTATTGTCAAAAAAATTGAACTCATATTATTCTAAACTCACCTCCTTAATCCAATCATTAGTCTGTTATTATTTTGTATTAAGAGACACTCAAGTATTACTACAACCTAGTTTTCATGCATCTCATTCTGCCAAACCCACCTTCTTTGTGATTTATTACGTATTATTGTTTTATTAATATTAGGTAAGAAGTCATTTGTTTAGACTGAGTTCTGAATGTTAAATCTAAATTAATTATTTATTGAGCTGAACCATTAATAATTAAGATCAAAGAATTATGACACTGGGAGATGGATGTGACTGTTTGCGAAGCCTAAATTTTTTTTAAAATTTTCCTTCATAAAATTTTTTATTTGGCCTCCTTAAAAAAATTCCATTTGCTGAACAAGTTTGAAATGGAGAAAATATTACTTTGAATTCTGTTAAATTTGAATTATTTTGCTTCATTTAGATGATGTATTTATAAATCAAAATACTTTTTCATTTAGTCCGTATATCTATACTAAACTTTATTTTTGTTCAAAGACTATAATTAAAGAGTAGCATAGTCAATCACTCTTACTTCCTCCATCCCATACATATATAGATGTAATTTGACTTTCACATGCATTAAGGAAAACTAGTTAATATAATTAAATTATGTTATTTGTTTAGGCTTCTCCTAAATATCTTTACTAATATTAAATGATATATCTATATAAATACAGATATACATTAAATGGTGATATATTAAGAAATTAAACAATAAATATTTTTTTTTTAAAAAAGAAAACTAAAACTATATTTTGACACAAACAAAAAAGGAAAATGAACCCCTCTCTCTCTCTCTCTCTATATATATAAAGGAAATGAACCGCTCTCTCTCTCTCTCTCTATATATATATATATATATATATTTTTTTTTTTTTTTTGAAAATTCAACTCTATATATATATATCCTATAATAGGACAGAGGATATTTTTTTTTTTTTTGTCAAATTGAAGGCGATTCAATATTTTAAATATTGTCAAATTGAAGCGATTCAATATTTTTTAAATAAAACTATTATAGTATCAGTTCATGGCTTTGACTTCCATTAGTGGGTTTAGTTAAAATAATAAATAGATCTCACGTACTCCACCGATGAAATTTGATTACTTTAACATGAATAAATTAATTTTGACAAGCATATCATGTCTCTCAAGATAGAACGTTCATGAGAAGAGCTTATACGCCGCTTCAGACTCAACACCTCCAACTAAACACTAATCTTTATAATCCGATGAATATCTATCATAAACATATAGTCAATTAAAAGAAAATCACCACAATTTGGATATTACTAACTTGGGAAGAAAATTTCTGGAACTGTTTCAAGCATTGGCTGCCATGGAAGATGAAAAAGTTCTTACAATTTAAAGCCCCAATTCTACATTTTTCTTTGATCGGTGCTTCACTTCAAGCTCGCCGGCCTAATTGCTAAGAAGGCTTTGGTAAGCCAATTCCAAGAGTCAAAAAAGGAAAACTTAGAAAAAAAAAAAAAAAAAGCCCCCAAATATATCCTAGACTTGAAGGATGCAAAATATGTACAAAATCCATTCGCAATTATGTTTCGATTAATGGAACAGTAAGCGGCTTGAGAAGAACACGGGGATTATGTATTCGCAGATTGTGAAGGTATCCTCGGATGGTTGTGTTCACCTTCATAAGTTATGATAAGCATGGATGGCTCTTCCACGCATCTCTCCACATGCTTCCTTGCAGGACAACCTCTCATGCTACTACATTTGTAATATCCCCTGCACACGTTCAAAAGGACAATCTTAATCAACATAAGTTCCTCAAAATTTAGCATTGAAGCACATGCAATTCTTAAAATACAGATCGAATGTAAGAATAGAGCAAAAGCTAAATTCAAGGTTATTGGTGAGCTCAATATACTAAATTCAAGGTTATTGGTGAAGCTCAATATATATATATATAGTATATATATATATATATATATATATAATGAAGTGAAAAAATAACTTATATATATATGAGTGAAAATAACTAACTAAGATCCACTTGACTCCCAATTGCTGCCCATTCACTCACCAGCATTAATACAAAAAGGCTATGAAATCAGCAAAAACAGAGCCTTTAGTTAGTTTCGTCCCAATGAAAGCCAGTTCACATCATACCCCATAACTGGAAGGTCTTAACTAGAATTTTCAAAACGAAAAGTAGAACAACTCATGACATAGTTGTTTTTATTTGTAATCCCAAAATATTGGTGGTTCTCAAACTAATAGGTTAATGACATTAAATTTTCCTCATTCAGCTACTTCAGTACTTGCTGGAAAGGAGCACAGTCACAAAGAAAAAGGCAGGCAGGCCGGTTGGCCGCGGATCAACAATTAATATGGTACCATGGGGACTATTCTAATCTAGATCCTACATGTATATCAAACAGTACAACAAATACAAGCAAGTCTGCGAATAATTCAACTAATCAGAAGATGCATATGTCAATTTAAAGAGAAAAAGTAAACAAAATGCTTGCAGTCCAACCATAAGTTCCAAGTGCAAAAATTGGACATACCGAGGATGAGGAGAACCCTTGATTGGCTTCTGCCCATACTTCCTCCATGAGTAATCATCAGGAGGGATATCAGCAAGCTTGTTGCTGATAGCAGGTACCTTGATTGACCTCTTTACTCTATGTTTCCTGCCAATAAAACACAAGAGGTCAGCTAAAAAGTGTTCTAAAAAGAAATCAACATCTTCATAAAAGGAAAGATGCATAATCGCTAATTTTAAAAGTAACTGCACCATAATTAAATAAACACAATGAAAGTAAGGGGGGGGGGGGGGGGGGAATCTAAACAATTCTCTGGGGGGGGGAATCTAACCTTTTCTTTGAGCAATGGCATCTACCACTGTTTCCACATTTCACACTCCCATCTTCTCCCCTTCCGGAACACTTTCTCTTGTGTTGCTGTGAACTCTGATCTGAGGACCGAGGCGCCCCAATCAAATGGAAAGCACTTCCTTCCATATTAGCCACACTACCATCTATGCTCAAAGAAGATATGAAAGATCTAGTTGATGACATTGTAGGTGTACAGCTAGTGTTGTTATCAAAGTTCAAGTTCATCCCACTACTGCTTCTCCTAAATATCATTTCAGCTTGTTGTTTCATTTGCTGCTGCTGCTGCTGCTGCTGCTGCTGTTGGAGCTGCAGATGATGATGTTGCTGAAGGAAGTGATAATGTGCCGCAGGTGTTTGCTGGGCAAGGTGCGAGGGTCTTTTCCCACTTGAACTCAACTCCAAAGATGGCCCCCCCAAACAAAGGGAACTTTTAGCACTTGAAGAACCCAATTCTTGAATTGGGTGGTTATCAAAGTCATTACCAGATTGGAGAAGCTGAAAATTCTTGGACGAATGATCTGTTCTATGGTGTGGATTATCTAGAAGGATGTTTTGGGATAAAGGGGTTGGTAATTTCTTGAGTTTCCTAACTCTTGCATGACCTAAACCAGAATTTAGAAGAGAAATAACTCTCTTGAACCTAAACACAGCCTCCCCGGTTTCCAACATTAAATTCCTATACTGGACCTGATCTTGAGTTTGAGACAAGAAACTCAGAACTCTGTGGCAGCTCTCCACAGCAGCCCTGTTAGCTTCTTCAACCTCCTCCATAATAATAATCCCAGACTCCCAAAAGTCTTTAAATCAGCCAAAAGGGCCAAAAAGCTGAAGTACCCAAACAAAAACAGACCATAAAAACTCCAAAAATCTCAAAAACCTAGCTTGGTAATAGATCTTCAAGAAAAAAATACAAAGCCCATATGGTCATTCTTGGGTAAATAAAAGAAACACCATAAAATTGTTTTCATTTCATCAGAATTCCAAGAAATTCATCTTTCCAAAGGCTGAATTTTTGTAAAGATGAAAATTTTAAACCAAAAATATAAAATTGAATAGAAAAGGAGAAACTCAGATAATAACCAAAAAAATATAAGCTATACCATGATAAAAAAATGATCAAAATTGTAGTAAGAGAGACACCAAAGGAACAGACCTCGATTGACCTGGTTGAAATATGAAGCCCTAGATTCTTCCTCCATGGTTTGGAGATTGAAAGGTGTGAAAGAGGAGACTTTGGTTTGGCTTTGGCCCTTGGCTTTAGAATTCACACACAACCCACAAAAAAACAAAGCTCCCTTCTTTTAATTTAATCTTATTATTATAATAGTATTAATTTTTTTCCAGAGAGAGAGAGGGGGAGAGGCATTTGATTCATTAATAAAGAGGAAGTGGCACAGGAAGAGCTGAAAAAATGAAACTGCCGTCTCTGTCACAGATTTGAGTGTGGGTCCCACTCAAAGACCTTGGTTATTCTCTTTTTCTTTTTTCTTCTTCCCAATTCAGCTGCTTTTTATTCAGCTTTTTTTTTTTTTTTTAATTCTTTTTTTTTTTTTTTTAATTTATATATATAAATTAGGATTTCTACCATTTCATCTTCAGTTGTATTACTACTCCCAGATAAGCTTAGTTTTTAAGATCCCATTGTAATTAGTAGTAACTTTTTTTTAGGTGAAAGTTGAAACTGTAAAGACATTTGAACTTACCAACCTTGTTTTCTACAAAAAAAAGACATTATACAAGATTTTAGTTTCTTTATTTAGATTTAGATCACTTTTAATTTATTTACACTTAGGAATCATATGTACAAATTATTAGAAGTACAGTTCAAATTGTTCCATGGATTTAATTATGATGCATAATTATTCAAAATTAAAATTTTAAATCAACTTGTAATAAGATTTTCAATTAAAATATTAACTGTCTTCCTTTTTTAATCGGACAACTGCATTGACTAGATCACCCAGTAAAAATAGATAACAGGGATGTATTATCTGTCTTTCAGTCAAGTTGATCCATTAAAAATTAACTAAATTAATCTTTTAATTGAAAAGTTCTATTAAAATTACTTTAAAATTTTAATTTTAGATAAATTACGTATTTGGAATAAATCCAGCGAGCAAATTAAACACTATTCTTAAGTATTAAAATATAATGTATATATGAAAAATTATAGCTAAAAATATATTTAGGAGATAACCTAAAGTTTTGCAAAATTACATAATTATGAATGAAATAAAAAAAAAAAAAAAGAAAAAAAAGTCAATGTCCTTGGTTGTTAAGAAAGTAGAAAATTGAGTGGAAATAGCAAAGACTAACAAAATAAAAACAAACCGAAAAACAACAAATAATATCAAATGAAAAGAAAAGCAAAAGACTTCCGTTCCTTTCCTTCCTTGCGTGTGACTTTGTTTAAACCAAACAACAGCGAATTGCTTGTTTTTACTTCAGCTTTTCAATTCAACCATTTCTCTTTGCGATTGCAGCCTTATCAAAATGTCCGCCCACACTACACTCCTGTGGGGTCCATTCTCAAACTAGCCGTTGTGAATATCACTCGTACTTATTGTATTTCTTTCACCCACTCCGATTCCGCCACGTGTTCTCCTCGTTCCTCATATTCTGACACGTACCGCCCAACTACCACACACAAAAGGGGTAGGCTTACCCTTTTGACTGCGAAAGCGAAACTCTGCGACCTGCTATCCTGCGCCGGGGGAACACGGATTGGAGGGTCGCTGTCTGACATGGCGTGGGACCCCCTCCTTGAGGCCCCACCACCGTTGACTTAAACCTTTGTTTTTCTGTATTATATGTGAGTTGTTGGAGTAACTGTAGCGCAGTAATGCCACTTCTAATTAATGTTTTGTAGATTAAGGAATAATTAGTTATTTAAACCTGCAACTACACTGCGGCTAACCTAACTAAATTCTTCTTCTTCTTAAGTCGGTCCCTTTCATATCACAGATATAAATCATACATTTTATTATGCTAATGGCCAAAATATATAAATAAAATATTTATTTTTGCTAAATAAATAATTTAATGAACAACTTTTTTTTATTTTATTGACTGAAATTGTAGTTTAAATTAAATTAAATTACAAGACTTCTTATAAAGATTTGAGTTCTAATATCATATGATTCGCATTTTAACTTGCAGATACTATTTAAGAAAGTTTCATACTGTCGAATCATTTTCCTAAAAAGTTTTCACCTGAAGGTTATTTTTGGAAAATGAAAATTGGAATGATGAGGGACAGGAAAGATGAAAGTGAGTGAGGGTAATTAATGAAGATGGTTTTGCTTTTGGACAGAATTAATGTCCTAATTAATTGCAATAATGGGACTGCCCTCAATGGATAATTCACTCGCGCACGCTATCACTAATTACAATTATTGTGTCTTAATTAAACTTCTTTTCCTTCTTAATTTTTTTTTCAAAAAAGGAAAACAATTAAATGGCTTATTAATAATAATAATAATTTATTATATGATAGACACATATATGCATGATTAACCCTCAAACAATGAATTATTCTTGCAAGTCCAAATTCTAAGTTCCACTTGCAAATTTTTAAATTCAAAAAATGTCATAATTGTCAATGCGTGGTTGACTTCTTGTTTCACAATTACATTAATGAATTAATGTTAATTTTATATATTATTTTAAAATTCCTTCTTCCCAACAATTATTTAATTTATTATTAGCATTAAGTTTTATTTTATTTTAAAAATAAAACCGGTCCAATACTTATCGGGTATGAGTATTAGAAAACCGGTCTCATGATGATCCATCCAGGTTAGAAGTCCATAATTGCGGAAGCCATGGGCATCACATACGTACTGTAAAAGCTAGGTAGGAGTAGGACCCAGGGAGAAGACAAGTAACGTAAGAAAGGTCAATGTATATAATCCTTTTCTATCGGAATTAGGGTATAAAATTTTCAAAATTGATGAATTGAATATTTATTGAAACGTTTTTAACTTGTGACAGAGAAGCTAACTGGTTTTCTTCCAGAACGTGCAAACAAAATTACATGTCCAAAAATGACTGCATGCAACTCAAATCAATTAAATTATTACACGCCTCCTTGGAATCTTCTAAACAACTTTTCATTTTTTATTCCCCTTATGGAGTTTTGGACACTTCCAAACTCCATACCTCAAATTTTCTTTCATGTTTATTATTATTTTCTTCTATAAATATTGGCAACAATTATCTTAAAATTAAAAAAAAAAATTGTATTTTACTTCTAATTGTTTTCTATTCGTTTATATATTATATAATTCAAGGCAATTATATGAATATATAGGAAATTTCTCCACGAATCTTCTTTTTCTACGAACTACGTAGAAAATTAATTTTGAGTCTTCAAGTATACGACACACTGAAAGCCAAGGTGTCCCAGATTCATACTACATCGGTTTCATTATGGCATTAACATTTACATAAAGGAAAAAAAAAAAAGAAAAAATGAAAAAAAGAACGAAAGATGGAGAAAGAATCAAAGCATATAATCATAATGCGCAATGAAAGTGGCAAAAGTATTATCATTATTTACAAAAGCAGAATTATTCATTTAGGATCTTAAAATTTTAATTTAATTTAATTTAATTTTTCACTTTCCAGCATTAGAAAAATAGGAACCCATGTAAAAATTTTGGACATAAGAAGTGAAAGGCATAAACTTTATGCCAAAAAGCAAAGCAGCTTGTACTAAAAGAAAAAAAAAAAAAAAAAAAAAAGCAGCTTGTAACTAAAGAAAAAAAAAAAAAAAAAAACTTTTATACATGGGCTGCACCGTAATGTATTATAAGACCTTTAGAATGTTTTTGCCTTCTTGGAGCCTCCTTATGCGTAATTTGATATTTTTTTCAACTTCTCCTAATGCTTTTAGTTACATTACTTAGATAAGGTAATAGCATCAAACATGTTCTTCTTTTCTCTTACAATTGTGGTGCTTTTCTAACCAAGCAATAAGTCTTAGTTCATAATCTTTTTTTTTTTTTTTTTTTTTTTTTTTTAATTTGAAAAGGGAAATTGAGGGATGACATGAAATACACTCATTATTCACTATTTTTATCTTTTTTACTATTATTATTTTTTTCTTTTCTTTTTTGCTATATTTACATTATGGTTGTCGGAATCCCAAGAGGCTCTTTTTGTTTCTGTCTTTTGAACCATTCCGCATCAAAGAAAAAACAGAAACAACTAAGCTATAGCTAGTCTCATTATAAATGGTAAAATAGGAGATGGGTAGTGTTTGATAATTGCTTTGAATGATCATTGATGTCATTTTATGATCCTACTTTTTGAACAAAATGCATATATATACTCTGTTAGTAACAGAAACAGTTCAGTTTGTCGTGGTTTTATACCAAGTAAAGGCCAAAGCTTTTGTGTGTGGATCTGTGACTGTGATCTGTCCATTTAAAATGAAGAATATCTTCCAAAGAGCTTTTAATTTCATTTTCTCAGTAAAGAGGTAGAATTTCATGTCATGTTCACATGGTTTACACACTTTATTATCTTTATAGTGGGCTAAAGCCTAAAGCAAAATAAAAGCAGTAAAGAGCTGCATTGGGATCTGAAGAGGAGGAATAATGTACGGCAATTATTGCAGCCCCAACCCAAGGAATGTTGTTCTTTACATTTTTGCCCAATTTATTTGGAAATTCAATCCTTTGATTCTTTGTTGTTTTTACTTTTTAATCACCAAGTTTTTTGGTGTCCATGTTTTTAATCAGTAATTTGGATGATTGATGAATAATAAGGGTTCATGTTTTGGAGTCCTAACCTCTAGACTAGACAGTGAGCATTATCATATAAAGAAGAGTTGCAGCTCTTCAAAGGTATACATGTCCATGTTATCCAGATCATTCATGCACTAAGAAGGTTGCTCCTATGGTGAATCGAGTTCTATCACCGTTAAACTAATCAAATACTCCCTCTGTTCTAAAATATAAATTTTTTTTTTGGCGAATATTTTATCTCAAAATATAAGTCTTTTTGAATATTTTAAGAACTAATAAATGATGGTTTGAAATTTGTTACAATTTATGAGAATTAATTATTTTTTTTATCCTCCTAAAAAATCTTAAACGACTTATATTTTAGGATAAAAAAAATAATTGCTTAGTAGATCGACTTAGATCTAATGTCTCACATCCTGTAAATGCTTGAGCTTCTAATTTGCAACGCCATTGCTTCTGTAGAATAACAGATTATTTGCACAATCGGTCCTTGGACAGTTGGACATTGATTATATTTGATCATACCCAACACCTAAGGTTAGCGTATAGGAAGCTTACTCCTTGAATTCGGCTGAGCATATTTCAGTTAAACCAAAATAACCAACAAAACCAAGCCGGCTCCGTTAGGCTCAGTTCAGTTTCCGTTTTCATAGGAAAACCAATATTAATTTATTTCAGTTCGGCTCTGTTTCCGTCGAGCAGGAAAATAAATCCAAACCTGTTCCAAAATAGTTAAAACCAAACTATTAATTATAAATCCAAACCTGTTCAAAAATAGTTAAAACCAAACTATTAATTTATTTCAGTTCGGTTCTATTTTCGTTGAGCAGGAAAATAAATCCAAACCTGTTCAAAAATAGTTAAAACCAAACTATTAATTTATTTCAGTTCGGTTCTATTTTCGTTGAGCAGGAAAATAAATCCAAACCTGTTCAAAAATAGTTAAAACCAAACTTTTCATCTTTAAAAATTTCACTCTAATCGGTTTGCATTGGTTCGGCTTGATTTGAAGCAAAAGAACCAAATGCTCACCTTACGCCTAACTTGAATCACACTGCAATCACGCTAATGATGAACAGTAAAAGAAAAGATAATGCACCATGATGAACCAAAAAAGAAGAGGTAATGTTAGATAAAATCATGGCAAGGTAACGGAAAAAGAAGGGGGAAATCCCATCATTTTGTTAAAGGAATCCCTAAAAAATGGCATTTATATGTTAATCCATCTCATGGAATCTTAATATGATTCAAAAAATTCATTTAATTCATCCACGAGTCATGCAACACAGAAGTCCAAAATCCACTTGGGTTAGCCGCCAACAAAGTTATTGTTTCCTTCCCCTTCCTTTCTTCCCTGGCTGCGATTCTGTCTGTTCTTTTCCTGTAACTTCTGAAATATCAGCTGCATCATGAGAAAATAATTTCTTTAAACATCCCCAGCAAAGCTTCATTTCAACTATATTAAATACAAATAGCAATCCTTTTAAAATTTGACCGTACCATCTGGGCCCCGAGACATCAGAGTGAAGAAAATGTTATTTAGCTTCTCCATCTTCCTAGCATCCTGTGCCTGGTCTGTCTTGAACTTGAGACACTGAGAAAAACCAAAAAAAATCCATAGCACATGAGTAAAGACACAGACTGAAGAGAATAAAGAAACTCAGGTGCTAGGCATGCTATGGAAATTGAACTCCAAAAGCGATACATGATCTTTTTGTTTCCCTAACCTTAGAGAGGGCCAAACTAGTAACCACATGTAAGAGAATCCAAGGATTTCAAGAGTACCAAACTAGTAAATAAATGCACGCATACAAGGGGCATTATTCTGCTTCTCTCCCTTCATCCCCATGGCCCTCTCCTCCTTGCAAGGTATAACAGGGAAGCACAATGCACGTACTGGGAAACAAACAATGTTGTCAATGGAAGAGAAGTTTGCCCTTCAGCAACATCATTGCACTGAAATTAAATCTCGTAGTTTGTGATTAACTAACCACTATATCTACAGCATGCTTTTTTCAGAAATGATTTATCTGTTGGACTTCCTCACAGGAATGCGTATCACAAACAAAATCCATGATACAGAACTTAAAATCTGATCAAAATTCCTCTTACATGTCAGTTTATCACTATCACCGCCAATTTCATCAGGAATCAAGACCATCACCAGCAATCATACCACAACTCTTATGTAAACTACCATTACTTTATCATCCCAATCACTATCAACACCATTACAGCAACAGTTATCACTATTTGCCACCACCAACACTGCCACCACAAGTCCACAGATATCCAAAATCATCATGATCACTGTAATAAAGAATATGGAGTAGGTTCATGATAAACCAACCCCCACCCCCATGCACCCAATAGGAATTGGACAATACAGATATCCAATAGAGAGGGGTAAGTTTCCGTATCTAATATCAATTTTCATCAAACATCCCCAAATTTCTCAATTTTAGATTTGCACAATGCTATTCTTTATGGTTAGACTAATAAAGAGAATCTGTCACAGTCAGCGCCAGACAGTTATAGTGATCCACAAAACCAGTAAAGCATCCATGAAACTTAACAATCTCAAGACTGTGTAGATAACTTCTAAGGAAAAATAAATCTACTGATCCAAAAGGAAACTTAGAAACCAAACGACCTATTACACGGATTGCAAATCAAGGTAGCAACAAGCCAATAACTAGCAATCCAATTTAGTGATGGAGGAACATAAGAATGTTCAGTCATGAAAATTCCTCTCACTAATCTCTAAAACACTGCCAAAAAGAAGATTCAGCCCTCATCCATGCAAATGTATTCTACTTCTACATGTATCTAAAGAATTAGGTTTCTCCCTTACAAATGCTCCCTGAGTTTGTTAATAAGAACCTCATTTGCAGAAAGTTTTTATAGAGTCAAATGTACTGAATTTCCCGCCTAGAATGTCTTCTTTCCTCCCTAAAAAAGCAGTGGTACAATAAACTTGTGGTATATGCATATTATTGTTATGGAAATTGAGCATTTCTACAAATACAAACAAGGACCTCAATATTTGATGAAATTTAGTCAAGTCAAAAAAATGGTTGTTGGGGGGGGGGGGGCAAAAAAATGGGTGTTGGGGGGGGGGGGGGGGGGGGCTTTTGCAATTTGGCCAGCCAGGCATCTTAATATTGCACCATGATATGTGAATTTATACAATTTTCAAACAATTTGAAATCCCAGAAAACATTTCATCTGAACATTGCTAAAACTAATCCTCGAATCCGCAGAAGTCATCAGTCGGCCATTAATTATTCAAAGTTAATTAGCTAAATTTATAATCCAAGCATAGTTTAAACAACACATTTATTCAAACAGAAAGGTGCGCATACCTAAAAGCATACCTCTTTGTTATCAGTGACCTTGAGTACCAATTTTCCATCACAGTGTCGATACTTCATGACATACCGTGTCTAATCTCCCGATTTGATACCACAATATAAAATACAGCAAATACCAAAAAAAAAAAAAAAAGGAACACTCAAAAAAAAAAAAAAAACACTAATAGAATTAGCAACAAAAAAGATAAAACGAAACAGAAAAAGAAACTAAAAATAAAAATAATCAGATCTTAGGGTTCACATTGACTGGAACCTATATAAGCCAAAGCGTCAGACTCCATCGTGCTAGGATACGTTTTCAATATTTCGGAATCACACAACAAAAACTTCAATACAGTTCACTTAGTTTCCCTTAATTTTCAAGAAAGCCAAACAGTAGCTAAGTAAAATTTAGGAAGAAAGTAGAAAGAAACATACAGAATCAGGGTCCGCACGGAACAACTGCACCGATCGCTCAACGAACTCGTCCCACGAAGTTATGTAAACCATTTTAGTAACAAATAAAAGATAGATCGAAACAGATAAGAGTATAATTGGGAATTTCAGGAATCTGATGGACCGTCGATTCACTCTACACTGCAAACACGTAAGGTTTTAGCCTTCTACGGCCGTCGTGCTCCGTAACGGAAGCAAGAGAGAAAAACAATAAGAATGGTGAGTTTTCTGCTTGCCAATGGAAATTCGTCGTAAGCATGGACAGTGGGACCTATTTCCCAAAACGACGCAGTATCTGCAAGTGAAACAAACAAAACAAACACTTTGACCGTTTGTTAAAACGGTGCTGTTCAGCAGCAAGTAAAACGCATCGTTTGACATTTGTGTACAAGATTTTCAATGAAACTGAATGATTTCGCCATTTCGGTCAAACAAGCGTCAAAAGTCAAACTGTTGATCCTTCTTGCTCAAGAAAGTTAGAGAAATCAACCAATTTTATCATCAAAAGCACTCCTTTCTGGTACCACTACTGAAAGCAGCACAGCACCGGAAGAGCTGGAGAAGACGAAGAATCTGACAACAATGATTAGCACAAAAGAGGCAGAGAAAGATAAGAGGCAGGAATTTCGGGACGATGAAAAAGACCAAGCAACAGTAATAACAACAGCAGATTCAGCAGTAGAAGTACATGAAGGCAAAGGAACATGGAAGCACGCAGCTTTTCACGTTGCAACAACCATCGCTACACCTGCTGCTTATGCTCCTTTACCTTTTGCTCTTGCTTCTCTCGGTTGGCCTCTCGGTAAATAACTCTTTTAAATGAAAATTTGTTTGGTTTTTGGTTTGAAAATTTATATGAAATTAAATTTATATGCTCCTTTACCAATTTTGTTGATGCTTGTTTGGAACTCAGGTGTTAGTAGTTTAGTGGGTGCAACATTGGCCACATGGTATTCGAGTTTATTGATTGCGTCTTTGTGGAGATGGAATGGAAAGAAGCAGATTACTTACAGGCATCTTGCAAAGAGCATCTTTGGTTAGAATTTATTTATTGTAAATTATTTGCTTTCTTCAGAATTGGGCAAATGAAGTGTTTTTTTTTAGTAATTTGCTTGATTTAGTAAAGATACATGAATTTAATTTGCAAAATGAAAATGGGATGTTTGATTTTATTCTCTTGACTTTTTTTATTTTTGATTATTGAAGGATTCTGGGGTTATTGGTCCATTGCATTTTTTCAGCAGGTGGCTTCTTTGGGCAATAACATTGCCATTCAAATTGCTGCTGGGAGCAGTCTTAAGGTCGGTTGAGATAACCACATTACAGTTCAGTTACAGAAACAGTTGTTTTGCACAATTTTTTCTTTCTTTTCTTTTATAACCCTTTCACATTTTCCATCTTTCTGTAGGCAGTTTACAAGTACTATCACGAAGATGGTGGACTAACCTTGCAGCATTTTATTATTTTCTTTGGAGCTTTTGAACTTTTCCTTTCTCAGCTTCCTGATATCCACTCGTTGAGATGGGTCAATGCCTTATGCACTTTCAGCACAATTGGCTTTGCTGGAACTACGATTGGGGTGACATTATACAATGGTATCTCTTGAAAGTATTTCATATTTGCTTGTTTATTCTTTGCAATTCAATTTGCCTTGCTCAAACTCATAATGCATCTGGGCATCTGGCCATATTTTCATGCTTTTCGTGTCTTTATAGGTAGAAAGATCAATAGAAATTCCGTAAATTACAGTTTGCAAGGAAGCTCCTCTCTCAAAACATTTAAAGCTTTCAATGCTTTGGGGGCAATTGCCTTTTCATTCGGTGATGCAATGCTTCCAGAAATACAAGTACTTTACATTGTTATATTTTTCTTAATTCCTCATTTGCTACATATCAATTCTTTTTGGAACTTATAAATTTTTACTATCATTTTCTGATGATTTTCTTACCAGCATACGTTGAGAAAGCCTGCAAAAAAGAACATGTATAAAGGTGTATCAGCGGCATATGGAATTATTATCTTGACTTACTGGCAACTAGCATTCTCTGGATATTGGGCATTTGGATCAGAAGTCCAGCCTTATATTGTGGCGTCTCTCACCATCCCAGAATGGACAATCGTTATGGCAAATCTCTTTGCTGTTATTCAAATATCAGGATGCTATCAGGTAACCTTTGTAAATTTGTTATGAAATGCTATCAGGAAGCAGAAAAGTTTAGAGGCGATAATTTCCTGTTGCATAGACATTCTAATAAACTCAATGTGTTCATTTAGATATATTGCAGGCCAACATATGCCTATTTCGAGGAAAAGAAGCTATGGAGAAATTCTAATTGCATCCCCTTCAAATACCGTCTAATTCGTCTAGTTTTTACCTCCATTTACATTTTTCTCATCACTCTCATTGCTGCAGCAATGCCTTTTTTTGGTGATTTTGTGTCAATATGTGGTGCCATAGGATTCACTCCTCTGGATTTTGTCTTCCCTGCAATAGCACATCTGAAATCTGGAAAAATGCCCCAAAAGACTAAATTCCGTGCTTTAATGCAACTTGTTAATTTTGCAATAGCTACCTGGTTCTCAATTGTGGCATTTTTGGGTTGCATTGGTGCTGTTAGGTTTATTGTTGAAGATATCAGGACATATAAGTTTTTTCATGACATGTAAGAAATCCATATTGTTGTGATCAAATTTCTATATTTTCATTTTTGTACTAAATTAATTGTTGTAATAGAGTCTCAAAACTTACCATGTGCTGTTTATCCACGAGAAGACTTACCTACACTCAGTATATGAGCTCACTTGTACACAAACTAATTGAAAAAGCAAAAGAACAAGTAATGTATTTTGAATTGAGACCGAGTTCTTACAAATCAGGTTTAAAGCTTCTTTTTTATTCATTTATATATTCCCTAATATATTCTTAAATCTATTTTAATTTATTCTTGCAATCCAATTTACAGTTTCCCATAGAAAATTAATAAAGATAGAATTTTATTTTTACTGAGGATTTCTACACTTCTAACCATCTTATCAGCTTATTTATTTATCTCGTAACAATATTGTATGCATTTTAGAAATAAGATATTTTTTGATTAAAAAATAATAAATTTACAGGCAAATTAGAACTCCTTAAAATAAAAATCAATTCATGATCAATGATTCTCAGTTCGAAAAGTGTGTTTACAGTTCAATTTCAATTTTTTTTTTTTTAAATTGGAATCATCAGTTTGGAACTGGAAAAAAAATATATAGGTTTTTAACGGTAGGAGTAACTAACAACCCATTTATGCTGCACCGAACACAAAAAGTGATTGACCAACTGTCAAATGACTGTTGCCTCTCTCAATATTTTTCTAATATATAAAATTATATAATATTTAAGGTTTAGTTTTTTTTATTTTTAAATAAAATAAAAAGGTACTTTTACAATTTATAACAATAAATAAAAATAAAAAATAATAAAAAAAAGGATTTAGGAAAGAAACGAGATTTATCTGTGGAAGGTAGCCACGATATGCTGAAATCACTGGACGGTGGAAAGAAAGCCGGTCTAGTTGAGTTGAGGGGTATTTTTGCAATCAAAAATTTATATTTTAACTATAAATAACTTCAAAATATTCCTTTATTTTCGCAATTTACAACAAAATTTACTCAGTTCTTTCAATTTCAACTATATACTTTCAAAATCTTTCATTTTTTTCACAATCCACTCCAAAAATGGTTTACTCCGCTCAGTCTCGTTTGTTTATTCCATAAACCCAATCAATCTCTACCATCAATTTCAATTTTTTCTCTAAAATAATATTATAAAAATAGCAAAATATCAAACACTACACAAAACCAACATTTTAATAAAGTTTTTTTTTTTTTAAATTGTTTAGAAATAGGAACCAAATCAAATAATCATCCACGAGCAGTTCAATTTCAATTTTATTTTTTTTTAAATTAAGACCGGCAATTTCAAAACCCTTGTTATTATTCAATAAGTCACGTAACTTGTGGAATGGGAAATTGCTCTACAATTATAAAATAACATAATACCACTTATTAATCATTTCGCAGTATGCTTTAATACCATTTCATAATTATCTAGCTAAACTATTAATTAACATTCAAAAATGTCAAACAACTATTGATTTTAGATTTTTTTTTTCTATATCCCGATAACTATTCATACTTAAATGATATTTTTTTTTAGCTGATACTTAAATGATATTTGAACTATTCCACCCGTATTAAAAAACTGTTATTACTTTTTTTTTTTAAAGAGAAAAAATAATATCATTAACTCAATTAGCATTACCAAAATAATAAGGGAGGTTATTTCAAATTTGAAAAGGAGCATAGCGAATGAATGCTCTAGCTAAAACGTGAGCATCTATATTTACCTATCTGCTAATCCACTTTACTTTAATATCAATCCTAGAATCTTAAATACTTTTACAATTCAAAACAATTAGAATTGTCTAAAGAAAAAGAAATCAAACCAAATTCAGAATTGTCTAAAGAAAAAGAATTGAGAGAATTGTCTAAAAATTGTTATTACTTATTAATAAAAATATATCCTCTTGAAATTAAATTTTTAAAATGATAACTTCAATTTCATAAAAAAATAAAAGTAATTATTAAAATATTTCATACTCCCTATAGTACTTCTGCCCCAAACAAATAAATATCCAAATACGAAAACAAAAGCAAAGCATTCAAAATTAGAAAACACGGGAAAAGAGACTCTGTTCTCTCTTCACAAAACAACTACAAGCTCTGAGCTTTAATTTCCTCTGTCTAATGTCTGCGCCTTCTCGCTCTCCCTTCGGTTCTCCATCTTCATCCACAATCCCCACAACCTTTAACTCACGCGCTACTGTCACTACCGCTACCACTTCCTTCGCCACGCGCCGCCCATGGCGCGAGCTAATCGAATTCTCTTCTTTCACGCGCCCTTACTCCTTCGGCGAAGCCACTGCACGCACAAAGCGAAACCTTTTCTACTTTCGGGTGAATTACACGATGATTATTCTCTTCATTCTCTTTATCAGCCTTCTATGGCATCCATTATCAATGATTGTTTTCTTAATTGTATTTGTCGCCTGGTTTTTCCTCTACTTCTTTCGCGACCAGCCGATTGTTATCTTCCATCGCACGATTGATGATCGCGTGGTGCTGGGCGTTCTTGCAGTAATTACTATTGTGGCTTTGGCTTTTACGCACGTGTGGTTGAATGTGTTGATTTCGATCTTAGTTGGGCTTGCAATTGTGGTTCTACACGCTGCAATTAGGGGAACTGAGGATCTGTACTTGGACGAGCAAGATATGGGAGATGGAGGATTATCATCTTTTGTGGGGAGTCCTAGGAGAACTGGGTACACTCGAGTTTAATGTTTTAGCTTTGAATTGAATTGGATTTGTTCTTTTCGAGTTTAATGGTGGAAAGGAGCACCGATTTTATTTGCTTAGATGATTAATCTTGAATTAATATCCCTTTTTGTTAGTCTTATTGTTTTTATTTTTCTCTAGTATATAGGTTTGTAAAAATTTTCTATGTCTATTCGTTCCATAGGTTTTTTAGGAATTTGGGTTCATTTATAGCCAGTTACTGGATAAGGTTTTGCATGTTATTAATGAAAAGTAGTAATATTTATGTTGCAGATGAATGATTTGTTTGAATTTAAAATTCAAGTGTTAGTTTCTTCAATTCTCCTTTACGTGTTTATCAGTTTTTGTTTATTCTATGTTAAGATTTTGAGCTACGGCTTTTCATCTGGTTGGCCCAACTTGTTAATTTTCTATCTTTGCAGTATAGTTTACCTAAATAAAAGTTAGTGCTGTTCTTCCAAAATTTATAGGTACCATATTTTTAACCTTTGTTTGGTAACCTTAATGGAATGTAATACAGTCGATTGCATTTTTATGGTAAACATTAGAGTAAAAGTACACTTTGATTATATTACATTAGAACTGAACAAATGGAGTTATGTAGTTGTTATCACAAATTCACAATTTACAAATATCAGGCTGTAATAACAGGGTAAAGATCCTTGAGCTTGTAATTCAAGGTAAACCCTTTGTATTTTTTTTTTTTTTTGGTTGACAGTTCTATTTAAGAGCAGAGTTGGATAATGGTCTCTTCGTAATTTATTCCCTTTCTTTTTCCTACTTTTTCTGGTCTTCTATAATTATCAGACTTCACAGTGGTCCCTTGCACGTATGCTAACAGGTGTATGAAGCATGACTCTTCTTCTCCAATGTGTTACATTGTACCGCCCCTAAAAAATCTGCAATGAGAGTGTTGAGGTTGAATGGTTGGTGTAATGCTTTTGCCCATGTGAGAAAAGAAGTCTTTAAAGTGAGAGAAACTGGTATAGGAAAAAAGTAGAAGAGGAGCATTATTGCTTTGCCTGGCTATGCAAGGGACAGAGCTTTGCCTTTTTGTAGAGAGACCTTAGCAAACTGGTCTTCTATATAGGCCTCCTTTTCACATTAGGTTTACTGGAGTAGTTTTTGATTCCTGGTTTGTGTCTGGATAAGGGGATTTTTCTAGTTCTAGATTGGTTAAAGTTTTCCTGTTGGCGTTGCATAAGACCTCACCAAGTTTTGCTGCTGCTGATGGTCATATGTGATCATGAAAAATACCATTACTGTAATTTCTGTTTGCTCGTTATGCTTATTTTCTTTTTCTTTTTTTTTTTTTTTTTTTTTTTTTTTTTTTTTTTAATATGCATCAAATGTCACCCTAGTACTAATAAAAAAAAGCATAACTAAGCTCCTTTAATTTAGTTTGGGGCTGAAGGAGAAGCCCATCCATCGAGAATGGGGGTTTAAGGTGACCTTCCGACTTGCATATATATCCCACTCATCTCCAGAGCCAAACCGTGAATAATATAACTCCGCTAAACTGTTCGCTGAAAGTTAAATCCCAACCAAATGCCCTTTTACATTATATTAGAACAGTAATACCAAATATAATAACCTATTAATAGTTATGCCCTTTACTGAATACTTTTTAACCTACAATTTCCAAATAAATCCCTCCTTTCTAATTAAGCAGGTAATTGTATCTAATATAGGAGTAACAACTTAACAGAAAAAAATCTTTAATAAAGAACTATCTATTTTCTTTTTATTCTAATTCCATATTTTCTTCGTGGTCTTAAATATTTAAATAAACAGTAATTAAATTTATTTTAATGCGCAACTTGTCGAGCGCGAGGAGAAGGAGAATAGGCGGTTGAGATTAATATTGTGATTACTAAAGGAGGAAAAATTTAGTGTTTTATAGATACAAGATCACTTACCCTAGTTTGAGGAAGTATTAAAACTCAAGAAGACATATTATCAATTTCTATTCCCACTCTATTGAAGATGTAGGATACCATATCGTTTGCCTAAGACATAGCAGGACATATTAATGATGTGATAAACAGTATTCCTACATGTATTTGCAAATAAAAAAACACTAATCTTCTATATTAAGAAAGACGGAAGTTAAATTATAAACTTGAAAAAAACTCCAACTATATCCTATTCTTTTCTTACCCCCCTTTGCCACAGACTTTCATTCATCTGCATATGATACTTTTATATGCCCACCATCCCAAAAAAACTATAAACAAAACTACTTCATTTTAAATTAATTAATCCCTACACATATCCCTCATATAGAAATTCCAAATCAATCGCCCATAAAGTCTCTAACTTTCCCAACTGAACATTTATAAGTGGAATTATATTTCTAAACAAATAACAATCCCGAGCAAAATTAGCGTCTCACGGCTGCGGAACTACCGAACATGCAATTCATCTTTCTTCACCCAACGAAACAAACATCCACACACACCATCAAGACCCTTTATACTTGTAATGCTCCCGATTTTATGCAATTTTCACTCAATGCATTTAGTCTAAAATTAAGACTGTCTCGCCTAGTGTCTGAAGAATAATAAAAGCTTACTCCCCGCCATGCCTCATTCCCTCTGTCCGGAAGATGAAGGAACGTGCTCCAACTCGTTATGCCCCAATGAGTGCGCCGCCCTCAAAAACTGATCCCTTCTCTCCCAACTCGCAGTGTTTAAAAATACAAATGTACCACGGCTTTGATCTTCAATGTAACCAGTTTGTTACTTGGACAATTGTCATAATCTTTAATACCCCCTTATAAAACCCTACCTATCTCTTTCTGCCCCGACCGCACCCTCGTGCTCTTCCCGCCATGGCTGGTCGGCGCAGCTAAAAAATCGAAATTACTCATATCATTTCAAAGACGCCTTAAAAAAAAGCACCATATAAAACTAACACTCATCCGCGGGAGTCTCCGAAAGCCGGTACTATGCGCACTCATAAAGACGAAACCTCTTAACCTTTCTTAATTCCTCATATCCGAGTTGCCAGACGATGTTGACATTTCAAATCTGCATAATCCGGCTCATCCCTGGGAAAAGATGGAAATAAGGATAATATAATTCATCTTTATTTAAGCACATATCTTCAATATTGGGTAGATACAGACTCCATCATTCTAAGCTATGGCATCCCATTTAATATCAATAATGAAATTGTTATATATATAATTTCTATTTTATAATTTGATTACGCTCTTTGAGTATATTTTTACTTAGTCTAGTGTCCCTGTGCAAGAGACCGAACTGTAGCCCTGAATTTTTCAAGTCCACTCCTTCCCATCGCACACGGGTAAAGTCCTGAATTTCAAACAGAGTATGTGTAATGATCCGCGTAATTGCATCTGTAATTCCTCCACATATTAGGCCTCGCAGATCCTCATCCCCTCATCTGGTGCTGGGCGTTGTTTATTAACGAACCCAGTAAAATTATTTACAGACCTTCCTTTTTCTGATGTAGTTTGGTTTTTTAACGCACGTGTACTTTGTAAAAATCGGTAGACATCTTTAATAAACGAAAATTAGAAAATAGCTTTGAATTTTCAGATATCTAATAAGTTTAGGGCTTGCATAAATTGTCATAACCTGGGTTCTAAACGTATGACGCATGAGTCTTTTCAGCTGGCCCAATCTAGCTCCGGGAATCTGCCCCGAGTGCAACCGAGGACTCCTGTAACTTGGACGAGCAAGATAAAAATGGCGGAGATGGAGGTTATTCATCTTTGTGGGGGCCTGTAAAGTGCGATAAATCTGTTATCAAGCCAGGTACACTTCACTAAGACAGAGATATCTCAAATAAAAAATAGTAATTGGTTTTGCTGTATATTTAGCGTTTGAAATTGATAGATATGGAAAATTAAGTTGTTCTTTATGCCGATGTATCTTAAATTAGTGGATGAACAGTGAAGGCCAAAACCGATTTATATATTAATCTCGTGCCCTAGCAGAACTTTGAAGTTTAGAATTGCCACAGATATGAGAAAAATATAATTTGTATACCCGAATATCTAATGGATATAGTCTTAAATTGTAGAAGTTTTTAACATTAATCCTTAATAGCAATAATTAATAAAGTGTTGTGTTTGAATTAAATATATTAAAAATGATTGATAATTTTGTACTAATGTTATAATATTACGGTAAATACCATAGGTTTTAGGAAATTTTAGAAGGGCAATATTAGGATTGTTTTTATCATTAGACCTAACTTGTTGCTGCGAATAAAAAGTGTCAATATGTGCATAGTGGTATTTTCAAGTGCCAAGTTGATCTCGATATCTATTTAGAATGCAGATTAAATTACCTTAGTGCAATAGATTATATATGTGTTGCCTGTACATGAAATGATATACTGTTCTCTCAAATTTAAGAAATTCAAAGTGTTAGTTTCATTACTATTGCCTCCATTACGTGTAATTTAACTTCCAGCTTTTTGTTTAGCTTTTCTATGTTAAGATTTTGATGGCTAACCGGCTCTTTCATCTGGTTGCGCCCATACATGTTTATGTGTTACATATTTCTATCTTGTGCGAGCAGGGATTAGTGATTTACCTAAATTAACAAAAATGTGTCAGTGACCTGTGTTCTGTGCCCGCCCAAAAAAGAAGTTCATGTTACTAAAGTTTGAAACTATTGTGTGAGGACCATCTCTTTTTTATAAAACCCCTCTTTAGTTCTCAAGTGTATTGCAACTAATTAATTGGTAACAACTGATACACAAACACATTGTAATACATCAGTTCCTGCCAAAACTTGTGCGTGTTTTATAAGGTGTATTCAAACTAATAAGATCGAGCTAACAAGTAAGCCTACTTTCTTGTATATTATAAATGATTTTACTAATTTAAGAAACTTACTGAATCAAAGTGTGTATGTGTTTAATTAATGTAGTTGTCTATCACAATGATTTCAACAATTTTAACATAGTTATCAGAGATGACTCTCTATGTAATAGCCTGTGGCAGTGAGAAAATCTCCTTAGATGTGAGATATTTGTGTGATTAAATATAGCAGAGTTTGGTAAACTTTTATTTTTTTTTTTTCTTTTTTGGTTGACAGTTCTAATTTAGCAGAAGTGCTTGGCTGATAATGGTCTCTATTTCGTATAGATTTTTTACATTGCCCTTTCTACTTTTTACCACTTTATTATTTGGTCTCTCACAATATAATATAATATGCAGAATCACCATCTTTCAACAGTGTAGATCATGCCTTAGCACATAATAGCTAAATACACTACGCGTGTATTGATAAAGCCTACAAATTTTAGTATGTAACTCTATCTTAATTTCCTCTCAATGTTGTTAATCATATATGTAACCGCCCCTCTATTAAAAAATAATGAATCCTGTCACAATTGAGAAATGATGTATGATACGGTATTTGATTTATAATGAATGATTATGTTTAATAAAATAAATTGCTTTTTGCCCCAAATGGTTGATACGACCATGAAGAGAAAATGTATTATTAATAATAGTGACTAAAAAGCAGAATATGATTATATGGTTTTTAAGTAAAACAATAGTACTACAGTAATAGTAGTAGGGCATATCTAGTTGCTATTGCCTGGCCTATGCCCAAGGACAAGAGGGTTTGCCTTATTATATTTGAATTCATAAGAGTAAAATAGAGTGTAAATAGCACCGCTATAGCAAATTGGTCCCTATCCTTAATAGAGGGCAAGATTATAAAAAAACAACTAAAGATTACAATTGATTGAATGAGCAGACTCCTATCTCTGTTAATTAGATGCTAATTAACTTTATACCCAAACGACAGGTTTTTTGTGGTCTAGCTCGTTAAGTCGCATAAGTTACCCCATCGATATATGAAAAAGTTAAATCAAATTTCTCTTTAAATTGTGCATTTGAAGTATTTCATAATAGTCAGGTATTAAGTTGATTAGTTAAATTATAGCCGAACCAACATACTAAATAAGATCTCGATATAAGTTTCAATCAATATCTGCTATAACTACGTTAAATTAGCTTCAAATCAAATTCCCTTGGTTTGTGTGAAATGTAAAATAAAAGGAGTGAGACAAATACTTTTTTTTATATTTCTAAGTCATTCCTCAAATGTATATTTTGGTGTGATTTAATTAGAAAAGTTTATTAACACTGTTTACGGGCACTGTGTGCAATAATCAACCCAAACTCACAAATATTTACTCTTTGCTGGTTTTGTCTTGGTTATGATCAGTTCTCATGTAAATAGTAGATCCCGCAATATGAAAGAGAATACCATTTTCCTGTAAATTAACTCATGATGCTAACCTTTTTTTAAAGAATAGTCTTATACATATTCTATATTTATCTTTTATTTTTTTTTTGTTTTTTATCTATTTTTTGATATTTTTTTGTATTTTTTTTCTTTAAAAGAAGATAAAGATAGCCCTGATACTTATTCTCATTATTGAGTTTAACTTCTGCCTATTTCCCTTTCTTTAAGCATATTTTTTCATCTTTCAATAACATCGTTATTATTAATAATTATTCTAATAAAAACTTGATACAATATGGTCTCAATCTATTCCGAATTTTCGGCTATGATATTAAGAGATTTTTAACGGATGAGCATAGAAAAATGTATTGTTTTTAGCTATGCTAATTGATCACTGTTACCGAGACAGATGCCTCGTGAACGTTAGATTACAAACAGAATTGGTCAATTATATAATGAAAAAACTGCTACACACTGAATTAAATAAAAATTCCTAAGAACCTAACAACAGGATGCAGCATTAAATTATTAAAATAAGTTGAAAAAGAAATGTGAAAGGGAGTGTGGAAAATTAAAATGTGATTATAAAAGCTTAACTAAACCCCACACTGATTTGTTTTTAAGAAAAAGATATTATCTTGAGAGAAATTATTGAGTAACCCTTACTAAATCTCTCTACGAATGGAAATTTCTATCATAACAGTGACCTGGCAAATTTTTATGCATCTCCCATATTTAGGAAAGATATTGAATAAAATATTTAAATCCCGCCTTAATTTTTCTTTGCTTTATTTTTAGTTTCTTTGACTAAGTTGTGTGATCTCCCCCCGCTTATATGGATCACAAAGACCTTCTGATTGAATGGGAATTATACGACTAATCACGGCCGCCTGAAAATTGAGAGCATATCTTCCTCAATTATTAGTTTATTATCTCATAACTACAAATAGCTAAAATTTTAATATTATGAATCTATGTACCAAGATTTTTTTTTTCTCATATCTTTATTTTTGTATTTTTTTGCTACTTTTCTTGTGAAATGAGCAGTTTCGGTGAAAAAGAAGGTAATACACAAATAATTTTTTTTTTTTTTTTTTTTTTTTTTTTTTTTGAGGTTTCGGAAGGACAATGTTTATTATCATACAAATCACAAAATTATTGAGTTGGTGGGAGCATATGCTTTCTCCTACTCACATTAGCATGGAACTCAATGTGAAGCCATGTGGGTCTCACGAGTGAGCTCCCATCCTAATGCGAGGAGGAGGAAGCACAATCCATGCTACCTAATAATTAATTTCTCTACTAATATGCTACAATTATAAATCATTTCATTTTGTCCAAATTTATGCTATAAATGAATTTCCAGCACAAAAAACACATCTTGTGTATAACATTCCGGCCGAGAGAACTGTGTTAGCACAATTCAAATGTTACTCTTATAAGATCGTTTATGTAATAATGTGATAAATCTCTACATTTCCGCACTTGCACAGTTGCAGCTCTAAACTGATTGCAATTGCCAATAAGCACAGCACAGCATGTCACACCTTCCATCTGAATTCCCGTGGCAGACTGCTACTGTCTGCAATGTGCTCATCACAGATGCTTGTAACATGCATTCCCAGTTACCTTCACAGAGCAATGTGGAAAAAGCATCGTTACTCAGGAGGCTCTGGGACCTTTCGAGCATAGGCCAGCACCATCACGAACTCCTTCGCTGAGGAACCGATGGATGCTGATACTCGTTCTGATGTTGTTGCTGTCTGTATCCATAGATCAACTAAATTGTACAACAATAATGTCGGGACCACTGGTTGCCCCATGCATTTGATCTCGACCTGGAGGAAAACCAATATAAAACTTGCAAGTGATGACTGGAAACACACGTTCCTTAACTGTACTATTGGGATAATACAAAGATTAAGACGATGATTGTCCAACAATTAAACAATGGTTCCTAATTGAGCTCAAAATGATATATGTAGAGATTTTTATTAAAGGTTCTCTCACCTCAGCTTCACTAGCAAGGTCAAGTTTCTTCATCAAGTACTTCTGGATAAAAGAAACAGGAAGGTTTCCATCCCTGCCATAGAATGAAAAAATGACATGAAACATCTACAAAAATGAGTTGAATACTTTCACGATATTCACTAGAAATTGTGTCTTCGCGTGTCAAATTAATGTACAAAAGAGCCACAAGCGTTACTGAAAACACATACCAACACTGGTAACAACTCAAAACCAAATTACCAGAAGCACAAAATTTCCAAACTGAATTTTGAGAAATTATTACTTGTCCTACAAGGCAAACATGTTAAATATCTAAATGGCCGACTTTGACATATAATTAGCTTAGAAGGCTCTTGTATTTTAAGGAGAGAGTCATTGGGCTTACAGATCCTCAGCAATTAAATAGTTTCAAGATATGCAATTAACTAGTCTACATCCCATTTAAGGAAGCTAAAACAAGGTAGAGATGATAGAATCACGAGGTTATTTGTGCCATTTTTAACTCAATAGTACAAAAATTGCATGGTTGAGAAAGATTCAGCTGTAATGCAAGGCTCTTGTATTTTAAGGAGAGGGTCATTGGGCTTACAGATCCTCAGCAATTAAATAGTTTCAAGATATGCAATTAACTAGTCTACATCCCATTTAAGGAAGCTAAAACAAGGTAGAGATGATAGAATCACGAATTTATTTGTGCCATTTTTAACTCAATAGTACAAAAATTGCATGGTTGAGAAAGATTCAGCTGTAATGCAACAGACCCGGGCCTTTTCAAAGCAGTTACTTGGTTTTATCCATTTGAATGTTCTCTTTGCATGTAATATGGATTCATACAGCCAGATGGATAGGTAATTTACAAGCTATCAAATTATCCATGCTCAACTGATAAAGATAACCTGCTTTATCAAAGCCTTACTTGGATAGGTAACGTACAAACCCCAGAACTACCAAAAAATCCTCCAGCTAGAAAAGTGAAGTTGGGTAACAGAGAAAGAATGACTTAAGAGTAATCAGATACATCAACAAAAGGCAAGGCTCGTACCTAATAAAGTTTAGTTAACAACCATCCACCATACCAAAATGCCTTTTCTCATTTATCTCCCTTGTATCTAAGACTTCACCTCACACTTAGTTCTGATCTAGACAAGTCTGCCTCATTCCCTAAGCAACGACTATCATTCTCATAAGTGGCTGACAAAACAATTACCTTACTGTTGCACTATTTTATTCCTTGCCTACTGCAAATTCATAGGCCTGATATCTCTTTTCCTGAACATACTAATCAACTAATATAGCACACTAACTATATTTCCAATTCATTGATACTAACTTAAGAAATTGGATCTCTATGGGAACATATTATTCAGCCTCTTTTCCTCAGCAATAAACCTAGATAACATTGAAATTTCAGCACAATCTTTACAGTCAAAAATCTGAATGACAATCTTAAAACTTTAAAAAATGAACTCATCTAGGAAATGCAAAGAACAGTAACAAGCAGTGAAGGCAAAAGGAACTCACTTTATTCTCAAGTAATTTGTAGGAATTTGTGGCAAAGGTGCATCTCCATCCCTGAGACAATTGTTATATATTAGCAGGACTATGACCAAAAGAAAACTTTAGCAAACGCATTTTAATTTAGCAAACTTTAGCAAACGCATTTCTAATACCCTAGCAAATTATTATTATTATTATTATTATTTAATTTAGAAGTTGTAAATGATTCTCACTGTTCATCAGAAGCTACTAGTGAAAACCAAACTGGACCAGCTCTTCCCTCATGCTTTGCACTGGCAGCATCCAGCACAGCTTGGGATGAGATTCCTGGATACTCAAAATTGGCTGCCTTTTTCCTGCGAATCCTACGCAACCTTTTGGGTCCTGCTGGCCCTGAAGGGTTATTATCATTATTATTCTTCTCATCCTCAACCTTTGATTTGTCTTTGTTTTCCCTAAATTTGGTTTTGCGGAGTTGCGGTTCATTGTCTGGATCATGAGTAGATTCTAATTTGGCATCAGAAACTTGTGAAGTAGACTTGAAAGACTTAGTCCTATTTGCAACTTCAACCAAACAATTTAATGGTTGCCAGAGATCCGATTTTCCGTCCCATGATTCAGCACCATTCTCTGCTTCATTATTGATAGTGGGTTGGCCAGCCTCAGCAGAAAAAGAATTCTGCAAAGTTAAATATGTGTGTGTGAAATATATTAGTAATACGAAGCATGAACAGAGCTAGCACTCAATTCAGTAAGTAGGAGGCACTCAGAAGCCCTAAGAATAAATTCACAAGCACTAAAGGGTTCAAATAATGATAATTTAAAACATTTTGACTTCTATTACCTTCCTCGTGTTCTGATTGAACTTATTCACAGTTTCAGGAGAACTTGAGTTCTCTAGATGGTCTTCCAAAGAATCTTGCTCCTTTTTAATGCGTTTCTCAATTGGGAAACTGGAACCTCGTAAAGCAGTAGCCTTTCTTGGAACAGGCTTCGTTCTTCTTCCAGTTGTACTTTGCGTTGACACTTTGGGGGTGCTGACTACCAATGACGAAAGTGATCTTTCCTTCCTTCTAATAGGCAATGTAACAGAGGGTGTGATTTCAGGTGCCTCTACCTTTCTTCTTTTGAAAGGGAAAATCTTGGACCTTACATCTTGCAAATTGTGGTCTGGCCTGATATGTTTATATATCAATAAAATGCCTCAATTCACAATCACATGTTGTTCCAAAATGTGCACATACCTATAATATAAATGATGGACGTGCATGCATGCTCAATGTGGCCATTCTTATTATACACCTTCCAACATCAAAAGAGAAACACTGGATTCTTAAGTGCATTCAAACAAGCATATCAGCCAGGTCAACATCAAGACCTCTCCTCCCCCAATTCACATACAAAAGGATGTATAAGTGCAACTCCCCGTAATACTCAAAATTACTGAACAATAACATTATTAACAATAACATTATTAATGCAGGCAAGCACTGGAATCTGAATTTTCTAATTCAAATTTACAATAGATCATTATGATTGTGCTCCTAGAAAAATTTCTTTCTTGCCTCGACCCAAAATCAAGCTCCTCATCATCAGGTCTTAAACATTTCAAGTTCAATTAGATGCATATTGCTCCGTCCAGATTATGTTCCTCTTATTGCAAACTTTTCCTTCCTTATCTTCAAAGATGCAACTTGTTGCTAGTACGTAGCAAACTATTCACTGAAGAGTTTATTGCATCAAACTAACAAACAAATAGATAATTGTGGAGTATCATAAACAAGACCCTAAAAATTTTACTATACAGCTTCACATCATCTCATGGCACTTCCTTGATGTAGCTGTCCACAAATAATGCCCATCTTTCTGCATCTCATTAAACTTAATAACCCAAATGACCATATGCCACCAGTTGCATCACCATTTTTCGCTCAGAACTATCATTTTCAAAATCCTCAAACCTGGAGTAACTAATTGCCCCATATGGAAGAGGAGGAAAGAGAGTTGGTGGGAAACTTCATTAAAATAAAACATATCTCCCACTCCAAGCTGAAAAAAAAAAAAAAAAAAAAAAAAAAAAAAAAAAAAAGAAAAGTCCTCAAACCTGGAGAGTAACTAATTGCCCCAGTTATGGAAGAGGAGGAAGAGAGAGTTTGGTTGGGAAACTTGCATTAAAATAAAACATATCTGCCCCACTCCAAGCTGAAAAAAAAAAAAAAAAAACAAAAAAAAAAAAAAAAAAAAAAAAAAAAAAAAAAAAAGAAGAAGAAGAAGAAGAAGAAGAAGAAGAGAGAGAGAGAGAGAAAAGGAGCTGAACAGAAGATGTCCGCAGAAAGCTCAAGATTAACCATTAACCTCACTAAAAAAGTTACAGACTCTGGATCATTGGGAATTAAGCTGATTTTCTAGTATATTATTTCATAACTATTGCTAACTTTTGTGGTTACGATTCACATATTGCATTAGTAAAGGTTCTAATCATATGATTCCCCTAAAAATTTTTGGCAAATTTTGCTAACGTAAATTATCATTATTGTGATGGAACCTTCAGGCATCAGTAACCTTCATGCCTTTTCTATTTGAACTGAAACCTTCATACACATATAAGGTGGACATGGAAGTTGGACATAAATTCCATTATTCTTATAGCTTTAAACATCAAAGACAGAAAGACCAAAATGAAACATGGAATTTTACCCTCAATCCAAGTATATATATAAAAATCAATCATGTTTAATTAATTAAGCAAGCAATATAAAGGTAAAGTCGGGCAATTAATTTTTATACGTGGCATGCCTTATCAGATTAAAGCTATCACTTCTGCATGTCCCCAAACTCATATTACACATGGCAAGAGCAGAGTCAGCAGTAAGGATAAGAACCTAACCTTAATTTTTCCAGTGGAACACAACCCAGATCAATACTGCATATCGGACAATAATCTATTCCCTCATCTGATATCTTCTTGTATATGCACTTTCTGCAGACTGAATGAAATTTCAAGAAAAGAAAATCAAGAAAATCAGACATTTCCTATTAGCTGCATTAAAGAGAAGCTTCAGACAAACTTAATTTGTAAAATCCAAAAAAAAAAAAAAAAATTTAAAAGACTAAAGTACACGGAACTCTTCATCTAACCAAAATATAAAATTGGAGAAGATCATTGAAACTTTATGCACTTCAGACTTTCATAACTGTACCTAGCTAATAAGCATTGAGTTGCAACCCGAAACTGAAACTAAACAAAGTAGCAGCCACCTAGTTAATATCACATTCGAAAAAAAAAAAAAAAAAAATCCACTACCCGAACGTGAAACTTTAAAACAAAAGTAGCAGCCACCCTAGTTATCATTCCACATTCGCTAAAAAGAAAAAAAAATAAAAACACTATAAAGCTAATAATTATTTAATTTGAAAAAAAAAAAAAAAAACATAAAGCTAATAATATTATACTTTGTTAATTTCCTATAGCAGAACTATAGAATGTTGGCTCAGCTTATATATGAAACACGAAGAAAGCTTGTCTACTATGGTCTTCAAGAAAGAGGAGAAACCAAAGACGCTTGTCAGCTGGCGAAAGTACTAAATGCCCAAAGTCTTACAATACAATTACGAAACGGCCACGTCAAGCTAAAGACAAACAAAACGAAATCAGGATAAAGAAATTAACGCCTGAAACAAGGAAGCAACCGACCTAAAGATTATCAACAATGCAAAATATAAAAGAAATTGAAATCATGAAAAAAATTTAGTCATATAATATAGAAATTAAGAAATGAAATTTCTTGAAAGATAATGAATAGATAGAGAAACTAACACGTATGGAGACATTCAGATATGGTTGTAGCATCTCTTAGTAACTTATTGCAGAGAGGACATGTCATGCATGCTGCAATCGTTTCTCTGCTCACTTTCACCACCTGATTCGCCATCTCCTTGTCTCAAAAATCCCCTCTAATTCCTTTCTTTTCACCACGTATATTAATCTCACACTCAATAACTGCATGTTACCGTCAACAAAGAAAAACGCACAAGATTCACGTCCATGTCTTTGTATTTATCTGCATTAGACCCAGAAATAATATCACGAGAAGCAGAAAGAACGCAATAATGGTAACAACAGAAACCGCATAGACGTTTTTTTTTTTTTTTTTTTTTTTTTTATAATGGTCAAGGCAACATTTAGTTAAACTACGCAAATAGACGTTTTTTTTTTTTTTTTTTTTTTTGATTTTTTGTTGGTATTCATACCATTATTGGAAAAAGAAATAGAAGAAGAAAACCAGAAAGACCTTTTTGATCTTTGTAGGTCTTACAAAGAAGGCTTTTGAGATTTGGGTAATGGATGATTTTGTGTGAGAACGGACGTGGGGTTTTTTGATCGGATTTGGAAAGAGGAGAGCTTTTTGTTTATGAATCTTATAATCTAGAGAGAGATTATCAGATAAGAAGGGGGTCGTCGAAGAAAAGCATGAACCCAAGAGTTCCTTTATTTAATTTATTTTTTTGGATTTTATTTTTTTTGGATTATTTTTTTTTTTTTTTTTTTTTTTGATTTGTATAATCATACATAGGAAAAGAAATAGAAGAAGAAAACCAGAAAGACCTTTTTGATCTTTGTAGGCTTACAAAGAAGAGCTTGTGAGATTTGGGTAATGGAGATTTGTGGAGAAACGACGTGGGTTTTGATGGATTTGGAAAGAGAGAGCTTTTTGTATGATCTAAATCTAGAGAGAGAATCAGAAAGAGGGGGTCGTCGAAGAAAAGCATGAACCAAGAGTTCCTTTATTTATTTATTTTATTTTATTTTTTGGATTAATTAAATCCAATCTGTATTTTTTTAATTTTAGTAAGAAAAATCAAAAAACGCAAGTATGGACAAGTAGACTAGTGCAACAGAAGATTAATGGAAGTAGGATGTTAATGATAAAGTGCGCCGTGGGTGCGCAGGTTATGAATAGGCGCACTAGAGTACTAGAGTATGGGTTTCGTGTGAGCGACGGCGAGTTTTGCGAGGGTGTGTATTACAATGTGAAAGTGCACAGGTGCATGTTAGCAAGGCGTGCAACGTGGCATGTACTACACAATACGCTCCTGGGTTTATTCGAAATTTTGTATAATGTCCCAATCCTTATGTAACTAAATAGTAAATAGTAAAGGACCATACTTATTTCTGCTTTCAAGTTTCAAGATTCAAGAAAATGCTCAGAAATGGAAACCTAAACCAACATTTTTATCTGAACTCAGGAGATGTTCGAAATATTATAGTATATATATTCAGTGTAATTTTATGTTAGTATTTAGAAATTTAATTGTTATTTTGTATTTATATATATAAAATAATAAAATTGCATTTCAATTATGCATTTTGATTGTATTTATAATTCTGTTGATTTATTTCATGATTTACTAGATATTTGGCTGAGTAGTTGAAAATCAACATTTGATGTTTGGATTTTTCCATAATTGATTAAGTAATTAGAAGCGTGCTTCAAAATTTAATAGATAATGATTTTAAATTTGACAATCTCAACCAAACAAGCCCCCAATTTTAAATTAATAATACATAGTAGCAAGTAATCACATTTGATTTACCAAACTTCGTCTTAATTACTCAAATTAATTAGACCGGTTCATTTATATGAATAGTGAACTGCATCTTAATTATATTACAATAGTGAGAAATAATTATTTTCTATATTTTTAGTGAATTAAATTATTTATTTTAAAGTCAAGATAACTATGTTTTAACTTTGATTTTTTGTCCTTAATTTGAAGAAATCACATTGAAAAGAAAAAGGCTATGCTTTAACTTCGGTAGGATGTTGTTGTTTGTAAACTTAATGTGCACGACAGGCAGTTGAGCAAAAGCTACTTAACAAAAAGAAAAAGAAAAAAAAAAAATTTTTTTTCTGTCAATCAGGAAAAAAATAAGAAGAGATGGAAAATTAAATTAGTAGGGAAGAAATGTTATTCCATTCACACAGCAAAGCAATAATAATGTGAAAATTGGAAAACAGGGCAGCAGCATAAATATTAGGACTAACGAAAGTCAAAAAAGGATTAAAAAAAGAACACAGAAGTGACAACTCGGCTCTTTCAAAAATTTTAAATTATATCAGCTTAGCTTAGGAAGCATCTTAAATAAATTCTTAATATTTCCTTTAAAAAAATTCTGAAGTCCTCAATCTCAAACAAGACTGTGGACCCCCACTCCTATGAGAGTCTCATAACACGCTACTCATTACGTGGCTTCATCCCAGATCCTACAAATTTTATTTATTTATTCAGATTAAAAATGTACAAATTATTACTTCTTTTTTTTTTTCTTTAAAAAAATCTTCCAATTTATGAATAAGGGGGGTAGATTAGTAATATTGACCACTATGGTTGAAGGAGTCTCGGGACGTATCATATCAGTAGTAAATATTTAAAACTGAGGTTAGTAATTAAGGTATACTGTGTGCCATCAATTATGTACTGCTAGCTAAGATTAGTTGTTGGGCAAATTAATTAGATTATGCTTCTTTTTTCTTTTCCTTCTGTTCTGGATCAGAAAGAACTACAGTAGAAGGACCAAATTCTGTTAGAAGAAGCGTCTCTGCTGATCTCATGTTTCACATGGATCATTGAGTGTATAATAATGCAGTATGATTAACTTGCAGACGGAATAGCTTCAGGTAGGACAATTTCTAAAAACAAATAATAATTTCTGCTGATTTCATGTTTCACATGGGTAATCCCTGGATTTGTTCCCGCTAATATCACTGCATGAATTCATTCAGGATTTAGCTGTTAAAAGCTTCACCTTAGGCCCGTTAGCTATATTTAGCTGTTTTTATAAATATTAGCTTTTTTAATCAAACTCTAAGAGTTAAATATTACAAAAAAAAACTTTATATAAAATGATATTTTAATCTATAAAAGCCAATGCAAGCATCACGTTACATCATCCAAATTGTTGAAAAAAATGCTCATGTTTTAGATAAACCAGTTAATCAGATGCTAAAGCAATCAACAGCCGCGTGCTCTCTTTTCATTTCAAGAGTGCTTGACGGGGCAGGGCAGCCTACATATGCCTGTCCTTCCATCGAATTGGCCCCACTAGTAGGCTCCAATTACTTGTTATAAATTCAATCTTACCTGCCTTATCAATATCATACAAGACAATAATATCTCTTGGTCCCATATTTTAGTTACACCTAAAACCTTAAAACCCTAAAGCTTCAAAATCAACCACCTTGCTTTGAATCTTTAACCCACTGCTATACAGAAGTTACTAATGGCTGGATGGCAATTTCTAGCCCAATTCATGGCTATTTACAGAATGAACCCCCAACCCAATAAAAAAAAAAAAAATCTAAAATTTTCTACATCAAAATGATATACATACAGCATTCTACTTATTTGGTTTTGTTACCTGAATTGATTTGATGATCAGGTAGTTGAATGCAACCCTAAAGCCACTACAATGTAAATTAACAACCTGGAGTAATATTTCAAGGTTTGTCCTTCTGACTGATTTTATATAAATTTATGGATTCAAGAGCCAACAAGACCTTTCTGCCGAGCATATGAAATTATCAATGCGAAAAGAGTTGCACAAATTATACTTGTGACTATGACCACCTAAATTTGAAGGCAAAGAAAAAGTGAATGTATGAGAAAAATAAACTCGTCCAAGTTAGTAATTAAGTTTAATGTAGAATCATGAGGAGAAAAAGTTCCTTAAGATGTCCTTTTTCTTTTGAAGGCGATTACCATACATACGTACCCATTTAAACATGTGGCTATGACCCTCTCTCCATGTGTATTGGAAATTCATGCCAAAAATTGCTGCCACCAAGGAATATATGGACAAACATACAGTCCCTGAACATAGGAAGAGCTCTAGCTGCCATGAATTAAATAAACAAATAAATGTTCTGCAGATAAATTAATTTTAAGAAATTTAGCTCAAACAGCTAAGTAAATGAAAGTCTACCAATCTAAACAAGGAAAGGAATGAACAATATATAATGATATGATATATGAATATTCTAATATTTTGTTTAAATAGAAATTTTGAATTTGAATTTTTAGTTCAAACTGTATAAATGAAGCTATAAAATTTAAGAGGAGAGTGGGCAAGAACCCTTCAAGATCCTTAGCAGAGTGTATTTGAAATTACAATTTCAAATATCCATAAAGAAAGTAAATTCTCATTCATATTTAATTTTCTATAACTGAAAAATTATAATGTAAACCCATTCAAGCATTTGAAATTTAAAGAGGTAAAAAGAATGAGCAAATCAACAATATACTTGGAACAAATCAACTAAGGTAAACAGATTATAGATTAGAACCAAAGTTCACACCTGAATGAGTTGATTCCGATGATTATCAAGCTGTAACAGACAAACACTAAAAGTTTTTAGGGTGTTGAAATGCCTTCGGAGGATTTTGACAATCTAACATGCCAATCAAATTGAATTGACAGAAGCACAGGAAAAATGCCCAAACTCTCAAAATTGCCCATTTACCTGGATATTGATGTAGTCCTCTGTGTCATCAATATATTCACGCAGCTGGAGACAAAAAGATTAATGCATGCATCAGAATAGCAACACGTTATATCAGCAATAATGTGAATGTTTTTTCCCAGAATCCACCTATGCATAATCCCATCCGAATAGATTCTAAATTATTATATATGAAATAGACGACCTTACAAGAATAGAAATATTCTGCCAAAAGAACTGCAGTAGCCTACCGTTGTCAATTTGTTCAGTGTGCCATCAATCTGCATGAAGTAAGCCTGCAAAGAAAATTGGTATTTGCCTCAGACTTTTTGTATGATTAGACATAGCAATATAGCACTATTGGTAACATTTACGACCTCAAGCAACATTTCAAGGTCCTCCACATCATTTTCCCCTGGAATTGTTATTGCACTGGCCCTACTTGTTCTAGATATCTTTGAACCTATGGTAGGAGAGCTAAGAAACCAATTGGGAACACTAGAGCCACTGACAGGTGAAGCTGAGCCAACTAACTTTCTTGATAAGTACAGGTCAGCCATGTCATCATCATCATCTAGAAGCTGCTCAAGTTCATCCCTTATCTGGAAACCAGAATGCTTCATTAGAGTGAGTTTAAATATGTGGATAGAAATTGATAATTTTATAATGTATTGCAAGCTTTAACTTGTAAGTAATTGATAACATGTGCTCCAAAATTCAGTACCTAAATCTAGATTGAGAAAATTCAGAAACTTGAGTCAATATGACTATTGACTACCCATATGGATGAAAATTATAAACTTTAAACCTGTGTTTTATAGTTTAGTTCATGTAATTTTCAATTCTACTGCGGGTGTGGTGCAAGGAACAAGTAACAATTTGTTACTTTTGTTCTCCCTCTGTGTACTAGCATCTGTGCGTGTGTGTACGTCTTTCTCACTGTCACCTTACTCCAAGTAGCTTCCCCCTTCTCCCAAAGGGGTCTGTATTTCTTTTTTTTCTGTTAACGTGTGAGGAGTGTTGAGAAAAAGAAAATTCTCACCAGTGGCGGCAAAGAAACTCTATTATTTGATTGGCCACATGGCTGACTAGATTAACTATCAGATGACTTGTAGTAAAAAGAAAAGAACTTGGTCAACTAAAATTATATATGCTCACTAAAAAATTTTGCAATTTCGATAATTATAGGAAAAAGATATGTCCAAGATCTCAGTCGATAAAAAAATTATTCATTTTTCATATGAAAGGATTGGCTTTTGCTTTACTTTTCTTGTTTTGAGAATTGGAGCACTCAACCTTATTCAATATTCTTGTACATAAGTTATGAATATTAAGTTACCTTTTGAACCCGATTTGTCAACCTTGTCATGGAACTCTTCAGTTTACGCACCCGGTCCAGATTCCGACTACTAATCTGCACAAACATAATTGCAATTTGACAGAGGCATTTGAGCAAAGTCCTTTGATTTGGTAAATGGTAGGACATGTCTTGAGATAAATTCAATGCCTATATCATTTTTGCCTAGACTGCAAAAGACTTTATGTAAATTACACTTTACATTTCATAATAAAAACTTGAATAAACACAACAAATGCAGCCAAGCTATTACACTTGAGTAAGAACTAAAGTTGACGTGATAAAATTGTTATAATCTTGGTACTGAAGGAATTGAAGGCAACATAATGATTCAAGCCAAAAATTCAATATAAAGATCATTAGTCCAGTCTTTACCTTTGAGGTCAGCTCATCTAAAGCAGGATAAGCTTCGGTCTCAAGTTCTCGAGTACGTGCATCTAGAAAACTACAAATGGCTTCCAGTGCAACTTCTAATGCTCGAAATTCAAATGGAAATTCTACATTGCAGTTCACAACCCAAATATTAATAACTACAACGCAATATAAAATCAGAAAATAAGAAATTAATTAATGTACTGTGACCATACCATTTTCTTCTCCTGTGTCAACATCTTTTCCCACCCCCTGGTGCTCTTCTTCTTCTCCTTGAATTTGACTTGTGATATCTAAAAGGGGCAATCGTCTTTGAAGTTCCTCAACGATAGGAATTACATTATCGTCCAGTGGGTCTCTTAGCAATACCTGTCCCACAACATAAAGCAAAATAAAGCACACTACGATCATCTAAAACTGTGATGAAATATCCTTATTTATGCGATTTCTTCCAATTAAACATATAATTAAAAGTGAAGAATTGCTAGTCCAACAACTAAAAGAATTAGAAAACTGATTACCTCCTCTGCTGTGATTATGGCTTTTATATGCTGAAACCCCAAGCAAAAGTCCAATGCACACCAAATTAGCAACAAAAATACTGAACCGATAAAAGAAAAAAAATGTTAAACTTAAAAATTCAGACCTCCAAGTTGAGAACAATAACTCTTTCTCTGCCTAAAATCGTAGAAGGATAAGATAAAAGAGGATCCAGAATTCGAAGATCTCTGGCGTGAATCTGGACTCTACGCATAATAGCGTACTTGTCCACATCAATGATGGCACCCTGGCCACTTTGGTCCAGCAAAATCCAGCTCGTAGAAACCGCAGTCTTCTTCTTCAAAGACGCTTGTGTCTCTACTGGAGCCAAAATCACACCTCTACCCATTTCCAGGAATCCAATTTCTCATACACCAAACAAGTGTAGCTTGCGTATATCCTCTTTGCTACCGGAGGCGGCTAATTAACAAGCTAATGATCCAAGCGAATTGACGGATTCACCTGAAAATGAGAATTTGGTAAGCCGGAGATTGGAGGGAGAGACCAAAAGGAGCGATGTAAAGGTTGATAAGAGAGAGAGAGTGTGTGTGTTTGTGTGTGAAGAAACCTCTGAAAAGAGGCCAGAGAAAGACAGAATCAGTGCATGGCTTGTAGTGAGCGGTAGGGGAGAGTTGCCGAGTAAGTTCAAATTGGAGGGGAAAAATGTTTCGAACAGATAATTTTATGTTAGTTTTACTTGCATATACTGGCGCGTGATGACTCTAAACCTTAGCTTTGCGTTAGTCCTTAGTAATATAATTAGTTTCCTTAACTATCTCATTGATATAAGTTTTCACTATTCAAAACAAAATCTTTAAAAAAAATTTTACTGCCTTTAAATATACGAGCTTGAATTTTCACCGCTAAATTTTTTATCTTATAAAAATATTAAATTTTTTTAGTTCCTTTGATTATCATAATAATAAATTATTAATGTTATTTTTATTTTTTATCGACTTAAAAAGTATTCTTAATTATATAATATCGTTATTTGTTGTGGGAAAAAAAGCTATAATATAGCTTGGTAGCTCATTTTATTGGTTTGATTCAATTGAATAGAATCAAAATTTTAAAATGAGAGTATATTGAACCAAATAATATACAAAAATTGAATGAAATTTATTAATTTGATCCATTTTTAGCTATATATGATTTTGAATTTATCTTATAGACCTTATCAAAACCGACTTAAAACTTGAAAATTTTAAATTTTTTATATGAAATTAAAAGCAAATTGTATATCCAAAAATGAACCAAATTAATTTTATACTAAAGTTGCAAAAAATTCAATCCAACTAGAACTAAGCATCTTATCACTAAAATGTAAAATTTAAATAAATATATTTTTATTGAATAAAAGAAATCATTATAGTGTATGAACTAAAAATATACATTGACTCAAAAATGTAAATGTATTAATAATTATAGAAAAACAAATTGAAATACGTATTTATTAGATGTATTAAAAAGTATAAAACAACCAATAATGTGTTGGTTGGATGATAAATTGCCTCAATTTTCATAAGGATAAAAATATATATTCAATTACCATAAGGGTGAAAGTATAAATTTAATTTATGAAAACACATTTATTCAAAGAATTAAAAATAATTGCAGCCTACGGTTTGAAAAGAAATTTCATCTCTTAATTCTATTGGAAAAAAATATAGTATAAATTAAAAAATCACTTGTTTTTGTTATAAGTGTTGGTATAATTTATAAACATCTAGCAAAAGGGTTTATCTTAATTAAGAGTACTTATTTTGTTACGTATATTAGTATTGCAAGGTTTAACAAAAGGGTCTATCTTAATTAAGAAAGCTTGCTTATTTTGAAAACCAAAAAAAAAAAAAAAAAGGAAGCTTGCTTGTTTATTATGGTTTTTTCGTTATAAAATTAAAATTAGCTTTATCAATAATGTGTTTGTCGGAAATGGTAAAGTTTTGTCGAGAACGTAATATGTTCATGACGCAGCAAATGGTAATTAGCAATTGGCACGCTCTTTAAGCGCGTGGTTGAAGTTTGTATTCCGGTTTCGCATTTATGTGATTGTGCCATGCATGATTGTAACCGCATCTTCCTCCACCGTGTCTCAGCCTCTCAGCGCCATTTTATCGCAATCATAGAGTAATGTCTGGTGAGTAAGCAAAGTACATCTTCAATTTTAATACGTCGATGTTATTTACTTTTTGGTTAGTCCATTGACTCTTTCAATCAGTAAAAGTATATTAATATTTTATTTATAAGATCACTACAACTATTTTTATATACAATTCAAAATTGAAAAAAAAAATGTTAATTTAAAGTTCTATCAGTCGTAAATGGCATGTGAAATCTTGTAAATATCAAGATTAGTGAAAATTTAAATATAATTATTTATTAAAAAAAAAATGTAAATTTAAATGCATATGACAGGAGTTGGTATGGGCTCGACAGTCCGAAAATGTTTTCAAGAATAAGAGCAAAATGGATTCAAACTAAACATACATGATATGCGTGGGATTGTTGGGTTAATATTATCCTGGTTCTGGTCAAATAAGAGCTTGAAAATTTAACTATCAGTATTTGAGCCCCTATTATTTAGTCACAGTTAAATAAAAAAACAGTCGAATCTTTTTTTAAATGTCCAGTTTATATTGATAATTGGACCACAATCCGTAAATGAGTATTTAATATTTATAAATGACGAAAATATTTACTGAAAGTATTAAACCTGGTCGAATAGACCGGGATAACTACGGTTCAAAATCGACAATAGTTGTGATAAAAAATGTGTCATACATCACCAATCGTTGCTTACATTTGAGATGCTCTCTTTGACGAGAGAGAGAGAGAGAGAGAGAGAGAGCATAAGATCAATGGGGAAATGGGAGGCCCATCCTGTGAAAAGTCGATCCAATTCATTTCGATCTAAAAAGTTCGGTGGACCTCAAACCAACAAGGCTTAAGCACTCCTTCTCCATCCGTGAACGTGATTATCGACTTTTTTATTTATTTATTTTATTTTGCCATTTCTATAACTTTTTTAGGAAAAATTGAACTTCAAATTTTATTAAAAAGGAGAATATATATAGAGATATGAAATATGGATTAACATGTTTCTATATTTATATATTTTTATATAGAGAATATATAAAAATATTTTTATTTTTATTTTTATTTTCTGAAAATAAAATGAAATAATTGCCACTTAATTTGACGCTAAGTAGTAACTTTCTTTACATTTTCACTGGCTGAAAAACAGTAACTTGTGCAAGGAAAATCCCAAAATAACAGAACAGCTAATAGGCCATAATGTAATTAATGCTAATTATTCGCATGTACTTCCATGAACGCGACAAAACAAATATATGAGCTGACCGTTTCATTTCAGAAGTACACTCTTCAAATTCCCCTTCTCTGCATGCTTGCACAAATATTTTCACTCCCATTGTAAATGTAGATTTTAATTTATCATTTTCACGATTTAGTAAATTTTTAGAACAACTTATTTTGTACCACGTGTTTATTTAATAAAATCAATATTTACTCTAATAAGCTTTTATTGACCGATAGAATTTCCTATTTAAATGGATCTCGATATGGTTTTATTTCGTTCATCGTATCGAAAGTTATGTTCCTTTTTGCTTTTTTATGGGCTTCTTACCTATGCAAATTTTTCTATTCCTTCATTCGAGTTAAGTTACTGGTACTCCATCCACAGTGCTGTCCACGGACCCTTTCCCGGATTCAGGTTAATAAAAATAAGATTTGATTTTTTTGTTCATATTATTCAATAATATTTTATGTATTTAAATGTGATAGCAAAATATAAAAGCAACCCATCTATATATATATATATATTTTTTTTTTTCCTGGAAGACAATCACCGGATTTGTTTTGATTTGAGTTGTTTGAGTTAAAGAATTTAGCATCTTCCCAATTTTCATACACAAACTTCCAATTTCGAAGTTAGGTTGCCTTTGGATCACCAAACTCCAAATAGAAGTGATAATTTCTTTTCCACATAAATTAATGAACTGTACTTTGATAAGATCAATAGGTGGACAATGACATATGGCCATCATTTTATGGGAGGTGTCACACTCCAATTTTACAGATAGCAAAATGTAAAATCATTGCGACTGTCACTAAAAGCAATGCACGTACTCTAACTCAGTTTAAATATTACTATTTCCCTTAAATTTAAAATTAAAAAAAAAAGTCACTGAAAAAACAAGAAAGAGTAAGTGCCCGTACCATGTGACACGTCATCTCTGCATTTTCTTTTAACTCTTGATAGCAACCCAACAATTATTAGAGTTTCCATTTTTCATTGTTTCAATGGCTTAGAAAGCAGTAAGCACTACTTTTTTTAAGTCCATATAAAGTTGACAAAATTAAATGTAATTACTGTTAATAAGCATTTTATCATATTATAATAATACTCTTTCAATGGAATTAATAAAAAAATATAAAGATTAATCAAATGTTTATATCTTTTATAAAGTTGTCTTCAAATATAAAAATTTTAAAAATTTAAAATAAGACTTAATATGTCTTCTGAATTTAGACATATTATACAATTTATCTAAAAATTAATTTTTTTATACTATTTGCTTCTTAAACTTACACCAAAAAAACAAAATATCCAGTTTTTTTTTTAAAAACTCTTTTTTATAATTTTAACTAATAAAAATTACTTAAAAATTTTAAACTTATAAAATAAAATTGTTAGAAATATAATAATTACAAAATTTACTGTATTTTATCTAAAAATAATTTAATAAATATTTGATTTATAAAATTATATAATCGGAAAAGATTTGATTATATTGAAATATTTTGTTAGAAAAATATTTATTATATTATTGTTTGATTATTTTAATTATATTTTAGATCAAATATTTAATTACCTTTTAATTATATTTGATTTATATCAAATAATTTATATTTTGGGACTAAAATTTGACACATTATACTACAAATTCAAGGGATAAATAGCACAAAAAGATAAAATCTGGACAAATTATATATTATGCCAAAATTCAAAAGGCAAGTTTAGCTTTATTTTTAAAAATTCAAATTATTTCATTTTCATTTACTAAATTGTAAATAAATTTTATCGGCTAAGATAATAAGTAATATATTTGATATAAATTTATATTTTAAAAATTATTTACATGGTTTTTTAATTATAAAATTGGTGAAAATTTTGGGATTAACAGAATTTGAATATGAAGTTTCTCATTTTTACATTAATCAAGTCTAAGTCTTAGAATATATATATTTATTGAGCGAAGATAATTCATTCCATACTAGCATGATCTAGATTAAATAATTAATTATATTAAAATTTTAAAATTTCTTCCAACAAAGCACAAATACGGCTGGAAAATAATTATTATATTTATTAAAATAAATATCTAATTTGCCAATTATGTATAGTTTCTAATTTTTTTATCTCATTTATGGAAGGAGAGCGAGCTATCAAATTTTTTAGACACAATAGTTTTTATAAATTCAGCGACGGACTCTTTAAACATTCTAATGAATATAAATAAATAAATATTCAGCTTATCTATAATTGAGAAATGACCAAAAAATTTTCTTAAAAATAAAAAAAAGAAATGACCAAAAAATTTACCCGGTACCACGCGTTAAAATGAGAACGTGGGGCCAATAAATCTGGGCTAGCAAAAGGCTGGCGTATTGATATCAACGACCAGTGATGCTCGTCCTCATTGTGCATCATGCTTGCCCCACCACCGTCTGTTTCACCCATGACCCATCGTCGTTGTCGCGTCTCAAATCTCAAAGCACACCCAAAGTACGTAAGTCCATTCTGTAAATTGACCAAAGAATTAAATAAAAAAACTGAAAAATATAAAAGGAAATCCTCTCTCTCTTCCCGCACAGAACCGAGCATGGAAAAAGCTCTCTAACCCCTACCATTCTTCTCTCTCTAAAATCGCAAAGCACACTCTAAAAGGAAGACCTGAAACCCTAGTTTCTGTTTCTTGCTACTGAAGTATCGAATGTCGCTGATTTGAATCCGTGAAATGTGCTTTTTGGAAAACGATTGATCGAGGAACAGAGCCATTCAATTAAGGATTTAGTTTTTGAGATTCATAATTACAGGCTTGATTTTGATGAAGAAAATTCATCAATGGCAGAGGATTCTGATCCTCTCTTTGCTTTGTTTTACTGTCCTCGCTCCTCTCCTATTCGTCTCCACTAGGCTCAAAAACTTCACTCTCATCGGTAAATTTCTATTCCTTTGCATTTGTTCCTGTAAATGTATACTCGAAATGGAACTTTCCTAGCACTAGGTTTGGTGATTGGATAGGGGAAATTTAACAGGACCAATGAAGATGCAAACTATATTAAATTGAAGTTGATAATCAAATATTTATCATACTCTCTAGATAAGATCATTTTATTATTGCTGTTACGTTGGTGGTTGGTTACTAATGGGCATGGCAATTGATTTTATGTGAATTTGCAGGGCGGAAAGAGTTCTTAGAAGATTTATCAGCTTTTGTAAGGGCTTTCTTTTCACTTAAAATTCAGATATCCTCCATATTGGTTGCTAAGAACAATTTTGAGAGACTCGGATTTTTGTTCTTATTCCTTTCTAAGCATAAAATGATTTTAACTGAGAAAAATTACTAGAATAATCTCTATTGACTTGAGAATTTGGGCTTTAAGATTGAAGTATTAGTAATTCTAGATTGTCAAATCCAATATATGTTCCCCTTTCATTTTTCTACTATTGATATTCGGATATGTATGGTGATAATGAGGATTTTGTATTGATCTTATTTGTTGGGTGCAGAAACCTAAGAGGGATGCTGGAATACTTCACGCAATTGAGCAGGTAGGTAGCTTTACGTTCTCTCTATCTTCCCATTTCTCACTCAGTGTTTACTTTTTATTGCTTTGCTTACTCTTCAATATTGTTTATCTATTTATCCATGTCAACTTTATTGTTGATTTATAATTTAGGAAGCAGGTGAAGACTTGAGAGAGCCAAAACTACTTGTTTACGAACAGAATGAGTTAGGTTCTGTAGTTACTAATAGTTCCACTGATGATTCTAAACGTTCTGAAAATACTGGGGACACAAGTCATGAATCAATGCAATCTGAAAATGCTGGACACTTAACCAGTCCCTTGCAAAGTAATCATTTGAAGTATTTTCTTTCATGTTTAACTCTTTCTTACTTTTGTTGAATGTAAACCTGTCTTTAATCTGTAACCATTTAAGTTTTAGGAAGCAGACATGAAAGAATAGAGGAAAGAAATCATATTCAAAAGGAAACAATACCATCAAAGTCAGATAAAGAGGTACGTACACATTATATTTTGTAATCATCTTAAAGGAGATTGCTTATGTTGTTGAATTTTTTGAATCCCTCAGTAAATTGAATCAGTATATGCATGCATGTATAGTTTTCATAAGGTCATTATGAAATTGCTAAAAATACAATCAAATACTATAGCCTAGACATGCACTGAGCTGATGTAAATTTATGTGTGGTAATGCTCGCAAAGCTGTTTTATCCTACGAGCAAAATAGTTTTTCTGCTTTGTCTATCACTACATATGTTAACATGTGATGGAACTTATTGTTATTACGTTTGTCTTGTTAGAAGTTCAGGTTGATGCTTGAGCATTTAAGACGGCAAATTTTAGCTGATAGGACATGATCAAAGGGGGATGTTGGATGTAGACGGTGATAATTTGGTAGATAAACAAGTATGAAGATGAATATATAGTTGTATACAGCATCAATAGGTAATTATGAAAAGCTAGATTCACTAATCTGAGAACTTGAAGTAAATATCAAATTCCATATATTTGTCGGAGGACTACGGACCTTCACGACATTAGGCTCAAGAGTTGTTGGCTTACGACGTGATCAATAATAAGGCATGAAGCAGAATAGATTGCAAAACAATAATTTTTTTATCTGCCTGATGCTACCAAACAATTTGCATTAGGCCAAACTGAATTTCAAATGTAGTGCATTTGTTGATTATCCAAGCCCCATTGCCATCTGCTTTGTTGTTGAACATATGGAGAAAAAATCATTTGAATTTGCTTTGGTTTCTATATGCTCACTGAACTACTAATTCTAGGTTCTGTGGAATTTCAGTTGGTTTTTAATGGTGTATGAAATGTTGTGGATTGATCATTGAGCTTTAGTTAGGTGGAATTACTGCATACAGAATATATATATATATATATATATATATATGTGGAGAAAAGGTTGAATCAAAAGTTAGGAGTGTGATTCATATCCTAATTTGATGTTGTGGATTGATCATTGAGCTTTAGTTAGGTGGAATTACTTGCAACAGACTATATATATATATATATATATATATATATATATATATATGTGGAGAAAAGGTTGAATCAAAAGTTAGGAGTGTGATTCATATCCTAATTTGATCAATTCTATTATGTATAAATAGTATAGATGGTGTTCTCTTTAAGAAGAATTATTTATTTTTTACTTTTTTGTATATGTTTTGGGTTTATACAAGCATCTGTTGTTGTTCTCATCTATATTTGAATGATAAGATTTGTTGTACTTCTGCTGTCTACGTATTATTTGCTTTATCTTCTGCAGATACGAAGATCCAATCAAACAGTCCCTCTTGATCTTAAAGCAAGGGCTTCGAGGCAAAAGGCAACGGATGAGAAGGTAAAGGAGATGAAAGATCAGCTGATTAGAGCCAAAGCATACTTGAGTTTTGCACCGCCTGGTAGTAATTCTCACTTAGCAAAAGAGCTGAGATTACGTATTAAAGAACTAGAACGAGCTATGGGTGAAGCCACAAGGGACAAAGATTTACCGAAGAGGTAACTTGACCAGTTTTTTTTTTGTCCTCTGGCTATTAAGTCAATTGCTTTTATATCATAATGAGAGACAATACCATCCTCTGATTAAGGATGATGAGCCAAACTGGTTTAAAACTGAAAATCATTGTACTTCCAGTGCACCGCAGAAAATGAAAGCCATGGAGGCTTCCTTGTCCAAAGCCAGTCGAGTTTATCCACATTGCTCCTCTATGGCCACAAAACTTCGTGCCATGACTTATAATGCTGAAGAACAAGTTCGAGCACAGAAGAACCAAACCACATTTCTGATTAATCTTGCTGCAAGGACTACACCAAAAAGCTTTCACTGCCTCTCTATGCGGTTGACATCTCAATACTTTGCCCTATCACCAAGGGAGAGGCTGTTTCCTAACCAAAAAAGAGTTCATGATCCAGATTTCCATCATTATGTTGTTTTTTCTGACAATATTCTGGCTTGTGCGGTTGTTGTGAATTCCACGATCTCCTCAGCCAAGGTAAACAGCATTAGCATTTTGTTTCTCCTTTGAACCCCGACAAACGCGTACAATGACAGACCTAGGGGAATTCTTTTTTTTTTTTTTTTTTTTTTTTTTTTTTTTTTTGGGCGGGGGGGGCCGCGGCATATCCTCCCAATACCTCCTCTTTTTCCTCTTCCTTCTCTTCGAAAACCCTCCCATTATTCCATTTTATTTTTGGCTCCCCAATTCATGAGTTCTTCTCTTCCTTTTTTTCTCTATTCTTAGTTTCTCTTTTCTTTTTTTGGTATTTGACCCTTTTTTTTTTTTTTTTTGGGGGGGGGGGGGGCGCGCATATCCTCCCAATCCTCTCTTTTTCCTCTTCCTTCTCTTCGAAACCCTCATAATTCTTTTATTTTTGGCTCCCCAAATTCCATGAGTTCTTCTTCTTCCTTTTTTCTCTATTCTTAGTTTCTCCTTTTCTTTTTTGGTATTTGACCCCAAAATTTTTTTTGTCAACCCTATTAATTCCATGAATTTGGTTTATTCTATACTTTTAGTTTTCATACATTTTACTTTTAGACCTTCAAGGTTTTTATATTTTGTATCCCCAACTCCAAGAACTATTTTGGTATGCAATTTTTTCAGATTACTCATTTATCTTTTATGAATTTAATCTATACGTTTAAATTAATTATCTCGAAAATAATGTTTCTTATTTTTGTTTTCGTAGTTAGATTTTGAGCTTTCTTATTTGAATACTTTCTCTAATATGCATAGCTTATGATGACATTGATGGGATGAATTTTCACCCGCTTCAATTAAATTCTTGGTTCTGCTATTGGGCATGCGCACGCACGCACACGCACACCTGGTGATTTTGACACTTGTTTATGCCAATCTGCTGTTTAGAGTGAATTCCTCTCCCCTCCCTGAATTTAAAGATATGCATTTGATGCATGTGTACCCTGTTGATCATAATACTGTCTATACATATTATACAACACAGTTAAACATGGCAGTTTCTTGTTATGTGAGGATCTTTGTGACTGAAATTTAATCCAAGTTGACACACATTCTGCCCCAATCAAGCCTCACTGTTCTAACTTGATACAACCCTAGACAAGGTTAACCCCCTGAAATACCTGAGTGGGTTCCATATTGTTTTTGTGTCCAATTCTTAATAGCTAAGTGCACTATACATATCTTAGACCCATTCTACTGGGGACATTAAGTCAAGTTAGTCAAATATTTTACCATTTTCCATTTCTAGTCATGTGGTGTCAGACATAAGATATTAGTGAACATTTTTTTATCCTTTTCTTATCACTTAGATAGTTTATCAGATATTTCAATAGGGAAATTTATATTTATTAATAATGAGCTTAGGCTTACAAATTTATGCGGGTCTTATTCTTGGCCTTTTATAGTGATTCATGAACTTGGGCTTTAGACCTAGTTTGCTTTCCATATGCGTAGGTGCTGTTTTTTTGCACGCTCGCCCCAAACTGGTGCAAAAAGCTTTCAAATTCACTGTTACATCATGACTTTAATGACGTGTAATGATGCTTATGGTTATTATTGCTTAACTACTGACAGGATGCAAAGAAGATTGTTTTGCATATAGTGACTGATTCTCTCAACCTCCCAGCAATCTCCATGTGGTTCTTATTGAACCCTCCCAGCAAAGCTACAATTCATATCCAGAGCATGGATAATTTAGGATGGTTGTCAACCAAGTATAATTCAACAATAAAGCAGAAGAACACTTATGATCCAAGATATTCATCTGCACTGAACCACCTTCGTTTCTATCTACCAGATATCTTCCCTTTGTTGAATAAGATTGTGTTTCTTGACCATGATGTGGTGGTTCAAAGAGATCTAACAGGACTTGGGAGTCTGGATATGAAAGGCAAAGTAAATGGAGCAGTAGAAACTTGTCAGGAAGAGGATGCTTCATTTCGCCAGATGGAGATGTTTTTCAATTTCTCAGATCCATTTGTGACAAAAAGGTTTGATGCCAAGGCATGCACCTGGGCATTTGGAATGAATTTGTTTGATCTGAAAGAGTGGAGACGGCAAAATTTAACTGCCCTCTACCATAAATACTTGCAAGCGGTAAGGAAATTTCTTTTTCCTGCATTTGCTTTTGCTTGTGTGCTGATATTGGTGATGAATTGATTAAACTGCAATAAAATAAGTTATTTTTTAGAGGATATGAATTGGTTAAATTAGTGATGATATTATTAATAGAACATTTACAAATTACAAGCATAGATGTGTTAACTTCAAATATGTAATATGGTTTTATATTGAATTGTAGTTGTGGACCCCCTTTTCTCCTTTCCCTGAAGTGGGGTTGTGGTGACTTTTTGGTGAGGGAGGTGAATTATGTTGATACCACAACAATCTTGATCAAAATGTTAATATCTCCTTTTTAATTCTTGCTATTTGAGTGGGTACTGTTATTACAACTCGGTGTGCTGCCATATTTCATGTTTGATGACATCATGTGTAGTTAAACTCATGGAGGTTTTCCCTTTTGGGTTTTAGCTGGACAAATCAATATCTATTCTGTTTCTCTACTTAAATGCATTGTTGCATAGCAGATTTGAGAAGCTGGTTTAGTAAATTAAATGCCTACATGGATTGGTGATGCAGATTATAGTATATATGCTAATTGTTGTTTGCTTTATCATTGGTTGCAGGGTAAGAAGAGGCCATTGTGGAAGGCTGGGAGCTTACCACTGGGTTGGGCAACCTTCTATAATCAGACAGTTGCTTTAGACCGGAGATGGCATAGACTAGGACTAGGTTATGAGTCAGGCATTGGACTAGATGACATTGATCAAGCAGCGGTGTTGCACTACGATGGAGTCAGGAAACCATGGTTGGATATTGGTATTGGGATTTACAAGCGTTACTGGAGCCAATATGTCAACTATGATCATCCATACTTACAGCAGTGCAATGTCCATGAGTAATTCAAATCAGAGTATCATCCCTGCACGATGTCATATTATTGGTTGCTTCTAATTCGAGGAAGCCTATGCATTTGCTTGATTCTTTTAGCAATTTCTCTTGTACATTTCCATTTTTTTTACTCCTAAACCGGCTGTAATCTTGTAGTAGCTGATGCTGAGTGAAGTTATACGGACAACTGAACTCAAATAAGGGTCTCAGGGCAGGGGGCATATTCATATTCTGGTAGTTAGTGTGTACATAACTCAATTCAGGTATTTGGTTTAGATTCAAACGCATACATTTGGAAACAAGATTAATGAGTAGTATATATATATATTTTTTGCCGCATTTCATGTTTTTTCTCTTTTTTTTCCCCCAAGCCTGTATATATGTTCCATGTTTCCCGTTAAGGTTTAGTATCTTTCTTTTTTTTTTAAAAAAAAAAAAAAAAGAAGAAAAGGATAGGAATCTCAGGTCTTGTATAGCTTCAGTTTACTTCCCCCATTGGTTTTCATTTTTCTCAATTAAAAATTAGGAATGAACCACGAGTGGTAAAATAAAAAATTTACTTACCAGCTAAATGAGTGTGTTAGCGCCTAATGATGAGGTTTGGCACCAGTTCAGTGCCAGAGTTTTTGTATTTTTGGGTGGGACAATGCCAGTGTTAATTTGCTTTGGATACAGGGATTAGGTGGAGGGGTGGAGCGTTATAGGCACCGCGCTCTCAAAAATATATATTTTTTTAAATCCTTATAAAACAATCTATATTTTTTATCTTTAAAAATATAAAAAAATAATATTCTGTACCTTCAAAATTTAAAAAAATTTCATTTCGCTTCCCAAACAATTTATCTAGAAAGATAAAGTTTATTGTGTGTCTAGTCTTAGTATAATTTATAAACAAAATACATTTTCCTCCTATTTTTCACCCTTCCAAATGGATGATGTGACACGTGGAGCGACTTGGTTGGAGACGCGTAGATATTGGATATCAAACGAGGTGAGCGGAGTGGCTGTGACTGCCTATCCATTTATGCGGTGTGTTGGACATATTCTGTGCTGAGACTATTTAACTTGTAAATTCTCTCCTCTCTGCTCTGTTGGTCAGTTTGGAATCTCTCTCTCTCAAAATCCATTTTCTTCCAAATAGAAGAAAAATGGCCTCCATCTCTGCTAGCGCCCCAACGTCATCAATCACCGGTACAACTCTTGCTCACAAGAGATTACCAGTGGTTTCATCCTCTCCTGTTCTTGGTAAGGTTCACCTCTTCTGATTTTTACCTTGATTTTAATTTATTTTTTAATTTAATTTTAAGATTTGGTTTCCAGGCTTGCCAGCTATGGCAATGAAAGGAAAAGTGAGGTTTTCAATGGAGGAAAAGCCACGTGGGTGTAACAAAGGTATGAGCGCATCGCTAGTTGCAGCTGCATGTGCCGTAACAACGTCGAGCCCAGCTCTGGCTTTGGTGGATGAGAGACTTAGCACTGAAGGAACAGGACTTCCATTTGGTTTGAGCAACAACCTTCTTGGTTGGATCCTTTTCGGCGTGTTTGGTCTTATTTGGGCTTTATACTTTGTTTATACTTCCAGCCTGGATGAGGATGAAGAATCAGGATTGTCTCTTTAAGGCGTAGCCTTACATTTAAATCCTTAAAATCTTTCTTTTTTTCTTTTTTGTTTTTTGGTGTTTATCAGCATCTCGTTTTAAAAGGAATGTAAAAAAAAGTATGTAGAATTTGGGTTTCTTTTTTAAATCTTTTGTATCTAAATTATATTTTCATGTGCAATGTTTTTCAGGATCAAATCAATCTGCAAATATTTTGTTACATTTAATGTGACCAGTTTAGAGAAATAAGAGCTTGTATCAATTAATTAATAAATCAACAGTAATTTCTTATTTCTTTTATCAGTAAGATTCTACTCGTGTATGCATACCTAAAAGCAAAGGAATTATTTCTCCTCATTTTGTACGAGATACGTACCTAGACTTAAAATATACAGTCACCTTACTAAAATTTAAAATAATATTAGTGATAACCAATTAAATTTTATTTCAAAAATTATTCTTAATAGATAATTAAGTCTTTTAAACTTTTAATTAAGATTTTATATTTAAAATATGTATTTGAAACAAAATCAAACTCAAAAGTAAATTTAAATAGATAAATTATATTAATTAATTTAAGCAGCTTAGCTGGCTGAAAATGGCTGTAGTAAGTGGAAGAAATTAATTAAATAACATCAGTCGACTTCTAAACAGCAATGATTTTATATTATACCGCGAAGACACAGTGCATGGTATTGAGTGAGCTTAATGTTAACTTTTCTCGGCCCATTCTCTTGCTCAATGGTCTGCTTAATTTGGGTTGTTATGCGGGTATTAAACGAGCCAGAGCCAGTAAGCCATATATGAAGATGTGCATGTGCTAAGTTGTGGGATTTATATAATCTTTCTATTTTTTTTTCCTTGAAAAAGAAAAAAAAAAGTTTTAGATATATATATTATGTTATCTTTTTTTATTAATTATCATATTATGTTTTAGAATTTCAAATTTTTAATTATCTTTTTTAATAAATATATATGAGGCTAAGAGAGATTAAAAAGAGAAAAAAACTATATTTGTTTCTTTATGTTTGTATAATTTAATTGGATATATATTTTTTTAAAAAATAAAATTTTAAATAAAATTTTCATAATATTTTATTTAGTAGAGAGATGAAAAAGAAAAAGTATATTCTTTTTTTTTTATATATATAGTTGTAGAGAATATCGAAAGTTTATTTGAAGAGGATATAATGTTTTTTTATGTAATCTTTTTTTTATTAGTTAATTAATTAGATGAAACACCCTTAATTTTTATTTTTCGAAACTTTTGAATTATTATTAAATCAAAAATCTGAATTTTCGACTGTCTGGACCGTAAATACTATTTAATTCTAATTCAAGCCTAAGTTTACAGATTTGGACTCAAGCCCAAAACATATTATTAAATATTTGTCAAGTGGAGAGCCTTAAGAAATTTTTAAGAGTAAATATGGAGCACTAATTATTAAATTATTAAACATGTATATGTATACGTGTGTGATTACTATATAAATTAATTATTCTTTTGAATTATTATTAAATCAAAAAATCTGAATTTTCGACTGTCTGTGACCGTAAATACTATTTAATTCTATTCAAGCCTAAGTTTACAGATTTGGACTCAAGCCCAAAACATATTATCTAATAATATTTGTCAAAGATGTGAGAGTCCTTTAAGAAATTTTTAGAGTAAATAATGCAGCACTAATTATTAATTCATAACATGTTATATGTATACGTGTGTGATTACTATATTAAATTAATTATTCTAAAATCTATTTTATTATTATTATTTATTATTATTATTATTATTATTATTTAGTAACTGCCAGGAAATGTTTTGGGACCTAATCTAAAGAATCAAAATAATTAAATCGCGTATTAGAAACCAAGCTTAAATCGAGCGAAATCAATTGACACATTGAACCAAACCCATTCGAATTCGAACCGGGAATAGGTTCTATTACACCCACAATATTTCTCATTCTTCTTCTTCTTCGTCCTTCTTCTCAGACGTTCGACCTCACCTCGCCCTCTTCCTCCTCGCAGTTTTTCGATCACCGGAGACCAGTGCCACGAGCCTTCCTTTCGCCTCCTTCGCAGCGGCTCGGCGCCTCCCCTCTCTCTCTTTCTTTCGTTTTTGCGTACGCAGAAGGCGCCTCCCTTCTCTCCTTTCTTTCGTTTTTAGCGTACGCAGAAGGCGCAGGAGAGCCGCGACATCCTTCGATCGGAAAGTCGCGTCGAGCCTCCTGCTCCTCGATTTTCCGACGACTCCAGCCTCTCTCTCTCGACGACGAAGCTTGGGTCTCCCTTTTTCGCTCCCTCCTTTTTGTTCCGGTTGACGCAGCAAGCTGGCGGAGCTGCGATCATGGCTCGCGATCTGTACAGTCGCGTTATCTGCTCTCACCTTCAAGTTTCTGACATTTTCCAGCTGAGTAAGTAATTTCCTGCTCCATTCTTCTGGTTTTATGAATTATTTCGACTAAATTGAAGAATTTAAGCCTGTATTATGTTTTTGTGAAGAGGTTAGATTTTTAAAAGTACTGATTATGCGCATTATCACGGGAAAATTTGATATTATCCTCTAATTGAAAACATGAACTGATTACATATAAGGAATAAAGGGTTTATCTAGTTATTGCAAATGTTAGTAAGGAAATCAAAGACTTCTCGATAGGGCAGTAACTAACCTGGCTATTTTTACGAGTTACATTATAATATGAAGAGAATGGTAATGTACAAATATCTAAGGATGTAGTATGTCTATTTCTTGATGAATAATGGATATATAACATCTAGACTATGAATTTAATATAGAAATTTGATTCCCTCTTCAAATGGCTGAAAAGTGATTGTGATTGGGAGAGAAGCGATTGAAATTCACTCATTCGTCTTCATTCTTACATGTATTATCTTATATTGATAGTAATTTTTTTTAGATTTAAAAATATTTAGAATTCTAAACCTGCACCTTAAGAGTTATTGAAGGGATTGAATATTTAGAATTCTAAACCTGCACCTTAACAGTTATTGAAGGGATTGTTATGCTGTTGTAAGGCTTGATGAAGGTTTATGTTTATTTTGAAATGGCAGTAAGCTTATGATAAGTCAATAGGAATTATGAAAACTTCTTAATCATGCAAAGAGTAGTTGATTTAGTATGAGTTTCAAAGAATTTACTTGGGATTTGACAATTTTGTTTTTACATAAAGTAAATTAACCATTTAGTATTTATTTTAATCTAAACAAAACTTATGATTTAATATTATATAGATACAAAAATGAGTACATAGTAAAAGACTAGTCATTTTAAAAAGATGAATTCTGACATTTTCTTTTCTTGTTCATTTAACATAAAATTAAATAATTATATTTATAAAGTAATCTTATTTTTTGAGCACACCTTAGAGCAATTAGTATACATCATGTCAAAACTATTTTAAAATTATAACTTAGATATACTCAAAAAAATCGTAATAAGACATGCTTATAAATAATAAAATCCATAAATATTTTTTGTAAATAAACATTAGAAATAGGAGTACAAAGTGTCAATCATCATAAAATTTATAGAATTAAAAATAAAAATTTTGCCTTACTTTTGTTGTTTTGCTATATATTTTATATTTATATTTGGATATAGAATTATAGATATACATGAATATCGAATTATAGTACTAGTTAGTAGTTAGTACGTAGTAGAGGAGGCCCATTTAACTGTATACGGTACAGGAGGCCCAATTAAACGTATACGGCACCACACTTCATTATTTTGGCCCACTATATATAACAACTACGTGTCTTCAATCTCCGCTCTTCAGTGTTAACTCATCTTTCTCATTTTAACCAGCGAAGGTTCAACATTTTCAATTTCTTAAATTTATTTATACAGGCTAGGATTGCACAGGGGATTAGGCGCTTTTGATAATAACGTCGCCTGAAAGACGCCACGACAAAGACAACTGGACAATTGGCGGCGAGCAATAATTTATATTTTTTATAATTACTGATAATTAATAATGTTTTACCTTAGTCTAGTAGAGCACACATTGCGTTTGCCTCCTTATCTCCTTAGCCTTCCTCTCGATGATGCTATTAAGAAGGAGCTTGAGAATATATTTTTAGACAAGGTATGCAATATTTGCCTTTTCTTTTTAATTTTATTTTATGTTTAGTGATTACTTGCTTGTGATTAGTTTGAGAAATTGGTACTATTGTGCTTGATGTTGTCTAAGACAATGGAAGTTGTGTTTGTAATGAAGGTTATTTCTAACTTGGGACTATGCATTTCGATATATGACCTCAGAAACATTGAAGGTGGCTTTATCTTCCCAGGAGATGGTGCATCAACATATACGGTAATCAACTATATATATATATATATATATAAACAATAGCTTTCTGTTCTTGTATTTTTTGAAGACTATGATGAATTAATTTCCAACTTTACTTTGAATTTGTTTTCTTTGTTTGAGGTTAAGTGTGTCTTGTAAGACTATGGATCACTTCTATACAATATTGATTTCTCTTATACAGATAGTGGGGATTGGGGGTTACAAGTGTAAATAATGGATATTGGTTTAGAAGTTGTTGACGGTGAATCTTAGAATCTCTATCAGGTTACTGCTTAAAATTTCTCATATTGTCTGAAGGGATTATGACACATTCTGAAATACTTTTGAGTAATGAATTACATCGGTGCTAAATCCAAGCTTTAAACTTTTCCTTTTAAAATTTCTTTAGCAAGCTTGCTCATTTTCTTTTGCGGTTTAATTCAGGGGTTGTAGGCTCTTGAATTTTATCATATATCTGTTTTCTTTGGTGCATTGTTTATTTTTGTGCTATTGTGTTTTCTTTTTTATTGCTATATATGGCACTTGGATCGATTTATTTAAAAACGTAATGCCTGAGTGATTCACAGTGCTTATTATGTTGTTTTGTTATTCTGGCAGGTGAAATTTAGAATGGTTGTGTTTCGTCCATTTGTGGGAGAAACAATTGTTGCGAAACTTAAAGAGTCTAAGGAAGATGGATTGCGCTGTATGTATTTCTGTCTATTTTCTGATGTACAACTATTATTATTATCTTTTAATGTGGCCTCATCATTGCAGCATACTTAAATAGTAAAGGCGATTTAGGTTTGTCTGATTATGATGGGTTGGCATTTGGTTTGTGACTAATTGAGTACTAGAGGGATTAGGGTGCTCCCTTTTCTCCAAAGGGAAAAATAGGCTTAGCAACCATTATACTAGTTAAGCCAATATCTTGCATTCTTTGAATTCTGTTTTGTGTAATTGCATCCAGCTACAATACATTGTTCATGCATGCTGATATTGGGACTATAATTACAGTGTCGCTTGGATTTTTTGATGATATTCACATACCAGCCCATCGTTTGCCAAAGCCATGTCATTTTGTGCCTAATTCAGAGAAGAGGTGAGGACATCTGCTTGGTTCAGTCTCCTATATGTGATCAACCAATAAAATGGCCTACATACCTCTGCATCCTTCACTATTCCTACTGCATTACCGTTGTTAATTTACTTAAGTAATCAAGTATCTCTATGTGTGTGCTTTTCTATTTAAAGATTGGCATAAAAATTGCAGGGATGAGGTTACATGGATATGGGACTATCCAGGAAATGAAGATGCTGTGTTCAGTATTGATGGCATAGACGAGGTTTATCTGTCATTTTTATGTATACTTATGCTCAAGCTTAGACCTTTCAACTGTATTCTCACTTCAGTTTTGAAATGCTAGATTAAGTTTAAAGTTGACAGCGTAAAGTATCCTCCAGTTCCTCTTGAGCAACAAGAAAAACCATTTGCCCCTATGATGATTACAGTGAGTTCATCATTCTGGCTTGATCATATGACTTGTTATTTTCTTTGACAATATTACCTTTTCCCTTTATTTCTCAATTTTCAGTCCCAGTAAAAGATTCATGTTAGCATGGAGCTGACACCTAACAACAAATACGAAAACATACCTTTAGGTTTTGGGGCGGGGGGTATACCATTATTATTTTGCCATCAAGAGGAAGTCTACTTATTTATTGCTTTAATTTATATTGGGAAAATTCAGGAGTTCAACTCTTAGTATTGTAAATGCGATGACAACAATTTAGTACTAGTATTTGCAAGATTTACCAAAAGTGCAGATATTTGTAGTTGGCAATTCACCTGTTCACAACAACAAAATAAAGCATTTACTGATTAATTTTAAGATGCATGAGTTTGTAGATAGCTAAATATATTTTACGCAATACTCATTCCAGAGATTAATTTACTCGCAACAAATTAAATAGCATGTTGCGGTGATTAAAATGAAAACCTACCCTTTCCTAAAGGTTAGTATTAGGTGGAGCTCTGCATAAACTCTTTGATTTGTGTTGTAGAGTCTAGCTGACTTCAAATTTTATTACCTCCCAGTTAATAATATTTTCTCTTTGGTTTCTTCACTATCTAGGAAAAATACTTTTCGAGGGCTTTAATGAGTTGATTATTTGTTTTGCAGGGAGCTATTGATGATGATGGTTTAGGCCCTGTTTCATGGTGGTGATGCCGGAAAAGTTTTGGGAATTGTAAACTTGACATGTTCGGTGGATGGAGCTTTTGATTCAATTACTATATCACCAGATATTTTTTTCATTGTACACTTTGAGATTCCCATTTTTATTTTGCCTTTGTGCTCGATTAAATACTTAGGGTCCGTTTATTTCTGTAAAATAACGATCAGAAAATTAAGTTATTTTTTAAGGAAATTAAGTTAATGGAAAATATTTTTCTGATTAAAAGAAAATTAAGTTATTTTTTTAGGAAAATAACTTTCCGTTTTCGAAAGATTAAAATATTTTTCAAATATTATAAATTTATATATTTTTTAATTTAATAATCATCGTGGTCACTATCACGAGTTATTATTTACCACCGCCCACCATTGCCCGTCACAATAGACTATCGGTAACTGTTTCATTATTTATATTTTTTTCATTCTTCTCATGTTGAATAATAAAATTTTTAAATTATAAAATTTTTGATCTAACAAACGAAAATTAAAGTTATTTTTTTTAGGAAAATAACTTTCCGTTTTCGACAAGACTTAAAACTACTTTTTCAAAAATATTATAAATTTATATAATTTTTAATTTAATTACATCATCGTCGGTCACTATCAACGAGTTATTATTACCCACCGACCCACCATTTGCCCGTCACAATAGCGACTACTCGGTAACTGTTTCAATTTATTGACTACTGTTTTGCATTCCTTCCTCATGCTTGAATAATTAAAATTTTTACAATTATAAAACCTTTCTTATTATATTACTTAACTAGTTCTCTTTGTAGCTCCTATGAGATAAAACAATTTTAATCATTTTTAATCTAATTTTCTAATATTATAAACTAAGTCCATTAAACAAAAAGTTAAAAATATCTTTTCTATAAATTATTTTGGTAAAAACATTAAACTTTACTATTAACGGTGCACAGTCTATCGTTCTAAAGCTTCCGTGCTTTGATTTCCATGTCTTGTTAACAAATTTTTTGCGAAACCGTGATATCCTGGAATTCATAGAAATAAAGGAATTCGATGGCATTAGCACAATGAAAGCGATAAATCCAAGAAATAATGAATAAAAGTTCAAGTTAGGCTTCCTTCCTGACGTTTTTTTTTGTAAACTTTCTACCAACATTGTTTACTGCTACGAAATAAAAAACTTTTGGATCGGCTAAACATTGTATAAAATAAAATTTTTATTATTATTAATATTTTTTGTAGTCCTATGAGATAAAAATTTTAATATTTTTATCTAATTTTTAATATTATAATAAGTCATAAAAAAAATTTAAAAATTATTTTTCTATAAATTATTTTGTAAAAATAAATGTACTATTAACGTGACAGTCTATGTTCTAAAGCTTCGTGCTTTGATTTCATGTCTTGTAAAATTTTGACCGTTTATATCTGAATTATAGAAATAAGAATTGATGATTAGACAATGAAGCGATAAATCAATAAATAATAGAATAAAATTTCAAGTTGGCTTTTGACGTTTTTTTTTAAATTTCTCCAACATTGTTTAACTGCTACGAAATAAAAACTTTTGATGGTAAAATTGTATAAATAGAGTCGACTGAAGCGTATGTATGCAAATTGTTAAGTGCAAGCCCACCTTACAGGCATGCAATGGTTTTTTATCTTCTTACCAAATATGATTTGGTCAAATCTGGACGGTGAATGATCAATGGTGGCCCACCTCATGAACGGTCCAGAAACCTTCTCCTCTTCCAAGACAAACTATATTTATTATTCCCTTCCACCACAACCACGCATGGTCTCCCCGCCCAAAAATGGCAGCTGCTTCTTTTACTACACCAAAGATCACCTCTCCGACTCTCCAATCTCTCTGCAAGAAGCTCCCCCTCGCAATCCCTTTCTCTTCCTCCTTTCTCTCTCTTCCCAAAACCCTAACCTCGTTCCCTCCTCGTCCCCTCAATCTTCATCACTCCCTTCCCAATCGACGTCATTTCACCGTTCGAGCAGACTCCGATAATGGCGCCGAACCTGCTCGCCACTACGATTTTGACCTCTTCACCATTGGCGCCGGCAGCGGAGGCGTCCGTGTCTCTCGCTTCGCCGCTAGTTTCGGTGCTTCTGTTGCTATCTGTGAACTTCCGTTCTCCACCATATCCTCTGATACCACAGGAGGTTTCGGCGGCACGTAAGTAAATAAGAAAAACCTAAATTGCCATGAATTTCTTCTTGCTTGCTAATACTTTCGTTTTATTCAATTGGAAGTGTTTTTGGTACATTAACTTTCTTCAAACCTTAAATTAGTCTTTACCATTTTCCATTTTAGTACGAGCTTGTACATATTCATCAGTTCCTGATGCAGGTGTGTCCTTCGTGGTTGCGTACCAAAGAAACTGCTCGTTTACGCTTCAAAATATTCTCATGATTTGGATGAGAGCGGTGGCTTTGGATGGAAGCATGAGACTGAACCAAAGCATGATTGGAGCACTTTAATGGCTAATAAAAATGCCGAGTTGCAGCGCCTTACTGGTATCTACAAGAATATGCTAAACAATGCTGGTGTCACATTAATTGAGGGCCGTGGAAAGGTGAGATGATTCATCAAGTCTGTATTATGTACAAATAAATATAAAATTTTGGAATGTGCTTTTGTACTTCTATCATTTATGCTGATTGAATATGTGCAGATTGTAGACCCACACACAGTTGATGTTGATGGAAAACTCTACTCAGCACGACACATAGTAATTTCAGTTGGAGGTCGCCCCTTCATTCCTGAAATTCCTGGAAGTGAATATGTGATTGATTCGGATGCTGCACTTGATTTGCCCTCAAAGCCTGAGAAAATTGCAATAGTTGGTGGAGGTTACATTGCCTTGGAGTTCGCTGGTATATTCAATGGTTTGAAAAGTGACGTCCATGTATTTATACGGCAGAAAAAAGTATTAAGGGGATTTGATGAAGAGGTGATGAAATGTGAATTATTACAATAATTTAGTTGATATATGTTGTCAGATTTTCCTTGCAATTAATTTTAAATGTGTCTATATACCTGTAGGTCAGAGATTTTGTTGCACAAGAAATGACTCTAAGAGGAATTGAGTTCCATGTGGAGGAGTCACCTCAGGCTATTATTAAATCAGCAGATGGTTCCCTGTCACTGAAGACCAACAAAGGAACAGTTGAGGGTTTCTCACATATCATGTTTGCAACAGGACGCAGGCCTAATACAAAGGTTTAATTTTTTTTTTTTTTTATTTCTTTTTGTTTGCTGATTTTCCTTTGGTCAGACTTGGATTTCTTGGGATATCAATTAAAGATGGTACACTGGAGGAATTGGTTGTTTCTTCAATTGTGCCCTTCCATAATGAAAATTGAAGAAAATGAAGCCAGGACCATTATTTACTTGTTTTGCATCATGTTTCTTACTTTTTGGTGTAAATCCATGCCAGTTTGACTTGGCAAATATGAAACTACGAAGTCCTCCTTACTTTTTTCTTGAATGGAATGACTGAGCTGATTTTGCGTTGCAGAACTTGGGATTGGAGAAAGTGGGGGTAAAAATGACCAAGAATGGAGCAATAGAGGTAGTATCCGTGATTTTGGGTTTCCTTTTGCTTGATTTCCATTTTCTTTTCCCGCTTCTCTAATTGCATTTCTTAAATAGTTTATTCATTGCCCAGGTTGATGAATACTCATGCACATCAGTTCCTTCCATTTGGGCAGTTGGAGATGTTACAGATAGAGTGAATTTGACTCCAGTTGCTTTGATGGAAGGAGGAGCATTGGCAAAAACTCTGTTTCTGAATGAGCCAACAAAACCAAATTATAGGTACTCATTGAATTTGTGACAAAACAGTTGTTAACGCTCAATATGATCCAATTTGAGAAGTTCTCGTACTGAGTTTTCTACCACAAAGCAACATGACTCAGTAAGGCAGAAAAAAATGCTTGCAGTTTCACATATAAATCACTCCTAAACTTTAGGATATTGCTATCTCCCAATTGGTAGGGGGCATGGAGATTCGGACACTATATGGATTTGTCTTTTATTAAGTGTATTGTCATTGTTAATTTTTCTACTTATTCTGGAAGAGACAACTGATAAAACTGCATAATTTATGTAAAAGATTTGCATGACAATTTCGCTTTCTGATATCCTTAAATATCTAATGTAATGGAAGAAAACAAATGAAAACTGTCTTTGGAGATATATTTCTATCTTTTTTCTTAACGACATTTTTTAAGAGACAGAAGCTTGAAGTGATTATTGTGATTGTTGCCCCCTGATTGACCCTGAGATATCTAGTTTAAAGTCCAGAAAACAAAATGAATGACAGCTGAAATAAAATATTTATTTTTCTCTCCTTTTTCTTTTCCTCTTCTTGATATATTTCAAGAGAGAGAGAGTCTTATATAATTTATTATTGAGAACTTGACAGAGTTGTGACGTCTTCCCTTTGTATGCACACAGTTGCAAGTATTTGAAGTAACCTTTTGGATGGACTGATGATTCAACCTCCAATTGTCAACACAAGGATTATTTTCTTTTCCTTGTGAAATTTATATGTGGACATTGTACCTTGTTAGTTACAGCATGAAAGTTTTCTTCAGTAGTTAATAGATTACTGAAAGATGTCAGACAGCTTAGTGCCTACCAACATTAAAACTGATGCACTAAGTTGTTTATGATCAAATGTTGAGACCTTTAGTACTAATAATTTGGAAATTTTGTTCAGATTTTTTTTTCCCTTTCTGACTGAAATTTTTTGCAGGGTTTAAGATAAAATAATTAGTTTTATTTACTACAAATCCCTTGGGATTTAGTAACTAAAGTCCCATCTTTTTTAAAAATATGCCTTGTATTCCTTTGTTGAGAAATCTTTTGATGGATGTGTAAAATTTAAACGAAATGACACAAATGTTCTGTAAAACATATGCAAAATTTGAGCTGAACCATCTACAATATATCTTTGCCTCCAAACCTTTTGTTTTGCGTCTTCCAGTGTTATGATCTGCTATCTTTCCTCGCTTAACTCTGATTCCATCACTTAAGTGGAAAGTTGCCGTTGTCTAATATGCCTTACTGTCATCTAGAAGTACTTTGTTGTCTTCCTTCTCCCTGCCACTCTTCTCTTTTGAAGCAGCAAGGATTCAAGTGTCTGTTTTGCTAAAGTTTTGCAGGTTTAATAATATCCCGAATAATAAAGACTTATGGAGATAATAATGGCTATTTGACTTTTTCTTCCTCTCTTTTCTTTTGAATAGAGCAATTCCATCTGCTGTGTTTTCCCAGCCACCAATTGGACAAGTTGGTATTACTGAAGAACAGGTGATATGTTTTTTTTTTGGTTGCATGCAGCTGAGATTGGCTTCTTGTGCTTCAACTTAATCAGGATTATTGCAGGCTATTAAAGCATATGGTGATGTTGATATCTACACAGCAAACTTTAGGCCTTTGAAAGCCACTCTCTCAGGGCTTCCAGATCGGGTTTTCATGAAATTAATAGTCTGTGCAAAGACAGACAAAGTTCTGGGGTTGCACATGTGTGGAGAAGATGCAGCAGAAATTGTGCAGGTCTGTGCGTTGCGCTCCAGTTGTTGTTTCCAGTTATATATTTTATAAATTCTGATTCTGAATTGATATGGTTTTATAATGTTCGAATCTGCAGGGATTTGCTGTTGCTGTCAAAGCTGGCTTGACTAAAGCAGACTTTGATGCTACCGTAGGTGTTCACCCAACAGCTGCTGAGGAGTTTGTCACAATGAGGAATCCTACACGACGGCATCGAGGTCCTCCTTCTGAGGTTTGTCAAAAATTCACAAGGGTTTTATGTTAGTATTGTGCTTGTCTGTGGTTGTTAGTTTGACTTCATCAGAGATTTCTATCATCTGTACTTGTCTGCATGCAATTTTTCTAGCTTAAAATGGTGTTAAATTGTCAATTGCTTTAGCATCACGTATTGTAGATCTTAAATTCATGCTTTGATTTATTGTAAGGTTTTGATTATGGCCCATGCTTTCGAATTCTGATTCTATGATTCAAAATCTCCTCATGCTATCATTCTTTGTTCTTTTATTCTATTTGTTCCAGGGAATGGCAGGTCAGGAGGTTAAAGCTGCTGCAGGGGTTTAGTGCAAGTCATGCTGTACCATAGAGCAACTCCTTTATGGTGTGAACAGTTTCCTATGACTTGCGTTCAAAATTATGGTTTCTAGATTCTTTTTTTGTTTTTTCATTTATTCCTGAAGACAATAGAAGAAGTGCTCATTTGGCAATGCAAATAGACATCACTAGGCAACCATGATCTGCTGCATTCAGTTATTTTCTCAAGAATTTTAGTCGACAAAAACTACTTATTTTAAGATGCTGCCACTTTTAACAGACTGATGGAGGACTGCTTTATAGGTGGAGGGGGGAAGAAATTTTTAGAACAGAATTAACCAGTAGGATATATACTCAAATGCCGTTACACTTTATATGACTTCCACTCTAATTAGTAGATATTCTTTGTGTTGCTAATTCTCACAACTGCTCAGGTAGAGACTGAGAAATTGCTGGTGAAATATCTGTGTCGAATCTGAAGTCAATAGTGATTTGTGATCGATGGCTGATGAGGATGCATTGATGGCGAAGTTGTCCTGTTGGGATTTTGGAGTAACAAGAGGAAAAGTTAATGTTACTTTTGGAAGGAATGTGTATCATATTGCTGGAATTGGCTAATAGGTTTCGGCTTCTGGACGAGAATCAGCATGAACTGTGATCTGAGACTCGAATCCAGTTCCAAAATATTTTTTGGAGCTCATTTTCTTTCTTTCAGTTTTGCATACCACATCACAAGACAGTTCATCTGTTATGCTTATAGATGTATAATTTTCACTTCCTGTCAATACTTTTTACTATTTCTCGCCTGCTTTTTTATTTATTAATATTTTCATTTTTCCTTTTATTTTTCTGAGAATGGACTGCTAGTGCTTGGAGAATAATATAATTTGGTTTATTCGGTTAATTCAACTTTGGGCTTGCATCAGTTCTTTGCACTTCGGCTTGTATTTTTCTAATTTAATACAAAAGTATATTTTTTTTATAATTGGAAAAGTACCTCTTTTTTTTTTTTTTTTTTTAAAAAAAAAAAAATTAATACAAAAGTATTATTTTTTTTATAATTGGAAAAAAAGTAACCTCTTTTTTTTTTTTTTTTTTTTTTTTTGAAAAAAAAAAAAGAGCCTGTCCTTGGAATTTTGGAATGTAACTATTAAATTAACATTGAGTAATGGGATCATCCTTTTTTTTGTTTTTGAAAATACGAGATCATATTACATAATAACTTGGTTTACTGCGTAATAAATTATTATTAATTTAAATAACCAAGTGGGATATATACTCTTCTTGGTAAGTACTTTTGGCAATTGACGTGTCACGAGTGAATTTTTAAAAAAAGATATAATATAACGTAATGCATAGGAGCAGAAACTATCTTTAGAGAAAGAAAGTGATATATATATATATCATGTAGCTCAAGAAATTGTAATAATTATATAATAACCCGCGGAAAACGTAATTTTGAATAAATTAATTAGTAAGAGAGAAAAAAAATCTAATTTTTAATTTCATTATAACATAAAATTGTTAAAAAAAATAGAAATTAATCATAACAACTTAAAAAAATATAAAATATTTATGCTTATCAGTGTAAAGACAAGAGATAGGAAAAATGTAGTTTCACTCTCCAGTAAAAACAAAACAAAAATGTGAAAATCAATAATAAAAACATATCCATACAAATGCCACGGACAACAATTGGCTGTGGTTTGATTGCGATTTCTCTTTTGTGGTTTCTGATTTCGAAAGCATCGTTTTCAAGACAACTATTTTTCTTATGGGTAGATTAGATTTTTTTTGCAGAAATGCCTACCAAAACACATTCCTCATGCATACGTAATCATCAAGTGATCAACTTCCATTATTTTTGTTTTTTCCATTCAACATGCACAAACCTTATATAAATATCTACGATATTATTATTTCTTTGTTATTACATTTAATTTATTAAAAAAAATTATCTATAAAAATTTTATTTGAATATCACTTTTTTTATATATAAACAAAAAATAAATTTTTAAAAAAATATTATTTTTTAATCAGCAAATAATATTTTATTTTATCATTAGAGTCAGAGAAATAAATGTTTATTAAAATATAATTTTCTGTTAAAAAAAAGTATAGAGAGCAAAAACACGAAGCAAATTGGTATCTTATTAATATTTATGGCCGTTACAATTTCTTTCTATACTATAATTCTTAACTTCTGACATGTATCATCTTGAAAAACCAGTAACTCAAAAAATAGGGTTTACTCGGAAGAATTAAGAAGCAGGCCTACTTTTTGAAGATGGTGATGAACGTCAGAAGAGTGATCATCAGGTTTAGGGCGCTCAGGTTCAACCCAACGCCCATTCTGAAACACCATACCCTTGTTCTCATCTTGCTTCCATGACGGTGGAACCAACAGTTCATCTTTCAAAAAGTCCGATGACTTGTTCACCAGTGCTATGTCCCTTTCTATTGCCAATTCAAATTTTGTCCCTTTTCCATGATACCTGCATTTATCCCATTTCAACAAATTAATTTTTAAACTTTAAGTCAACCTATAAATTAATAATCCATGATGGTGGGACTGTGAATTTTGTAGTGGTACGGATAGATAAGATGCGAAATCTATAGAATTTAACAAAATTTATGTAATCGAAAGATATTCTTAAAAATAAAAATAATAAGTGATTAAGTATAATATTATTTTAATTCCTGAGATTTGATGTTAATTATTATTTGCTGTATTTTTAATTAAAATAATCAGTTCCTCACTGTAAAAATGAAAATTTAAAAATATTATCTTATAAAGTTGAATCCGCTTTGATGAAATAAATTATTCGAATCGAATTTTAAAAAAAAATTAAAAATTGATTAACCAAGAAGTGGATAACAAAAAAAAAAAAAAGGGAGAACAGATTACCCATCGAGCAAGTGCAACTGGGCCTCCAAATTATGAGCATTAGGCAGACTAGCATGTTCCTTTAAATATGGTGAATTCGTATGATCCAAAGCCAACTCCACCCCAACGTGTGTATAACACCACGGCAACCCCTCCACCACTTTCAACGCCGCATCCGGCAGTTTTTCATTCAACAAAAGCCCCGGCGACTTTGGAACTACATCGTGCACATTAAACACTCTCAACACTTTCACTCCCAATTTCTCCATCCTCTCCCGAAATCTCACGTTCCCCACCCGAGGACCCGCAAACGTAAAAGCACACACCTTCACTCGTTTGCTGTCTTCCATCTTTTGCAATGCCGTCTCGGCTATATCAAATGCACTCAACACCGCCAAAGCACCGCCTAGACTGTGACCAGTTATAGTTATGCTTAATTCTTCGCCAGGGTATTTTTCTGTTAATTTTTTTATTTCCGCTAGTATTTGTTCCCTAGCCGAAAACTTACAGTATCGGCAGCTCGGGTCTTTATCGGTGTAGAGGTCCAAGAAACCGGATTCGGCTTTCACATTCGGTTCCGGACTTTGGATTTTATAATCAGAAATTGGTTTTTGAAAGCTCATTAAATCTTCGAGCCATTCTAAACCTGTTACTGTTCCTCTCCAACAAATAACAATGTCACGGCGGCCTAAACGAGCTGTGGTTTCGTCGTTAGAGACGGCCACGTACCCGATCCAATTGGCGTTGCTGCTCCATTTGGTTGGGAAAACCGATTTTCTAAAGAATTTCGGGAATTTCAGTGTAGAAGTAGCGAAAAGGTATCGGGACACGTAATATCCAAGATGATCTAACCCTAGTTTTTGGAAAAATTCAAGATGCATGTACCTGCAAGTTCCACAGTATTGAGAATACTGATCGAAAAAGAAACCATCATAGGTAGCTTGCGTCATTTCGCCGTAACGGATAAGTTCTGATCGTAAAATTGGATCCATTGGATCCAGCAAACCAGACCAGTTGTTTTTGCCATGGATTTCTTGCCATTTATCAGCGATGTTTCGTATTGTGATTTTTGGATACTGGTTTTCGCTATTATTTGGCACTGGTGATTTTCCTTCTTCGAGTTTCGTTATAGTGGAAGATAGTGAGTCCGTTGATTTGGAGGAAACTTTGAGTGAGGAGGGCGTTTTGTGAGAAGATTTAGAGTAGGTTTGACGTGGAAATTGCAGAGAGAAGCATTTTTGAGATGGAGAGTTAACAATGTCAGGCTTGAAAGGAAGAAGAGCACTGGTGGAGAGAGAAACGTTAATGGCCATTGTTGAGGATATGTAGAGATATGGACAAGACAGAGGAGAAGATTAGAAGGAAGGTTGATTTTTCAGTGTCAGGGGATGGGTTTGGTGGTCGTGTCATATCATATTTATAGAGGAGATTAATGCATGTGAAAAGTCATGTGCGCGTGGTTCATGCATTTACCGTACTATTATTTAATTTGTCGCAACTTGTTACAAAGTCGGGCTATCTATTATGTAAGGAACTTGCCTATTGTTTTGCATAGTATTATTTTTTTAAAAAAATTTATTCATTAAGACTCTCTTTTTTCTTTGTTTTTTTTTTTTTTTCAAGTGAATTTTCCATAATACTCCTATTTATCTTATATTTTTTCATTGAATTACGTATCTTAAATATATGAAACTCTTGATATGAAGCCAATAAAAATCATTTTCCTTAAAATGGATTTAGTTTTAATCTCCCATATTTAAAAAAATATTTTTCATTAATTGATTTCTTTAAAGACCAATATCAAAAAATTTCGAAAAATATTCGACATAAATTATTTTACTAAAAAAGAGCTTTTTTTGGAAAAAAATTGTTAATTTACAAAAAATAAAATAAAATGAAAGGCAAGTTACTAACTCCAACAACATTTTTTATTTTTTTTAGTATAATCCAACAGAAGTTTAATTGATGTACAACATATCAAGGCATAACGTAATAATAAATGCATATATGACATGGTAATAGATCCATATTTGAATCTCATTTTCCAACACTCAACAAAAGAAAGTTATTGTGTAATTAATTTATTTAATAAAATCAAATATTTTCTTTATAAATAAATTTTTCTCTTGTTATATAACTATAAATAAATTTGTTATTATTTTATTAAAATAGATGTATTTTATTTAAATAATTTATATTATGCAGGATTTATTTGATCTGCACTGCAGTATCTGAAATTATGTACATGTGAATCCATAATAGTTGCTTAAGCCAATTTAATAAATTGGAATAATATGAAGCTCTGATTGCAATAATTATAGTATGTTACGAACCATCTCAGTATTTAGAATTGATCCCAAAGTAACACCATTCGTTTCCATACAGCCTACAGGAGACAAACCCAAGGGTATAAATGTGCCTTCAATAATTGTTATTCTTAAAATATTGTCCTTTAACTTTATTGAAAAGACTGAAAAGACTTTCTTTCATTTTTATACTATAATTAAATCACACTATTATCTTATTTAATGGACAGAGTATATTTTATATATATATATATATATATATGTGCGTGTGTGAAATTGATGTATTGACGTGGGAGTGGGAGAAAGTTTTCCTTTTGAATTTTGGGACCATAATGCAGTGTTCAACTGTTCAATTCTCCCTTTCCGTGTGGCACATGTAAAATGCATATGATAATTGTAAGAAGAAGACAATTCTTATTTGGAATTTGGGGAAAAATATCACATTTTAGTGTTGAATACTCAATTAAGATAAGAATGAACAGATACCTCACCCAAATGTGGAAACGAATGGAAGAGGATATAAGTCAGCTTTAATAAAATTTTTATTGAGAAATTTCATATTTAAAACATGAAAAAAAAAAAAAAAAAGGTAATTAAGGATCTGTGAGAAAGAGTATGTAAGTCGGATTAACTATTACATACTAGGAAAAGAAAATATAAAAGTTTTAAGATTTCAATAACTTATATACTGCGCGATCAAAATGGGGAAGTACTCCCTTTGGCTCAGCCTTGGGAGGTGCGTGGTGAGGCTCACGGGGCTAGACCCATCGCAGACCACAAACAAAAGCCTTTACATCATTCATGTTTTTCGTGAGGCTAACTCCGTTGTAGATCTTCTGGGTAAAGGAGCGATTAGGGGGCCACGTGGTCTGCAGATCATTCAGTCTCCCCCTGTGCAGATTCGGGAGTTGTTAGCAGCTGACTTGGCCGGTGCTATTTGTCAGCATGGGAGCTAGTTGTTTTATGGGTTTAAATCCCTCCACTTATTCAAAAATATAATAGTCACTTTTTATCAAATATTAAAATAATTAAATATATTTTAGACTATTCTCCTTCTGATTAGTACATAACAAATTGCTAATCATTTAAAAAAAATTCTTATTTTATATATATATATATAGTTGATAAAAAAAAGATAAGTCATTCCATTAAAATCTTATTAGAAATACTCATTTGTAATTTACATACTCATTTATAATTTACATTTGAATTCAATAAACGATATTTAAAAAGTAAGGAATTGCTCGATTTATAAAGCAACCACTTATTGATGGGGTAATTAAGAATCATGAAATGAGAATAATCTCGTATTAAAAAAAAGGGTGTGGAAATTTTCATTAAAAAAAATATAAATAAGTTTGAAAGAAAATAGTGAATGGGGAAAGGAGGAGTTAAAGAATTGAGCTTTTGTTCTCAGCATCACAAGTCAAGTGCCTAATCATCGCATTGTTTATCCAAAGTCTTAACTTGAAATTACTAATTATCTCATCTGCCTTTTCTTTTCTTTTTATTCTTAGCATTGATTAAGCCCTTGGATGCAAAAAAAAGAGAGAAAGCTCTCCAAGCTTTTAGGAATTTATTCTAATAAACCAAATGTGTTCCTAATTAATATTAATACAAATTTACAATGAAATAAATCGATTTTAGGTGTATCAATCCATTCAGTGAAGTTTGAATCAATAACTGAAATGTTAGTGTTGACCAATTAAATAACTAGTCTTCTATCATTTTATGCATATATATTTGGTATTTAATCATAAAAGATTATTAACACAAAATTATAATGGTGATTGAAACATAACGAATAAATGAGCTGGCCGATGCACATTTATGTGCCAATAAGATAAATACAAGTTGTTTGTACATATACCACTCAGGACCACCTCATATAAAATTTTAAAAATTAAAAACATGGAAGGAAAATTATGTACATAAAAATTAAACATGGAGAGCGTGGGAAAATTTTAAATATTAGGAATTATTTTTTATGGTTTTTAATATTATTTGGTAGTAAGTGATTAAGTGTTTACATCATAATGCATGAAATCACGTATTTAAACCTGAATGATTTTTTTTTTTTCCTATTTTGGATATTGTCAAAAATTATAATATTGTATGTTATTAGTTTTTATGCACCACAGTAAATAAATAAAATTTACTTTTTCAATTGCAACTAAGGTCCCTAGTAATTGATCCTATGTAGTGACAATTTTGCACTAGTGGTTTTTACAGCTAACATAACTCTTATGATCATCTTAGACAAACCTAGAACTTCTATCATAATCAATTATTGTTCGGTGCACAATATGGGAGGGCAGAGAGACTATTTTACACCCGGATACATTTGGATTACTACTCTGCTCCAATACCCAAGTCCATAATTTTCATGAAATGCAGGCCATTGCCTGGAGTGAAGGAGAAGGAAATATTAATATTTTGTTAGTGGTCAGAATTAGCGAGGCCTAATTTCTTGAGATGATGATGAATATCAGGAGGATGATCATCAAGTCTGGGACGTTCAGGTTGGATCCAACGGCCATCATTATTTCTCACCATGCCCTTATTCTCGTCTTGTCTCCAGAAGGGTGGAACCAAGTAATGATCTTTCAAGAAGTCAGAAGCCTTGTTCACCAGTGCTGGGTCCCTTCCACCTGCCAGTACAAATCTACGGCCTTTTCCATGATATCTGCATATACCATTCAATTAAGAAAAAAAAAATTCTTTTATTTTATAAATTAATTACACGTTTGCTAAAACTCATAGTTAATTTCGAGATATATATACATTTTTTAATAATTTGGAGATATGGACTATCGGTTATGGGTCTAGATATCATGCCTAGACCGATTATTGATTCATTATTCCTGGTCAAAATGGAAGACTTTTGATCTAGACGTAAAGATCCTTTTTTTTGTCCTTTTCAACTTTAACCTCATTTCACATGCACAATATTTGTATTGAATTATTGTAAAATATTAGTCTTTTTTTTTTCCCTAAATGTGAAATATTTATTTATAAATGAATTTCTCAACTTTTTTTTATACCATAGATGTCCTTAGCTCATGGGTTAAATCTATTTTTTTTTTTTTTAAATAGTTAACTCCAATGTTATATGCACCATATAACTCTTATTTTAAAAGCCTGAGTCATTTTCATTCAAATCAACTATCGGTTAATTTCTATACTCTTATTCAACTGAATTATTTTTAAATAGACATCTAATATGATAATATAATGTTTTTAAAATATCGTTCTCTTTATCTCAAAATATAAGTCGTTTTAAATATTTTATAAATTATGTTTTTTCAATATTATCATTATTTATATTAGATATAATAAATATTTTATAAATAACTATTTACTTTGAGATACATAATAATTTAATCAATTTACTTTTTATTCTGATAAATTAAGCGAATTATATATTTTTTTAATTCTTTTGTATTTTGGGAGGAGGCGAAGGAGTATAATTAAAATCTATTTGAATAATAATAATAAAAAAAAACTGAACTCCTACCATTTCATGACAACACTTGACTTCATCACAAGCAAGTACGCAATAGATACACGGACCACATAGGCCTAGGGAACATATCTCACCACAACAGTTGCTTTATATTAGTCTTCAAGGACAAATCATGCTTTTCTCTTTCAAAAAAAAAAAAAAAAAAAAAAACTTTTCAAATGGTTTAATCTTGAAACTGCACAAGGGCTAAAAGTTAAACTTTTTTTTTTTTCATTAAATTAATAGTTTATCAAATAAACAAAGTTAAGCTTTAAAATTTTATATTGGTGATATGCTTGCTTCGTTACCTACTATCCTAATCTAAAATTAAGACTAAAAATAGAGGGAAAAATGAGCTTACCCATCAAGCAAATGCAAGTGAGCCTCCAAGTTATGGGCACAAACCGGGTCACTTGTTTCTTTCAAGAAGGGAGAGTGGGTGTGATCCAAAGCCAGCTCCACTCCTACATGCGAGTAACACCACGGCAATCCTCCGGCTAGCTTCATTAACATCGGCGGCACTTGCTCATTGAAAAAAAACCCTGGCGCTTTCGGCACTACGTCATGCACATTCACTACTCTCAACACTTTCACACCCAGTGACTCTATCCGCTCCTTAAATCTCGCATTCCCCACTCGAGGACCCGAAAATGAGAACACGCAAACGGGCAGGGCCCGACAATCTTGCATCACATGGAGCCCCGTTTCAACTAAATCATATGCACTTAGTATTGCCAAGGCACTACCTAGACTGTGACCAGTAATGGTGATGCTCACTTCTTCGTTGCTATGCATTTCCGTTAACCGTTTAACTTCCGTCAATACCTGTTCTCTAGCTGAGAATTTACAAAACCGGCAATTCTCGTCTTTATCGGTGTAGAGATCTAGAAACCCGGATTCAACCTTTACGGCGGGATCGGGGCAAGGGATTTTGTTTCCATTAATAGGTTTTAGAAAGTCCATTAGGTCTGCAATCCACTCCAGCCGCGTAACAGTACCTCTCCAAGCAATAACGATATCACGGCGGCCTAAACGCTTTGTTGTTTCGTCGTTGGATACGGCGACATATCCAATCCAATTAGCTTTTCTGCTCCACACTTTCGGCCAACGCGATTCCTTGAAAAAATTAGGGAGATCGATATTAGTGGTGGCGTAGAGATATCTACTGACTTCATAGCCATGGTGGCCCATTCCTAGCGAGTCGAAAAACCTACGGCGCATGAATCGGCAACTTCCACAGTACTTTGAATACGGATCATAATCGAAAGCGTCGTAGCAAGCTTGAGCAATCTCGCCATATCTGATTAGCTCTGTTCGTAAAATAGGGTCTATTGGATCGAGCAAGCCGACCCAATCATCTTGGCCGTGAATTTCTCTCCAAATATCGGCTAGTTTTCTCTCTGGTTCTGCTTGTTGGGTTTTATTAGTTTCTTTCTCGAGCTCTGTAATAATCGACGACAGTGACGAAGTCTCGCTTGTTTTGGATAAGACTTTAGGCGTTCTGGTGGCGAATTTTACAGACTTCGAGCGATTTACTGATGAAGAGAAACGATTTTCGGATCGGAAAATGTTATGATTTTTGCAAGGAAGAAGAGTGTTTGATGGAGAAATCGCCATTGATGAAAGTTTGATGAAGCAGTTCAAATGCGACCAATTTGAATAAAGAAGACGAAATTTATACACGTGTAGTGATTGTTTTTTCCTTTTTAATTTTTATAATGCATGCGATTCATGAGGCCGGATTGCTCATTAGTCATGGAGTTGGTTGTGAAGGGACTTTCAACTTTCCCCTGCTTATTTTATTTTTCCTGTAATTAAATATCTAATGATTTGAAGCTGATTTATATTAGCTGTCACCTGTAGAAGTTGGTGATTGCATTTATTCGTGGTTATTATAATTTTGCAAAAATCCAAAGAAATAGAGTGACGTCATAATTTACAAAAACAATTTTACCTTTACGACTTTATTACATTCACGCTCTAAATCGAACTTTATTCTTCAAACAGCTTGACTTAGTAATTTAAATACATATTACTATAATTACAAAATCAACATCAACAGTGGTTTTACAATATAATAATATTAAATAATACTAGATTGCACCTAACTAGCTTAGTTTAATTTAACTCGATCCCTCCAAAATCATCAAAACTCACCGTGTCAATTCCTAACATCTAAAAAAAACCCTAATTTCTAATTTCACATTCCCTTCTTCATCGCTGAATCGAAGACTTTCTGGTTCTAGTTCCATTGAATATCTCAATAGCAACTCCTTCCTCTCCGATTCTCCATTTTTCGCCGCTGCTTCCAGGCAACCGGTTTGTTAAACACGATTGCATAGCTCTTATACTGTTTCCTTTTTTTTTTTTTTTTTTTTTTCCATATTTTAATGGAGTGCAATGTTAAATGGGTGCGTGTTATTCTCAAACTCTGCTGTCAATCCTAATAAGGACAATGGAGCTAAACCATCTATTGCTTCTGCTAAATCAAAAGAGAAATAAGTTGCTGACGTGAAAATTCTTCGTATACTTGCCAGTTATTTATGGATGAAAATAATTTGGAGTTTCGCTTAAAGTTTTGACAGCTCTTGCCTTTCTTATTGGTGCTAAGGTCTTGAATGTTCAGGTCCCTTCTCTATCTAAGCTTGTTGTTGATTGGTTGACTATTGCCACTGGCAATGCTACTGCCCTTGCTTCCTTTACCACTGCTAATTCTACTCTCATTCCTCTATTTGCTACTCCTGCTTCTGTTTTCGTTGGATATCGCATTGCCGATTCTTGTGCTTCTGCTTTCAATTGTAATTCTTCTATACATGTATACTTGCTCTTTTTAGACTTTTGATGTTTTTTTCTTTTCTTTTCTTTTTTTAATATTTGGGTGAAACTCTATTCCGGCAGAATTGAGGACTGCTGTGTTCTCTAAGGTAGCTCTGCGAACAATCCTTCAAAACTGAGACGGAATATGTTAAGGATTAGAAATGTAGAGGAAGGAGCAATGATGAAGAAGGGAACGAGAAATTTGAAATTAGGTTTTTTATTTTTTAGATGTTAGGTTTAATTGATATGTGGAGTTTTGATAATTTTGGGGGCTTGGGTTAGCTGGTTAGGGGATCCACTTTAATATTATTATATTGTAAAATTTTAATTAATTTTGCAATTAGGGTGATAATATATATAAGTTACTGAGTTATGGTGCCTGAGGACGAAGCTATATTTAAAGCGATAATGTAATAAGTCACAAAGATAAATGTATTTTTATAGTTTAAGTCATAAAGAGGTGGTTGTATTTTTGTAGCTTAGGTCATAGAGTCACATGTTTATGATACTAAATTATTAATTCAGGGCTCATTTAATATTAAATGGTGTATTTTTTTGAAATATATACACTTTGAAGTAAATTAATTTTTAGAAAATATAATTTAAATGTATTTAGTATATAAATCAACTTCTCAATAAGTAAATTATTCTCAAATTATAAAAAATAATAATATTAATAATAAAAATTTAAATATGTTTAGATAACATGACAAATTAATACAGTCATTGCATTTTACCGTGGAATTACTATTTCTCTAGCCATCTTTATATAAGGAAAAAAAATGTAAATTATGTACAAATATTTTATGGACTTTTGGAAGAGTAGACTTCCCTAGACTACTCAGACACCGAAATAGTAACGCGCAAAATTGAATACTCGCGATTTACGAAGCAACTGAGAAATTTCAGCTTGTTTGCTACTTACCCAACAAATTTTGGATTGCTATCGTTTCTAGTTGTGGAGTGAAGGATACGCGGTGATGGCACTAAATTTAAATATATTCAATAAAGGCAACATGCACAAATTCAAGATGTTTTTTTTAATGACACTTTAAATTTAATATGCAGCCATTATGTTTTTAAATTTATAAGTTTTAATAATATTATATACATTTACATACTAATAACAATAATTTTTTTATTTTTTTTATTATTATACATAAAATACTGATTTGATGTATTGCTCAATTGTTATTATAATTTTTTTTTTGAAAATTAATTGTTATTGTAATTTTTTTAACAATAATTTTTACATTTTTCATTTACTTAATAAATATTTAATTGATTTAATTTTAAAAAATTAAACATTTACCCCTTATTTGAAATAGATGAATTTCACAAAATTTATCTTGAAATTTAAATTTTTGTATTTAATATGAAAATAAATAAAGAATCAAATTCTACGAATTCAATTTCAATATAATTAAATAAAAAATTCTACCAAAAATGTGAAATTTATAAATGAATTTCATAAACTTAAATAGCCCATAAAACTCTTTACTTTTTAACCTTCTAAAATTATTATGTTAAATATATTTTAGGAATAACAATAAAAGAATATATATATATTTTTAAGTGATTTACTTAGTTGATAGTAAAAGATTTCGAGAGTTTTGGTATGGGATATTTTGCTTTTATTTGTACAAAAGCCCCAATTAATAGACTGTGATCCTAATAATAAGCGACAAGTCCTAAACATGTAGTTGGCATGGCTTGGCCTTGGAATGCCCTATCATAATATTTTATATAATGTAATTAAGATTAAAGTAATCTTAATCTAAATATTTATTTTGGCCTTTTTATATCTTTCTCACATGTATGATAAATAAACAAATGCTTAGCAATCACGTGGACAGGGTGTAATGAAAATAGTTTAATAACTTTAATTAACACGAGTTCTAATCAACAATTATAAATAGATTAGGCGAATATGAAGAAGCTATAGAACCGGAAATTCTTGTAGATCAAACATGAAGATATCTTAGATATATTTTGAAAATTGAATCATAATAGAAATTGATCTCTCTCTCTCTCTCTCTCTTTTTTTTTTTATTTATTTATTTTGGGTAGCCAAGACAATGCTAAGACCCAAAGAAAACAAGCCAGAAAAAGAAAAATATACTGAAAAACAATTATTTTATACGTAAATTTAAATGATCAAAGTATAAAAAATTGTATGGTTTTAAATTCCTTAAGAAAAAAAAAAAATAAGAATTGCAGTATATTTGTACAGGGAACGTAAAGTGTTTAAGCTTTTAGCCTTTGGTCCATAGTCTAGGCCCAGGGCCAGGAAATCATTTTAAGACCCGAACCGATGGTATTAGACCATCTTTTTGCATTCAAATTTTTGTATTTGGAATAATATTTTATGTAAATATATTCATGTTCTTAAGTTGTTTTTTAACTTATAAGTGAAATCAAATACCTTTTAAATGAATTTACATATTTAAAATATTGTTTATTTATATGTATTTTAGGTAATGATCCACTTAAATTTTTAGAAGTAATTCACTAAAATCATTAAATGGATTTTATTTTTTTTTTCTTATATCCAAACACAAAAAAAGGAAAATAACTCCTCTTGTTAGAATCTTCATTTTTTATTTTTTTCTTCCTCATTTTATTTTCTTTCTTTTTAGTATGTATCAAATTTGGTTGGTTTAATTCGAAGTAAATAAATTGAAATTTGTATATAAAAATTAAATAATGTACAAAAAATGAATTAAACGTAATTAATTCAATTAATTTCACAAATTTCTAGCTATATATTTTATATTTCATAAAAATCGATCTGAACTCAAAATAATTTTTAATTTTTTTTTATGAAAAATAAAATAGAACTATATGTATTAAAAACTAAATCAAATTTAACTAATTGGATTAATCAATTTAACCAAATTACATCAAGAGTCCAGTTTGGTTAGATTGGTTTATGAAAGGTCAGCTCTCTAATCCAAACACAGTGAACATTGTCAGAGTTCTGTTTATCAATGTACTGTACCATAGGAAGGAAGTAACTTGTGAGAAGGTATAATCCAGCAATAATGCAATTTTTGGCATCTTATTTTTTAACTTTTGCAATTTATGGTATTTTATTAACATTTCTTAAACATTAAAAAGCAAAAAGTAAAATAAATAAATAAATAAAAACCAAACTGCACACCCACAGTTACTGTCAAATCAAAAAACAAAAATTAAATATCAGAGAAAACCTTCTATGACTGGCAACCAATACCACGTTCTTAACCCGCCAATGAGGGCTAATACCGTCATTATACACAAGCAACGTTAAGTCGCTAAACGCTCCCGCATATATTCTTTTTTTTTTTTTTTTTTTTTTTTTATCTATTTCTTTTTTTTTTTTTTTTTTTTTTTTTTACTTTAAAAACAAGGCGCGAAATCCACACAAATCTCCCGCGCCTTCTTGACCAACCCTCACTCTCTATCACGGCATTGCCTTTTATTTCTCCGCTCCTAACCCTACAATCCTCCCTCCGCTGCCTATCCTTCACCTCACCATGTATCACCCCAACCAGCCTCACATCTCCCCCGCCACACCCGGTGGATCCACCGCCTCCTTCTCCTCCGCCTTAGATTTCAACAAGCGTGTCAAAAAACAGCGTGGTAACTATAACTGTGGCCGCTGTGGTCTCCCTAAGAAAGGCCACTCCTGCCACCTTCCTCCCGCCGCATCGACTACTCCGACGTCCGCCGACTCCTCCGCCACTGTCTCTACCTCTACGTCCCGTTCTTTTTTTCCGTCCCGTCAGCAGTACTCACACCTTCGCAGAGCGCTATCGTTTGATGATATTGATATCAGATGTGACTCTCCAGAGCCTGAAATGGACTACTCAGAGCCCGATCTGTTTTGTTCTGGTTCAGGGAAGTTGCCAGCGAGCTGTATGTGGGAAGTTCTAAGGAGACTTCCTCCTCCAGGACTGTTGGCGGCGGCAAGAGTTTGCAAGGGGTGGAGAGACACGGCCAGGCGGTTGTGGAGGGCGGCCGAGGAGCTCAGGCTGAGAGTTCCGCCCAGAGCTCAGCTTGGGTTCGTTGGATCTGTGTTGCAGAAGTGTCCTGGACTTGTTAGGCTGAGTCTTAAGATGGAAAGGTTTGAGCTACTTTCAGTGGGACTGTCTTTGATTCTATATTATCAGATCTAGGGTTTTACAGAGTGGATCAATTTGGTATCATGGACATTGACATTATAACGATCGAATGGCAAAAGGAACTTGATCTGGACTAGATATAAAGAAAATGATAGAAATTGCGGCTTCATCTATGATTAGAAACGCTAAGAGAATAATAAATTATCAATGCAGGCACGTCGTGGTACTGTTTGATCTATAACTATCAATACAGGACACGATTACACACTGCTCGATTAACATTTTTTTTTTCTTTATCAATAGATTTAATAGGACCGAAGGTGCATTTTTAAAACATGGAATAGATATTTCGAGAACTACCTTGCTTTGAGGCGTGCTTGCACTTTAGTCTTCTGCGTTTGACTTGAGTTGACCCGGTAAGAGTTGATTTTTGATTGGTTTAGTGTTGCTCTGCTGTTGCAGTGATGTGGATGCTACAATGTTGGCTTGCATCGCCTTCTCTTGCCCCAACCTGGAGTGCATGGAGATTTCTACATCTGATTCTGCCGTCAATCGAATTTCTGGGTATAAATTTCATCCTATTTTCCCGATCTGCTGATCTTAGTTTTTTTTCCTTATCTCTATTTAGTTGCCTACCTAGTATGTTCTATCTAGTTTCTGTACCCAACCCACCGGTGGAAAATGCTCTGCAATGCTAATTTCAGAACTGTTGAGAATAACGTCAGTGACAATGATGTCAAACGAACAATCGAATGATGATTGATGACATCAGTGTTATGGAACTCGCATTTTTGTTTAGGATGGGATGGCGGGTCCAATATTATGTATGCTGTGTCACTTCGGTGCATTTCTTTAATTTATCTTCATTGCCGTGGCTGATAATTACCTTATCCTGTTGGCTGTAGAATTTGTTTGTTTCAAGAATTCAAAATCTTAGGTTGATAGAAAGTTTTATTTTGTTATTTCTATTAGGGAGTTTAATTCCTCAATTTATGTCGTAAATCTTCTATGTGATGCTGCGTGTTCCTAGCACTGTTCAGGATCGAGTCAATTCAATATTTTGGTTGTGTTTCTATTCTGCCGATGGTATACTCAGGCTATTGGTTAATATTCCAAATGCAGTGATGAACTAGGTCGTTTTGTTGCTGATAAACGTTGCCTTACAAGTCTTAAGATGGAAGGATGTTCTAATCTAGGAGGTTTTGTCCTCTGTTCATCGAGTCTGTCTACGCTTTGGCTTTCAGATCTATATTCCTTATCTAAGACGGTAATTTTTGAGTTGGCTTATCCATTAAGTTCTTTAGCTGATTACTTGCTGCATTCTCAAGATTTGAAGCTCTATTATTTGGACACAAGATGGCATTCAGAAAAGTATTCCGTCATCTAAGTAAATTCCTTTTTGCTTATCTGTTGTCCCTTTTTCTAGGTCTTTAACTGTCCCAATTTGAAAGAGGTTTCTCTTGATTTTTCCCACCAAGAAAACGATAGCACTGACCTTGTTGCCATGGTTGATGCTTTGGGAAGGAGCTGCTCGAGGTTACAAAATATGCATATCGCATCTGTTCGGCTTTCTCATGCTGTGGTGCTTGCTCTTACAGCTGCTAACTTAAGGTTGGTTGTCAAATTTTGTTATCAGGCTCAGTATTCTTATTTATGATGTGTGAACACCATATGATGCATGTTTGCTGAAAATTTGAAGTGCTTTTAGCAGTCTTCTATTTCATTTTCTATTATATGTTCAGCTTATGGAAATATCCATGAATTTGCTTTGTTGAATTGGGTGTGTGTGGGAGCTGATGATTGTTTTCTTGCTCAATGTTTTTAGGGGGCTGCGAATGCTTTCTCTTGTTCTTGGAACTGACATTACTGATGCATCAGTTGCTGCCATTGCTTCAAGTTATTCAAAATTAGAGTTGCTTGATCTAAGTGGGTATGTCTTGTGCTGAAGTCTGCTAACGTTTGATGATCACTTCATGATTAGTTTTCATGATAGCATTTCTGAAGTTGCAACTTGGTTTCAGGTCTAGCATCAGCGATGGTGGTATTGGCATGATCTGCAATGTGTTCCCTGGAACGCTATCAAGACTCCTCCTTGCCCTTTGTCCAAATATAACTTCAAGTATGCTGCATATCCAAGCTGTACATATTTGCTGAGTTGCAATTATATCTGTTACATACTTTGGTGTTTACTATAAATGATTCTCTGTTGATTGCTCTGCTCGGTTGTTTGCGCCCTAGGTGGAATTCAATTTGCCGCCGCTCAATTGCCTCTTCTTGAACTCATGGACTGCGGAATGACCATATGTGACCCAAGTTCTCCATGTCCAACATCGGGTGTGAGTGGAGAAGGCGAGGTGCAGACAACATTTCAGAACAAATTACATCTTATATACCAAAAACTCATTATAAAACATGGTCGATTGAGGAAACTGAGCTTGTGGGGATGTTCTGGCTTAGATGTGAGACATCTGTCATCTGAAAATTGTAGCATTGATTTTTATTGCTTCTTGTTCTTAATTTTTGGATTTCAAAATGCAGGCCATATACCTAAATTGTCCAGAACTCAATGATCTGAATCTGAACTCATGTACAAACTTGCATCCAGGTGAATTGCTTTATGCTTATTTCAATGTGATAATCAGTTCTAGTGCTACTCTAGATTTTGCTTTCTGCTTTCTTTTTCATCTTGATTAGCCCAATGAAGAGCTAATTGGTTGTGATGTTTATAATCTCAGAGAGATTGCTCCTTCAGTGCCCCAATTTGGAAAGTGTGCATGCATCAGGGTGTCAAAAGTTGTTGATCGGAGCCATTCAAAGCCAGGTGAATAGTTTGTTATTTGGAGTTTAAATTTTATTGTTTGATTCATGGCGCAACAGCTACTTGTGCATTGGCGTTTATCTTAGCCTCTGAAGAATTGATGTATACAGGTTGTTCATGTTGGTAAAAGTAAACCTTGGAATAAAACCTTTTTGAAATCGACAAGTTACTTCTGAATGGGTTGATTTTAGTTCACATTGAATTGTATAATTTATTTTATTAAGCAAAAGCTGAAGTTTGTGATGTTTCAAATTGTTGCCTAGAGGTTTCTCTTTGTAGGGCTGCTTTAGTGGGAGTAGATTGGGATTTAGGTCTGCACTGCATTTCTTCAATCACCTATCACTTGGCATATTACATCTTAAATCTATGGACTAGTTCTACTCAAATAAGAACCGTTCGTCACTTCAGCACCTGAAGTTATTTTTATTCCATAATATAATATGAAAACACTCGCTGAAAAATGGATCTATAAGCCTCTTTATTATTTTCATAGCATAGAAGAAAATCGCATTAAGTAGGATTATGGGAGGCAACTATTTTCTAGTGGCATTCATCTGAAGTTTAATCTGTTATAAAATTATACAATGTCATTGTACTTTTGCGACTTAAATGGAGTCTGCAAGCAGCAAGGTTCCACTTCTCACTCATTCAGATTGTTGGACTTGTTTTTAGGTCGATAATTTTGGCGTTATGGAAAACCATTGCCCAAGTAAACGTTTAGCTGATGGCTCAAAGAGGGTTCGTGTTCCTAATTTCCTCAGTCAACAGGTATACTGATCTCTCTGTCACACCATCATATTAGTGGTAGCTATGAATATAATTATATAATGTAACCATTTAAGAGCAGTACCCTCAATGCATTGGTTCTTCTATCTATTTCGTTAAAAAGAGTTGACATGAACTAAAATATGGAAAGGTTATGCTTGGTTATACTCACATTAGTTTTTCTTCTTCCTATCTTACAGCCACATGATGATGATAAGAAGCGGAGGAGGGTTGGCGCACATACTTGCAATGTTCTTGTAGACTGAGAATGTATCTATTGCTCAAACATTCTTACTGTGCTCGTTGGTGCATGCAACTTGTGCTTGTCACCAATATCCCTGTGAATCCACATGATTTATAAATGTGCAAAATGGCAGATTGAGTAAGCTGCCTGTACCATTGTCTTTTCAATCCTAACACAACATTGTTCAATTCAAGAGAAAAACATTACTGTGAGAACCTAGGAATGTTTTTGGAGTTCTTACAGCTATTCATTAAACAAATAAGATTATGTTCAGTGTAGTTTGCTCTAGCTGTTTGCAATTATGCACCAGTTTTTTTCTAATCCAGAGGCTTCAAATTGGACATCATTTGTGGATTGATAATATATTGATTCTTAAGGCACAAATGGTAGTATGTAAGAGATCGAGATGTGCTGCTGTAATGCTGTTCCCTTTTTCTCCGTTAAAATTCTCTTCATAACCATTATTCCTTGGATTTTGAGCACAAGATTAACGAGAAATTTAATGTGATCCTCAGGATCTCGGTTGAATTTAACATTAATCTTCTATTCCATCAACTGTTTTCAAGGGACCAATTAGGTTATTAATTTTTACATTTTACATTAATTTTGAATTTTAGTTTTTGATTTAGGATTAATTTATGTTGGAGACTTTTTATCATCGACTCATGCGCTTCATGGTATGCTCGGGCTCCAACTTAAGAATTGTGGCTTTGTAAGATATCCATCATTTAAGCTAAGTCTGTTTTTTTTTTTTTTAAAAGAACGTGGATATGAATAATTGGTTAATTTAATATTGTTTAATATATTTTATTGTTTTTTACTTTTCGAAAAAAAATTTATTATTCAGAAAAATCATAATACAAGGAAGAAATAAAAACGATTTTATCCTTTAAAAAATACGGATCAAATTTGAGAATGCTTTGCTTTGGGCAAGGTTGTGGATAGATGTAATACTCACAAAATCTGTATTAGATTGTCTAATCACACTCAAAATGCGAAAGATCAAGATATTCTAAACATCTCATAATCCTAACCCAGTGGATGATAATCCTAACCCAGTGGATGATTGACACGTATGTCTGTTTACCGCTCAAGAACACGTGTCTTCAACGGGGCAGGAAAACGCTGTGGCTCAAGAAGCTGTAGATTTCTGCTCCGAAACTCATTACTGGCTTTCTCCCTCTGCAACGTGCTTCTGGTTTGTTTGTTTGATCTTCTATCTCGCTCTCGGTGTCTTCGTGTTTGCTTCCTGAGATTCGAAAATGGAGGTCTCTTCGCTCCCGACGACCTCAAGAGTCTATCTGTCTTCTCCTTCAACAGGTCTGTCTGTGTCTATGGCTATTGTGAATTGCGATCACCTGTTGTCGCTTTGCGATCAGTTTCACAGTTCTTCACAATATTAAAATTGTATTTTGAACTCGATTATTGTTTATTATATATAATAATATTTTTCTTCAATAGCTAACTCTTCTCAATTATTTTGTTTTAGTTTTCTTCTGGTAATTTTATGACTGTTTTTGCGTTGCTTTGTTTTGCGATTGTTTATGGAGTTTAAAAAATGTTACTGTTTAACAGAGTCGCTGTTGCATAAAGCTGCTAAAGGACTTCCTTTAGGGAATCCACGTTTAGTATCCATTTCATTGAACAAAAGAATTTCTCAGACTTTATTGAGACAAGCTGGTCATCTACTTCGCAATGAAAACTCTACAAACTCTACAAAGGTTATTATTTTTATTATTGTTTGCAATTTCGCATTTTACACCCTTTTATTTGAAAAAGAAATAGCTTTGGGTGAAAAAGTTAAAAACTTTTGTTCTTGATGTCAGTTTGTAGTTTGATAATTATGGTGTCAGGTTTTATGCAGTCTCAAGGGAAAAATTCCCACTATAGAGGCCAGGTATGTTCAATAGTGGTCAGATTGCACACATATTTCTTTGCTCAAATTCGAATCCACGACCTGATTTTCGCATTTTTTCAAACTTGTTCTCTATGTCCTTGATTTGCATTTTTCTCGAGATTGTTTTTATGCAAGTTACTAGCTGCATTTGATCAATGCATTCATCTAAAATCTCAATGTAATGTTCAATGAAAATGAGAAAAAACAAAAAGATAAAACTTAAAAGAGAATTAAGACACTGTGTTTCTGCCCATATTTGTTGTGTGCTTAAGACATTAGACATCTCTATGCAAGCCAAAGTACAAAAGTACCTTTGATCGATCGCCAACTTGAAATCAGCTTATGACTATTAATTAAAGGACACTTATGAAATTAATTAAATGTTTATCTGTTAATACATTGTTAGGCCCGTTTTATGGATCATTGAAATGGCTTTCCAGTAACCAGTGTCAATATATTGAGTGTCACAGACTCCTATTTGGATTAATCTTTATATTTCCTGGAGATATTTATTGTTGAAAGAAAGATGGTTTGGTGCATTGAACAGAATCTTGTTGTTCTGCATTTTTATAGTATGACAAAGTAGTAAATTTTGTTGGCATGCAAGGGCATGTACTACTAGAGAAGAGGATGAACTACCGGAGTTAACATGTTCATGTGATTGATTTCCTATTTTTTATTTTTCACAATTCTGCTGTTGCAGCAAGGGATTGTGCATGAAAAAAGCGCCTGTCTAGTTTCAACAAGACAAGAAGTGCCATGTATAACTTAGATAGAAATGCTGACGAAGCCTTTGTTGTTAAATACTATTAAGTTTAATTATTTTTATGTGACAAATTGAAATTTAATAACATTATGGTATTATTAACGGTTGAGCGATCGTCAGTGAAAAATTTAACCAGTTATGTATGATGAAATATCTGTTTGCTTTATTTTTTGGTAATCTCTGTTTGCTTTGTTACTAATTACCATTGCTTCTGTTATCTTGCAGTTCTATGGATGAGATATATGATTCTTTGGCAGAACGTCTACTTCCGACTGGAGCAGCAGCATCAAATCCTAATCTGAAGTAAGCTCTAGACCTTTGAACATAAAAGTAATGTGCACTTGACAGCTTTTGCGGCTTGGTAAATGATGTCTGTCTGTCAGATGGGGTTTTCTGTATTTATGAACAAATTCAGCTTTCCATAAGATCTGTACCACATATGTGTTTCTTATGAAGCCTCCTGTCACTTGATGCATCTCCTTCCATGTATGTGCAAACACAGACACGCACATACTGGTTTTGAAAATAAAACCGTAGATATCTTGAGCATTTGCTATGTGAATTTTTATTAGAAATAGTTATAATTGGAACAAAATACAGGGATTCTATTAAGGAGGATTTTTGTGGGTAGCTGTGTGACTTTGAGAGGTGGGGGGTGGTGGGGAATATATGAAGGACCAGATAATTGAAATCTCAGCTTTAAAGAATGTGTAAAACCATGTATTATAGGGTACAAAGATCTACCTAAATAATGTTTTATTATGTCTCAACCATGATTAGACATGTTATTATATTTCTTAACAACAATCTAGACTTGTTAGTTTGGTACGTCAAACTTCTTTATATCCAATATGAGTGTGAATGTGTGAACTTTCATCTTTGAACCCTATCAACAAGGGATGAGAACATCTAAGAATATTTAGCATCTTACCTTTGTAAATATGGTTGGTTGTTATTTGAGTAAAGAACTAGAGATGCCCATTTCACCATAAATTATCAGGTTTTATTTGCTTTGTTCTAAACACGGTGGAGAATCCTTGTCCTGCCAAAGGCAATAGGATGTGGTCGGGTTTAGGCCGACCTCTATTGATTTTATCCTGATTTTAAAAATGTATTTTGTAAATTCTAATTCTTCTTTGTATAATTATCTAATTATTTGTATATAATTGGAGGTATGCCATTTATTGCTAAATATGATTCAATCTTTTTAAATAAGTTTTAGTGTTCCGACATTTAATATATATGCATAACCCTGGATTGGTGATACACCAATATATAATTTTTGGATAAATTATAAAATTATGAAAATAAAAAAAATACGTATATGTATATCTGCCTCCCTCTTCCCCCATGCTCCTAGTTTCCTGATGGAGTGGGGATGGGAATCGGAGAACCTGTTTTTTCATTCCTAATAGAGAGAATGTTTGTTTCGAATCATGTTTTCTATAAATACATACAGGCATATTGTAGGCTTGGCTGGTCCTCCTGGTGCTGGAAAGAGCACTTTAGCTTCCGAAGTAGTGCGACGTGTAAATAAGTTATGGCCCCAAAAATCTTCCTCATTAGATTCTCAAGTCAAGCCTCCTGATGTTGCTACAGTTCTTCCTATGGATGGGTTCCACCTATATCGTTCACAGCTTGATGCAATGGAGGTTAAGTTTGATCCATGTTTTTCTCCACTCTAGTTATTGGACCTTTTTTCTCAGTGCTAATTTATGTTCTTGTCTTTCAGAATCCAGAGGAAGCCCATGCAAGAAGGGGAGGTGGGCTCCTACCATTAACTGTTTGTGTTTTAAAGATATTATTGCTACTTAACTGCTGTTATTTGTATTGGTGATTCAGCTCCTTGGACATTTGCTCCAACTCTACTACTTGAGTGCCTAATGAAATTGAGGAATGAGGTGAGTGGCTACTATTTCTGTGTGCTTGCAAGTTTATCTTTCTTGTCTTGAAATGGTTAGTGAAGGATACTGTGTACTGATAGCAACATTTCTTTTATGTTAGTCCATTTCAAGTGCATTATTACCAGTTTTCATTACTAATTCACCACCAAAATTTCAGGGTTCGGTTTATGCTCCATCATTTGATCATGGTGTTGGAGATCCTGTTGAAGATGATATCTTTGTGAGCCTTCAGTAAGTAATTAGAGTTCTTTCATGTAGATCCTGTCAATGGATGCTGAATTGTAGATGATTTTATTGTCCTTGACTTCTGATGGTTGATATTAGATAATAAGCGGATCTCATTGGCTCTACACTGGTATCAAAAGCACATATGCTATCCCAATAAGGAAACTTCTTAAAATTGAAAAAGCAATAACTAAAATGCCTGAAATAGATGGGAAAAACCAATGAGCTGAAAGGGTTAAAAGGAATGATCTTACCACATGAGCTTAATTTTGTGATTGAAATAGATGTTAATCATACAATTAAACTGATATATGCGAAATGAACACTCTTGAAACATAGCATGTTGCAATGTTGGTGAAATCTCTTTCTTAATAGAAATGTAATTATAACAATAAAAATCTAGAACGATAAAAATGAAAGTGTAGGCTACCATGTGTCATAAAAAATCTTATTTTCTTGCTCTTGCAGGCATAAAGTGGTCATAGTTGAAGGAAATTATCTATTGTTGGAAGAAGGGGTTTGGAAGGATATATTGTCTATGTTTGATGAGAAATGGTATGGATTGTGTTTTTGTACTTTTGAGTTTTGAGTGTTTTACTTGTGGTAATGACCAGAAATATAATGCTGGACTTTATTAGTTTGAAGCCTATTCTTTATGCATTTGAGGGTTTCCTTATATGTTATTATCATCCCATGAAATTAACCTTGCTACAAAGTCTAGAATTAAGAAGTTCAATATGGAGTTTAACTGGTTCTATGTTATTATCCTTTTCTGCAGTAAAAGTTTAATCGTTCATGTTGCCTTTTCCTTGAAGGTTTATTGATATTGACATTGATAAGTCAATGGAACGGGTTTTAAGGAGACACATTTCAACTGGTATTGGCCTTTTCTGCAGTTTTAACCAATTGCTTCCCCTCACAAGTGAAATAAAAGAGATGTCTTTGGATTTTAACTCTAATTTTATTTCTATGGCAGGAAAGCCTACTGATGTTGCTAAATGGCGGGTAAACCTTTACTTCGGATATGAGCCTTAAACTAGTCTTTTATAATGATTCATTCAACATTATAATTGCTAAAAGTTTCTTTCAAAGTTTAGTTCATGTAACACTAAATCCATGTTCCTGCAGATAAATTATAATGACAGGCCCAATGCTGAGCTTATAATGAAGTCAAAGAAAAATGCCGACATTGTAATCAGATCTATTGATTTCTAAAGATCATTCCACCAACTATTGCAGTGGAGAAATGAGAATGAGGTCAGTTGAACTTGTTTCTTTTGCATCAAATAGAACAGCCCTTTCTCTCATTCTCTCTAAATAAACTAAAGGTGAAGTGATGTTTTAGTTCCGTAATCGATTGACAGACAAATTTCTCATCATAGAAGAGAATTAGATGAACCCTAATTCTTAATATAAGGGTATTGAGAATGGAGTATCTCATATTTGAGTATTCTTCAGCCATAAGTTCTTATCAATTCCATGAGAGGTGCGTTTATTTTGTAATTCACAATAATATTGTTAAACCTATTTGATCTTTAATGAATAAAAGAGAATCTAATTGGATTGTGTAAACCCTTATTTCTTGTTTTTATATATTATTATTATTATTATTATTTGTATAATGAAGTCAAATAGAAATGCCGACCATTGTAAATCAGTTCTTATTGATTTCTAAAAGCATCATTCACCCAAACTATTGCAGTGGAGAAATGAGAATGAGGTTCAGTATGGACTGATTTCTTGTTTTGCTCAAATTAGAAAGCACCTTTCTCTCCATTCTCTTCCTCCATCTAATACTAAAGGTTGAAGTGATGTTTTTAGTTTCCGTTAATCGTTGACAGAACAAATTTTCTCATCATAGAAGAGAAGTTTAGATGAACCCTAATTCTTAATATAGGTAATTGAGAATGGAGTATCATCCATATTTGATAATTCTTTCAGCCCATAAGTTCTTATCAAATTCCATGAGAGGTTTGCGTTTATTCTTTGTTAATTCACAATAATATGTTAATCTATTTGAGTCCTTTAATGAATAAGAGAATCTAATTGGATTGTGTAAAACCTATTTTCTTGTTTTTATATATTATATTTTATTATTATTATTATTATTATTATATATATATAACGTTTTTTGGACAGAGAATGACATTATGCCAAGGGTGAGATGCTATTCTATCGAACGGCATTACAAAAATAATAAAGATTGTATTTTTATATAAACACTAATACATTCTTCGACTTTAATAACAATATTTAATCCTTTTATAATAATAATTAAGAAAATAGTCAGAATATATTGATTTGATTTTCAAAAAATACATATTATAATGTCTAATTTCCCTTCTTACCTTAAAATTAAAATTTTCTATTTATTTTTACTATAAAACTGTAAAAAAAATGTTGGTAAAATGGGCCTAAAGTTAATTTATGTCCTTCAAGAAGACAAAAGATGACAGCAAAGTTGCTGACTATTGAATAAAATGCAGAAGCCTGAGAGTTGTTTATTGGGTGTCGTTGGTGTGAGAGACAAAAACGTGACGCTCATTTACAAACTCTGAGTGCTCTGTGAAAGCTTCAACTCACATAATTAATGTACTTTTTTTTTTCTTCTTTTTTTTTTTTTTTTTTTTTTTTTTTTTTTTTTTTTTTTTTTTTCCTTCATTCTCATATGGTAACTGTATCGCTTTTTCATTATTTAATCGTTGCCTTACAAAATTAGGAGAAAAAGATTTTATTGATTTTTTAATTAATCAACTAAAAAAAATTAAGAAAGAAAACTTGTTTTTTCAATTTTACTGTCGAAAAAAAAAATCAGATTTTATTATCTCACAATTTAATCTAAACATATAAATATGTTATTATTTTTAATTAGTTTCTCTTTGTCAGTTAGAATTCGCAATGTTTAAGATAAAAAATTGTTCAAAGTTTAACTCAGTGGTATATGCAAAAGAAGAAACAAAATTAAAGTTTTGTTAAGGGTTAAATTGATATTTTATCACTTTAATATAATTTTTAAAAGAAAACCTTAATTCATAAATTTCATTAAATTATAAAAAAGAAATAGTAATTCTCTCCTGAAAATACTAGCACTTGCCCTAAATGGAAAAGCACGGAATTCATTAATTTTTGTCAGATCCAAGATGTGAAACTGGTCCAGGCCCATCGATTGTTCGTAAAACAGAGAATTATTACAAATTTAATATAATTCACCGCCACAAAATTCTAATCATTATAATGAAATAAAACATATAAAGGCCATAATCACAGGCCAAACCTCTCAAAATCATTAATGAAATAAACCTCGCCTAAAGTGCATATATGACCAAATAATATATTTTTAAATTCAAATCTATTTTTTTCATATTAAAAAAAATTATAAATATTCATGTGACACTCTCCCCTTCCACTTAAAATGATTCGTTACTTTTTTCTTCATTTTCTTCGTGTGAACATACAATATGAAAATATTATTGAGACTTCATGCATTTTTTTTGCTGAATGATAAATTTTTAATTTTTAATTCTATGTCATTTTGAACCTTATACTATTACACACTTAAATTTATAAATTTATTGTACATTTTTTTTATAATAACACCAATAATTTTTAGGATTTTGATTTTTATACACAGTGTATTAATTAATTTGATATATAATTAATATAATTTTTAGAATAATAATTTTATATTTTTTAATTATCAAATAAATATTTAATTGATTTAATTAGCATGAAAATAATAATCTCTTTGTAAAGCTTAAAGAATAGAATAGATGAAGAAACCTATAGAAATGGGCATGTATAAATGCTCCATTAACATGCACATGATATTGTTCCCTCCTCCAACAAGGTCATGGGACATTTCCCTCTACCCCATGAGAAATTGTATATGTACATAGCAATAAAACAACATATATATATATATATATATATTATTACAATCATTAATTAATATATAATTAATAGGCAAACCATATTAATTATGACAGTAATTAAACAAGCCGGACATATGTAACCAAGTCTTAGAACTTAAAGAGAGTTCTTGTCCACAACAATCAAAACTCAAATAATGCATATGTCTCTCAAATATATAAACAAACCCATACATATTAATAATATAATAATACAGAAAACAAACCTAACATCCTGCTCAATCCATCTGCATGCTTTTTAAAAAAAAAATGTTTATATTTTTTTTGCTTCCTGCTTTATGCTTGATCGAAGGAGCAGCTTATAGTTGCTGGCTATACTTTAGCTGTGTTCTTGCGTTTCTCCATGGCTCTTGGTGCTAAAAGGAATTGGAAAAAAAAAAAAAATCAGAATAGATAATAAAAGTCAATACCTTAATTAAATTAGAAACGGTAATTAATTAGTTAGTTGATGACTATTAAAAAGGTTAATTAGTTCTCTAGCTTATATATGTACTTTTCTTTTTCTCATTAATTTCTAGAGTTCATTAATTTTTAGGTATTTTTTAGTAGTGGCGATTAATTTCAATTATATATATAGAAATATAATACTAACCAATTCCAGTTGCCTCAGTTCCTTTCATTAGACGTAGTCGTTTGCATGATTCGACAAACATTCTAGGTGAAACAAAAGCAAATTAATTTCAAATTAGAGTTAAATTAGTAAAAATAAATGAAACTAATAAATGCCAATTAGTGAATTATTGTGGTTATAATTCTCAAAAAAATAAAAGAAAATAAAGAAGACGAAACATACTCCCATGGAACATCACCAACAAGCATCCAGTCACCATCTTTATCTTCATAAGTTGGGACATAGTCAGTACCATTCAGAAGGTCTATGAGTTTGCTTTCATTCAGAAAGAAATCTTTCATTCCTTGGGATCCACAATTTCCTTCAAATATTAGAAATATATAAAAGTATGTTTGAGTTCAGCAAATAATTTTTCTAAAATGGTAGATTGAACATTTAGGAAATAGTTAATTACGAAACCAAAATAAGATTAATCTCATAGTTTAAAAGCATGTAAGTTTTAATGGGAAATAAAGAAAATACAAAAACAAAAAAGATGAAAATGAAATAAATATACCTATGGTACTGAACATCTGAGCTAGGGCATGAGAAAGTTGGTAATAACCATTGTACATGTTTAAGTCAACTTTACGAAGATAAGGAGCTCCATCCATGCTCACCTTCACAAAGCTTCCATTGCTATTGCTCAGCTTTGAGTTATTTTCACTGCTCTCCTCGCTACTGTTATTCTTAATATTGCTGCTTTTTGGCACTGCTAACATATTCTTTCTGTATGATCTCACCGGAGGCCATCCCACCACTTGTGCCCTATATTTAATATATACACATATCAAATTATTATTATTATTATTCTTAATTTTCTTGATTACCTTTCACTGCCATCTTTTACTTTCTTTTTTTTTCTTTTCATTTTTCTTGGAAACCAAACACGCCAACAAACTCAGTTTATATATATTAGGATTCTAGATACATAGACTTGAATGGTTACATGTAATTTTCTTTTTCACTTACAGTAAATCTAATTAGGTTCTGTTCTTGTGTAAAGCTTATATCATCAAACATAAATGACGGTTATCTAATCTCCATAGAAATAAATTAGAAACTGCTCTCTCTCTCACAGAATATGATCGTACCTGACCTAATCATATGTGCCACAAAAAAACAAAGAAGGAAATGAAAACAAATTGAAGATTAATAATAACTAAATTGATTATTACATGAAAAAGAATATATGTATATATATAAGAGCAACTTACTTAGCTGGTGGCTTTGCTGGATCAGCGGCGAGAAGATTCTTCTCCCTCGGCAAATTCTTAGTTTTCTGATTTGGATCAAACGCTGCAGATTCTTCCTTGGAAGAAATATTAAGCTCCAAATCAACAGTCTGAGAGAATCCTCTCTTCCTTATTGTCATTTCTCCTTCATTTCCACCACCTCCACTATTATTTCCCGGTAACCCTAACCCTAGCCTCAGCTCAGGCTCCTCAAATCCCATGTTTGCCTTCTCTACTTCCATTGATTCTCAGTTCACAGCCTCTTTCCCGCTCAAAGAAAAAAACAGCTAAACACCTCTCTCAATATATTCTCTCTAAACCTTATTTGGGCTATGGATGGTTACAGAATTTCTCTGTAATTATGTAATGTTTTGTGAGAAATGGTAACAATAACAAAAATAATATACAGAAACAAGGAAGGAAGAGTTTTGTGATGTTGGGAGTTGCAGGGTATTAATATAATGATTATTGGAAAATTTTCCTATTTATTGATTTTTGATTAATTGGAGTTGGACGCGTGGATTTTTGTCTGAGCTGGATTTTTAAAACTTTGCTAGTGTAGGTGACGACATGGTGATGTTAAGGTTCCCATGATTGTTTGTGGCTTGCTGAGTAATGTTGGCTGCAATTGCCATTTTCACTCAGGGCTTGCCCTGGCCCTACATTATTAATATTCTTTTGCTCTTTTATAATTTGGGAATTATATAAATTTTAAAGCATATCATCGTTTTTTTTTATAAACCTATTGTCACTTTTTAAACAAAAGTAAAACTCTTTTAACAGTAACTATTTAAACTCGAATTCTACAAGTAAAATTTACTTAGGAGTCGAGTCTACTTCCGTTAATCTTATTCCTTATTATAATTTAAAAAAAAAACCATTTCAGGTAAACTATCTTAGAGTCTTATTATAATATATATAAAATATTAAGTAAAAAGAAATAATTAGGTAAAGTAAAAAAAAAATTCCAATATGTTAATTGAGATAGTAGTAATTGAACTTAATTAAGTATAATTCCATTATAGTAATAATATTCATATAAATTTTGCAAAATATAATAATAGTCACAGTGTCAGGTAATAAGATCATAGATTTTCCATTTTGAGTTATTGCTTAATTAGTGTTATGGTCCCTGACTGGGACATCAATTAGGAAACATTCCTAAGATGAATGTAGTTATCAAAATTAATATGCAAATTTATTGGAAAATATACCTCTTATCAATAAATTCCTTTGAGATATTCAATTCCTGTTCTGTGGTGCACAAAGCTATGACCAATTCCAACACATCCCATCTACATTTTCTAACATATATATTAACAAAATTCAAAGCATATAGATGATTATAACACAGGAAAGTTAATTAAGTGCTTGGAAAAACAAGAAGGGAAGGTGGTTTAAAGTGGTGAGCAAAAAGGAAATTTTAGGCACAAAAGGAGAAAGATGTTATATATATGTGAAACAATTATATTGACAATTTGACAAAACCCACTTGTCAACTGTATTGTTTTTAGGTATACACAGAAATGGTTTGTGGTGTAATGTTTGTCTAAATTTTGCATGCACACATGCATCCCATGTTCATTATCTGCAATTGCAATATGTGCATTACCAGCAAACTCTAGTGGCCAACAAACTAATACCAATACACATTGTATATGCAAGAACTTCATCTTTCATTAAAATTTGTATGTATTAAGAGGACATTGCTCAAGAGTTTAGTTCTTAATTATGGATTCAAGAATCATGTATATTAAGGTTGTGTTCACATTAGCTTTTGAAATATCTTTCACTAATTTTTACAGTGTTCGATAACATGACGTTTGAATTAGCTTTTAAAGATTAAGGTAGCATTTTATAAAAAGTTAACCCTTATAAGTTTTATTAAATGTTATTCAAACAGCTAACTAAAATAGATAACAACTACCAAATAATTAATTTTATTCAACATACCCTAATCGTTAATTATTTGATATAAAAATGCAACAGATCCTAATTGTTATAAATCAATTAGTTGACACTGAATTTAATTATCCGGGAGGAGCACTTTTCCCTTCTTTCTAGACATGCTCAGCGCGAATCCGAATTAATTGACACAGGATGATTGTTATAAAAAAAAACAAAAAAACAAAATTTCAATTCCAAGTAGCAAATAGCTAGCATTGCATGCTGTATTTATGGTGGGTTCCATATTGCAATCTATGATAGGAGTTGGTATTAAAAATGATGGTAACTCAAAAACCATCTTAAGCCAGAGAAAATAAACTGAAATTTAAAATAAATTTATTAAAAAAAAAAAAAGGAGAGAGAGGAAAAGTCTTTCTATAAATGGTTAGTTGAGAAGAGTGGGACCTAATGGGGGTAAAGAAAGCATGTGAGTAGATTCATTAGAAGAGAGGGCATGTGAACTTGTTGGCTTATGGGGCTGTGTCGCCCAAGCGTCAAACCCTATCCCATGTGCGCCGCTGCAGGGCATCCCACTTACCACTCTCTCTCTCTTTTTTTTAACATATATATATATATATATTTATTTTTTTAATTAATTAATTATTTCACTACATTATTTTATTCATCATTAACCAATTTTAAGATTTTAACTCAATTATATTAAGTGTATTTAGTCTGGTCATCCTTTTTATAAATGAGAATAAATTACAGTTTTTTTTCATTAATTGAAGAATAATTTTAAGAACACATACGTTCTCTAATTATGTTTTTAGCTAAAAAATAAGAATTCTGTATTCTTACCTATTACATTAATCTCGTCGGATAATTAAAACCATTTAATAAAAAATAACATATTTGAAATATTGGACATTTACAATTAATAATAATACTCCAAAGTAAACTGGGGAATTAAATTAGATCCTTAAAAAACTGAGTTCGAAATGTTGTCCGATAAAGATCTACTGCTTGTTGGTATGTACTAAGATTATTTGTGTAAAATCCTGACGTTGGTTTCCCCTACAGAGAATCAAATATAGGTACAGTCTTCAGCAACCTTCTCCACTCATCTTTTCTATACGTGATCATTAATTATTATTTATATATAAATTACCTGCTTCCCCGCTTTTTTAATTTATATTCCCTTTTGCAATTCAATAATTATTCAATGATTATTCGTCAGATATTCATTGGGGCGGTGGTTATATACCATGTTAAAAAATTCTGGTCAAATGGCCTTAAAGGAAAAAAAAAATAATAATTGGTATTTAAATTATAATCAAATTAATTTATTAGGATTTTTATTTCAAAAATTAAATTATAATTTTATATTTTTTTATGTGCATGGAAAAGAAATTACCTATTAAATGGTAGGAAAATTAATTAGATTCTTATATAGAAAATAAGATATTTTCAATATAATAATATTTTATACCTCTCTCTAAATAAGTTCTTAAAAGATGCGCACCCCTTTTCTGCATGCACACTCACATGCTACTCCAAAACCTAAATGAGTTCATACCAAAAATTATATTATATATTTATGGTTAAATTATTTCTTCGAGTTCAAACACATGTATTTCCTCGAGTTCCAACACATGTATTTCCTCCTTTTAATTTACCTCATTAATTTAGGTTATTTTAGCATAGCAAATAACAACCACACCACTATAATACATATAATTAAAGATTGTACTTATAACCTATACATATATATATATATAATATGTTTCTTTCATAATTGTTATACCGTAGAAGAATATTTAATGATATATAGCAAATATCAAAAAAAGAAAAAAGAAATGAAGCATTCGTGTGGCAAAGGGAAGGTAAACGAATGCATAAAAAATATGTGGCCAAGAATTCCAAGTCGTTCTTGTCGAGGATTAATGGGCTGTCTATGCATGAAGGTGACTGGCTGATTGATTAAAAATACAGAATAATAATAATAATAAAAGATTAAATGTGTGAAAAAGCTTACCAGATAAACCATGTACTTCTATCTGGGCCTGGTTTGTGCCGGATATCTTGTTCCACTTTATGAAGCCAAAATGGGCAACTCTTTGCTTCTCTATACGGAACTTGTCATTGTTAGGTTTGGGCCTCTTTCACTTATTTATTGCTGCTTGGAATCACCTCAGCCTCACGTGTGCTTCTAATCATGCCTTCGTCACATCACTCTCTCTCTCTATGTATTATATATATTTGCTTCAAAGCATGTTGTGAATGATACTTTACTTACTTTAACAAACAAACAAACAAACAAAGATCATGCTAATTTCTATACATGATTTGATAAATTCAAACCTACCGATCAAACACCAAATTTCAACTCTCCGTCAATCTTCCATCTTCATATTAATTGATATTATTATTATTATTATTTTGAGTTGCCATTGAGAATACAGAAATTAATAATTAAAATTTTAATCTCAAATTAGTTAAAATTAATTAACTATTTGTTTTATTAAAACTGTTAATTTTTAAAGTTTTTCTTATTTTACTTTAAAAGTCATTTTTTAGAATTTTTGAAACCGTTTCTTATATTTTTTTTTTCAAATAATTTTACAAAATTAAAGTAAATTAATCATTTTGTATACTGCGTAAAAAATTGAAAATTGACAATTCGAGTGAAAAGATAGGAACCAAATGCTTAAGCAACAAGGGGATGGCGCACGGACATAACTGAAACACAGAACTGAGACAAGAGAAAAGAATCGGTGGGGCCTTCGATTTTGCTATTTTGGGTTTTGGGCCTTTTGAGTCCAAAATGTAAGTTGTACGAACACGTGTGGCCTGAGGTCCACATTTCGATAGCAATATTTAACCCCTATTAGACGTGTGTTTCACGAAATTGATGATTGCCTTACCCTTACACGGCTATAACTATTGCACGCAAAAGCCGCATACTTACTTTCCGGTGTGGGAGCATACAGTATATCTTCTCTTTCGATTTCCAAATTTTCTAACACAATGTCTTTGTATGATAATGATACAAGACTTGCAGATATCAGATCAATATCCACACACTAAATCACTTCAAAAAGTTTTTTTTTTTTTTTTTTTTAAATTATTACTCTTCTATCTTTTTCTTTTCCAATAAATAATTAGAAATATACTCATTTAAATCAAAAAAAAAAATCTTGATTTGTTTAGTTTATGGAATGAACCTATAATACACTTAGTGTAAGTAAATCTATTCTTATAAATTTATCTATTTGATAATAGCAAAATGTTTTAATTAATCAGTCAATTTCGGTAAAAAAAAAATTAAAAAGGGAATGACTAAAAAGTTTAAAACTATAATCGAAATCAAAATTGGAATCATTAAGTATGTACCAATTTCAATTTCAAATTTAGAGAACTCAAATCTAATTATTCATGAATAGCTTGTTCGTAAAATTAACTGTTTTACTCCCTAAAAAAAATGTTTTACTATGATTTCATCAAATATCAAAATATAACATTTTATAATTGACTTCTTCACCTTCTAAACACTATTATTAAAAAAAAAAAAAGTTT